CCTCTTCAGCCCTGACATGCGTTTGTCACGTGATACACGCTTCCGTATTTCACCCCTTGGCTTTCTTTCCGCTTCGAGAACATCCCTGTCTCTCTCACCCATCCCATCTCAATCTATTTGCCTTTTACTATTACCAATCTCCCACCATCATTTGAAATGTATATTCTTACTTTTCATGATATTCTACTTGTAATTTTCGCCTCACCCCCACGCGCGGCGTTTATTCCTGAAAATGCACCTACGGAGTAATTAATCCTTCCCGTCGCTCAGCCTAGCCTCAGCCCCAGCCCCAGCCCCAGCCCCGGACGGCTGGAAATGAAAAAAAAACCTTATTTTCACTACGTAGTTCGAAAAGCAACATGAACGTCATACGATGAGAGAAAGGGCCGCAAGGGCTGAATTGGGTTGAGTTTGTCCTGACTTTTTGGGAAATGCAATGATGGTGAGATGGTGAGGAGTGTTTGGGAGGGAGGCTGCGTTCAGTATAGCAGTGGGGTGGTGGAGGTGGAGGTGCGTTTACTGTAGGATACGCGATGAAAGGTGGGCTGTTTGCGGTGGGGTGAAGTGGGCTGCGCTGCTTGCGGTGGGGTAAAGTGTAGTGTGTAGCTCGAATGACGGCGTGGAAGAACCCTCAAGTGAGGTACCTACCTAGCCTACCAAGCCTGTCTAAGCTGTGGTGTCTCCGTATCTACGGTAACGGTAGGTAACGGCTCAAGTGATGGCACGTAATAGAAGCTAGGTGAGCATGTTATTTTTCAAGTTTTCCTTCTCCCGTTATTTCCTTCAGCGAAAATGCAATCAATGCCTTTCTTTTCCCTATTTCCAAAAATGCGATATCTCTAAAGAGCTCTCCGAAGAAAGGGAAGCAAGGTCACTTTTATCGGTACTTGGAAGTATAATATATGTATGTTTGCTGTGAACTGGAAAAGACCGGTAGACCTGTCCGTGTCGCGCTTTTCATCGGCCGAGAGAGGAGGCCGCTCTAGCTGCTTGCAGGTAGTAGAGGGGTTAGTACTTGTACGAATGCGTTACACGCCAGTCAACCTGCCGTGTAGCGAGAGGCTGCTGCCCTTGCAATAGATTCGCCCAGGTACCCGATGCAGGAACAGGAACTAGAAAAAGAAAAACAGACCGGATGAGGAACAAGGATAGGGATGCATTGAATTAGTTTATGCGTTTCTCCTCTCCACCACGCACCCCGCTCTCTCTCTCTCTCTTACCACTCAGAGTACTCGGAGTAAGGAGTCACTTTCCACCTCACTTTTCAAAAATAATTATTGCTTTACCTTCCTGGTTCAAGTGAACTGACTGACTACGGAGTATGTATAGTGAGGACGGAAAAAATCCTCCGTACCGCTCTCCATACCTCTCTGAGACTTTAAGGTTGATTTTTGATTTTTTCTACTTTCGGAGCTGCGCATGGCATAAATCTAGAATCAAGCCACTGAAGTGCTCTCGCTTACGGAGTGGTAACTCTAATTAATTCTTTCTAGGCTCAGGGCACATGAACTATAAATCCAAGTTTCTAGATAATGTTAGTGCATAGGAGAGCATGATTGAAGGTGGATGAAAATTTTCATAATCTATTTCAAGAGGTGTTTGCAAAGCTAGACCCAAACCTCCGTTTTCAGCAAAATGTCACAACAAAAACGACAGCCGCACTCGGGTTAGGGACTGCTCAGGGACTTGGCGTGCGTTGCATAAAATGATGACCTGATGGATGTTTGGATTTTCACCAGAGAAGCTTCCGAATCGCGATTTGTTCCGATACTGTACTCATAGGATACCGTTAGGAGGTTCTCGGCTTACTGGTATTGGATGAGTGTTTCCCGCGGACAGCTTTCGGGAGCCATACATCAATGCAACAAAGACCTACTCGAACCCAAGGAACGAGAGAGGAAAGTTGTAGGAATGCCAAGTAATGAACCCTCTATACCTCCGTAAACAGACCAGGCTTTTGAAAGCAGGAACTTGCTTAGATATTAGGGAAACCGAGTAATAGGGAAGGAACTATTCATACAGGATCAGATAACGAGAAGCGAGAGCCCAGTGTTCACTATATAGAAACCGCAAGCGGACACGAGACACTACTAGAGTACACAACGTCATGAAATTTCGGGAGGACCGGAATAAAAACCTCTCGTCGCACAGAAGAACAAAATTCGCCGAATCAAGTAAAAAGATCTCAGACCTGTAGCAGTGATCCCTTTCCAAAAGCATAAGCGTACAGTACCTGATCACCACTAGATTCAGAAGCTAAAAAGAAAGCGCACGACCCCTTACTCCTGGAACTCTAAACTAAAAACCAGTGCAAGCATCACGACTCTTGTCGTCGAGCCAAGCTTCTTTTCCCCAAACACATGGAAACTTCATTTGCACTTGTAAATCCATCATCTGTGAAGAATCTCGGAACACGAGAAAGAACAGGGGGTTTGTATGGCGATAATCTCGTAATGTAATAATTGCTCTCAAGTAACGTAGCATTGCAATTAACGCCGAGTTTGGAGTGAAAGTCACTGGACTTGCCGGCTAACGCCGTTCGTTGATGAAGAGATTTTCTTGGTTTAGCTTAGCTCATACTTCGTACTGGATGGAGGAAAAGTGGAGGAGGAGAAAGTGAGGTGGGTGTGATGAGATGTGCAGTTGGAAGACTGAAATATACGGTTTCGAGGGAACCAGGGGGAATAAATTGAAGGGAGTGAGTGATTTGGGAGTGATGTAAGAAGGGAGAGAGAGTTTTAAATAAAACAGAAAGCTCTCCTTTCCCTAGGGTTGTCTATTTATTATGTCTTATTCCCACCACCACGCGCAGTCTCGTTTGCAGCAGCTGTAAAAACAAGGTCTCCATGGCGGGCCAACAGAAGGCACGTTTCCGTGTGTCCACTGTTCACTGAGTATTCAGGCTTACTTCCAGCTGAGGTCAGATAGACGAGGGACTTGATCCGCGAGATTTGCTGATCCAGATGCCAGTCTCGTTTTTTACGTAGACTCGTTCTCGTACTCTATCTGCCCCTTTCCATGAATGAATCATGTCAATAAGAGATCCGAGACATTAATCCCTCCCCTTCCCGCCTCCCCCAAAAAGATATCCCCGAAATTGAAACCTCGTACAACAAACAGGTAATTTATCCTGTACTCGTATGATTCAGATTTCTAAATATGATTCTTCGGTACCAGAGTGAAGGTTCATGGAAATTGGGAATTTCCATGCATGTAAACTGGAGGGAGCGAGTGAGCAGCACATCCTAGCAAGGAATGCCGAGTTGAGGCTCTTGGCAAACCTTGAACCTTGGAGCTGAATTGAGTTTGGGCTGCAGCCCTGTGAAGTGGGTTCCACCAGGTTGTCCGAAAGCAAGCCTCCCGAAAGAGCCTGTGGTCACACACATGGGAGAGAGATACAGTATAATATCTTTTGAAAATTTACGAGATTTACGAGTATTCTTGCTTGAAACAGTGATCAATTTCGTTATCTCGTGTTGTGCGTACTGTATCTGTGATCTTTGAAGAACAAGTGTATCCGTATATTCTTATTATCCAAGACTTCAATCAAGTGCAGTCTTTATTTACACTATCCGGCCAAATTGTTGCTAGCCAGCCTTGTCGACAAGTCACTTTTTTTTAAAGTTTTCTTTGGAATTTGCCGTTTGTCTAGGTGATCCTCATTTCGCACTGTACGGAGTAAACAGTAAACATAAAAAAGGGGGTTCAGGCATAAGCCCATGATGGCATGGATGACATGAGAGAAGGTTCTCGTCGGTCTGATTAGGCAACACTTTGAATGATTGAACCATCAGCTCGTGTTCAGGTCTTGGCATGATGACCTTTGCTACGACCATGGAAAGTAAAGTGGAGACTAGGCTGGCGACTTAGCCTTGGCATGAAAAAGCGTGGCTTACTCAACATGCAAACAGGGTGGCTAGCGAGAGTAGTGTGGAATGGGGGGGGGGGGCTAGTCTGCCGTATGTATGTGTTTACTCCGTAAATACACGACCAGTGTTGGGGGGGGGGGAACATGGCGTGTCAGAGCGCAGACTTTTGAAGGCCTGACTGTACCGAAAATACTACCTTACCTTACTTAACATTCGATGTGTGTGTGCTGACCCTTGATGTTGCTGCCAGACTGGCACTGCATTGTCAGACCGTTTTTACTTCAGATAAATAAACAACCATTTTTCATCTGGAGTATGAACAATAGTTCGGTCCGGAGTGGGCCGAGAGAAAGCAAGAAAGACAGCGGGGTGTATGACGATGAGGTCGAATGGCAAGGAGTGAATATCTGTATTAGTGAATCATATAGAAGTATGCTTTTCCTAGCCTAGCCTAGTAAAAACTTCAAAATCAGATGTCTAAGCTGCATTCAGAGATCGACTGACTGAAGCGAACGAATGAGAAGACGCTTGCTGATTGAAGATGCGTTGATATCTGGAGGGAGAGAAAAGTCGATGGTTGGCATGGTTGCTGAGGGGAGGGAGGCGCGAACCCGAAATAGAAAATGATGCTGCCTGACACATTAGTGGGGAGGGGGCGGACCCCTGCTCATTGGGCGGCTGGTAGCTGCGGTCCCCGTAAGGCGGAGCCAGGCGAGTAAGGTGGGATGCGGGAGTGACTTGTTCATACGCCCAATGTTTGCGCACCAGCCATGTATTTTCTCGTATTCTCCAACCCCCGTCAGCTTTAAAGGATATCCACTCTATCCGCTAGCCCTACTAGCGCCGTCGTTCCTTCCCATCGCACCAGGACAGGAACAGGGACAGGCATCGCAACGGCAGACTAGGTGAGCTACCGCAACCAGCCCAGCCTCTAGCCTGTGTACGGACCCACTCGAATGCACTTTAAATGCTCCCATTCCTCCTCCTTCTTAACATTCTTTTCCACATCAACAACTCACACACTTTCGTTCCCACTCAACAAAGTACAATCCTCACCTCAGTTCTTGTCCATCAGATAATTTTCTGAATCACTTTCGTTTTCGAAACTTAATAATACTTCCCACCGCAAGAATGAAGTCTGTTCAGATCCTCTCCGTCTTTGGCCTTGTCGCCGCCGCCAACGCATTCAACCAGATGCCTCGCCAAGTCAACTACAATGCCACTGTTACCACCGAGGTCGTGACCGCCATCACCACCTTCTGCCCAGAGGCTACCACCATTGTCCAAAACGGCGTAACCTACACTGCCACCGCGTCGGAGACCCTCACCATCACCGACTGTAAGTTTTCCATGCTCCGATCTGTGTTAGATCGACCGTACTGATCTGAACCCCAGGCCCTTGCACCTTGACCAAGCCAGTCGCCAAGCCAACCACCGTCCCAGTCGTTGCAGCCCCCACCGGTGGCATTCCTCCAGTTGTCGGCAACGTTAGCTACGTTACCACCTCTGTTACTGCTTACACCGTATGTACCACCCGTGAAATCCATTTGATCACCAGCTAACAAGCTGTCAGACTGTCTGCCCTGCTGCTACCACTCTTGTCCAAGGCAACCAGACATACACTGCCACCGCGTCGCAGACCCTCACCATCACCAACTGCCCATGCACTGTATCATACCCCGTTAGCTCTGTTTCCACCAGCTACCTGACCACCTACTGCCCATCTTCCACTACCGTGGTTGTCGGATCGTCGACCTACAGCTTGACATCTGGCACCACCACCATCCCAGTCGAGACCACAGTTGCAGGTACCCCACCTACCCCAGCTGTCGTTGCTGTCGGTAGCACCACTGCAGCCGTCGGTAGCACCACTGCGCCATCCGCCGCCGCCACCACCACTGGCCCAATCCAGGCCAACAACGGTGCCAAGGTCGGATCAGGTCTCGGTGCTCTCGCCGTTGCTGGTCTCGCCATGGTCTTGTAATTTGTTACTTTCAACATTTTGTTCTCCCCCCAATGAGTCAATCGACATGATATAATGGGTTATAGAGGAAGGATCGGGAGTACATGACATTCATTTGGCATTTGGCGCATCGGAAGATGGAAGGGAATCATCAGCTTGCTTATGTTTCGATAGTTACACTTCTCACGTAAATAATTTGCAACCCTTGGGGCGCAGCTTAGCATAATCTGCTAGCTTGTATCGGAAGAGGATTTCACGCTGCTGTAGTTACTTATAACCTCAGCCATAATAATACAAAAGCTTGCCACATTTTCACAACACTTATATGCAATGTGATCATTTTAGCCCTCTCCGTTCTCGAGTTCGTGCTTTGTCATGGTTTCAAATCTCTTACTCGAAATGGGCCTTGCTCTGCCGCTTATCTTTAATTCCCCTACGCGATATATATTCATCCCACTCTTCTGTAGCTTCTCCACCCGTCTCAATCGCCCCCATACATAGGAATCGAAATTCAGACTAACCCGTCTTTCTCGTACAACCCTGAAAGTCTTACGACCCTAGGCTAGTTGTGGACTTCGACTAGGTAGGAAAATGACAGGCTCAATCAACCCTGAGCTTCGAGCAGGGAGGTGAGTCTGCTATGGAACGCGAGCAATTACGAGGTTCATTGTGACTCGATTCCCATCCTCAAAGGCAGCTAGCATCTCACGTACTCCAATTTATCGGATGTTGTTATTGAGATCCATCTGGGATTTCCACTTGAATACATGTGCTGGATCCTACATGTCTAATTAAACATACACTGAGATGGAGTTTCTCGTGGAGCCATACCATTCATTGGATTTCTGTTACGATTGAAGTCTGGCCCGATGACTGTCAATGTCCAAGCTCAAGATGTATGTGCAATTTGATAGCTTTGATGAAGCTTATAGATGTATATTGTGGGGACCCATTCTGATGTCTGTTTTGCTTGTATATAAGACCTTTTCACTACAGGCAGGATGAATAGTTGGTCTTCAGTAACTTCTTTCCCTATCAATCATTTCATTTCCTATCGTTCCCTTCAGTTGGGTCCAGATTTCAAGATGCATCTCTTCGGCCTCTCCTCCGAGCGGCATGGCTATACTATCATTAGACGTCAAGGATTGGATTGATAGTATAGATGTCGGTACTTTTCCAGACGCACTCACGACATTAGAAACAAAGGTGGACAGCCAAATTGGTGGCCTTAAAGCCACACTGGAGAACGTCGTCGGTACGACTCGCGCGGTTCCCCTATTCGAGTTTAGAAACTTGGCCCCAGGAAAACCAACCCTAAGCTGCACCATGCAAAACGAAGATCCAGAGGCGAGTATCGACACCCTTGGCTGTATCTGCGGTTCAACTACGCTCCCGCCCATCACAGTCGCCAACCCAACCGACGACTCACAAAGCTGCGCATATACCACACTCCCCCCAAAAGGAGACAAAACCGATCCTATTGTAATCCCGACTACGACCTACGCCACTAACTGCCGAGCTTGCACTCTCGTTGGCGGCATAGCAGACAGCCCGACCTGTACCTCAGTCGGCGGATGTACTCAGAATATGGAATACACTTATGAGAGTACTGAGACTGTTGGGTGTAAAGGTGGCACACCCGTGAGAAGATCGCTGGAAGAACGTGATCCGCTTTTTATCGAACCGGCCGCCAACGATGAACTTACTTGTACGAGCACTATGACAATTTGCAGCGCCGCTGATAACATAAGTATGTACTTGCCATTTCCAACAGGTTGAATTAGAGAAGATGGATGTTCAGCTAACTTTACTTTCCCCTGGACATATTCCTCGATGCCAAGAGCAATCAAAAGAGTCTGCAGCACATGAACATCGTGATTACCTGGGCTGTAGACGGCAACAGTAGTATTATCGAGTTCCTTTGCGATGCTATCATTGGCGGTATTACCGCACTGGCTACGATTGTGGCGCCTGAACTAATCGAGACGGACTTATTCGCTGGTATTGAGTTTGAGGCTTTGTGTGCGGATGCTGCGAAGGCTCTTGGGGCTAGAGGAATGAATGAGACTGCGTATCTGCTTGATTCGTTGTGATTTCATCTGGGACGGCTTTGTATGGGTGGGTGTGTACTTTTAGCCCGGAAAGGGTTGGCTAAACATGTCTTTCTTACCATCATCAGAATTTTGTATCTTTTTGAGAAGGCATAAACGGAGCAGGCTACATGCTCTGATCAGAGAGTTATAACTTGGTTTTAGATGCATTGAAGGCGTTTCCTGTTGAAATATTGTACAAATAAACTTTGGCTCTAGCAGGCGGTCTAGACTTAAGTCAGTTGGATAGGAATCTTAGATACTATTTAGTGATCTGCTTTGACTTTGAGAACATTTCTTTGGATATATTCCTTGCTGCCATGGAAACAAGGAGAGCCTTGGTGGACTTCAGAAGAAGACATTAAGGTACAGTCAATGCTACGGATATGTCTTCACTTGAGTGAGAACTGCACGTATCAATTTCTCCGAAACTTTCAAATCGAGGCACTGTACACTGACAGCTCTCCCTTCTAGCATGCCACTTCAGGCCGCCACCAAGTACCGGCAGCAAAATCATCGTTTCTTCAAAATGAAGAAATAGTCCATCCATACGAGGATTAACCAACAACTTCTGTCCCCAAACACACTATGCAGGGTCCCAAAAGACCCACTTGCACATCAATCGCATTAATTGCATTGTATACCCTCCATTCTGCGTTGGCTTCAGGTCATTGAACCTTCTTTTTCCTTATCAGGCATTAGCCTGATTCGTATCGGCCTGCATGTGAGCTGGTACGCCAGCCACGCATGTTTGCATGACAGGCCATAGGACTTTGATGCTAATGCACCCTCTATGCATTATTGCATTTATAGTTTGACCAACGAATAGCTCCCTTTTAGCCGTCAAAATTCAGGGCAGTAATTGAAACTATTGAGTCAAACTTTCTAGCTAAAAAGGAAGAAATGTATTTGGAGGACCTGAACGGCACGAATGGAAAGTAGAGATAGTGGCAACGAAGGAGATGTATTATTGAAATCATTGATCAATCGAATGAATGTTGCGCTAGATACACTAATTGCTTGGGATAATTCGAATATGGTGCTGATTAGAGAGTACGAATCATGATGACTTAAACTTTTGTCAGGAAGCAGCATCTGAAAACAGCGGCATGGATGAGGGCTGATTGAGGAGATAATTGACCACTTTTGAAGCACCAACAAGGGTAGGTATTTGAAGCATAGGCGTATTTTCTCATGGTCGGTTTGGGAGGAAAAGTTTTGTTGTCAATGTAGGAAAGCTGCGAGCTCAAAAACTCTCCGACCTTGCAAAGTTGCGAAGGGTCACATGGATCTGTACTAGCCAGATTCAGCTTAGCTGAAGTGTATATCTCAGAACACCTTCCACCAACCTTCCCAAGCGGACGACAAGCCTGGAACCTCAAAAACAGCGTCAAGATTACAAGGAAAGACGGTGGCAGGATGATACCTAACTCTCACGAAAAAAAACAGTACAGCTTTTCCTAACACCTCCTCACAGCGGATGCTAGATCGAGCAGGCCCCTAGCCTCGCGTTCCCATCCGCGAAGCATGGACAGCTCGCTGGCGTTCAGGTGCTCTGACACTACCTTCCAAGAAGGACTGTGCCCATATACTGTCTCAATGGCTACGGAAATGATACACAAAAGGGGGGGGGCGAATGCGAAATGAAGTTTTGGCGATCGGGGTTCCTACATATCTCTCGGTCGCTCTCGAAAGTAGCACCTGAGTGTTGTACCGTATTCCGTCATACATTTCAACAACAAGGTCATGAACACCCAGGTTCAATCATATACGCGTTGACTATTTTGATGTTTCCCGGGTGAGGGAATATAGCAAGGCTGCAGGACTGAATGAGGCACGAGGCTGCCTACTTGAGCGGAGACATCGAAGTTCCCAGCATTAGCTTCATCGCTGATACTTGTGCGCTATGGGCTAAGGGCTCTCTTCACATTGTCTGCAGAGAACGTCGTCTGACAGGTATGAATATGGCTACGCGTATTGTCATGCTTGAGCTCTTTTGACCCGGCCGCCACTGTCGGCTTTCAATCCGCCCCTCAAATGTCGGCACCAAGTCTTCAACTGGTGGGCATAGAGCACCATTATTGCTGTCTATGAGTCTAATATTTTGGCTTGCGTCTATGCTGAATATATCGCCATGAAGCTAGGCGTCACTTTTGAAACCAATCCCATGGACGAAGCGAGACTGCATTCTTAATCATGGAGCAGCTACACTCTTAGGATTCTGATCGATGCCACACTTTCCCATGCGATATTGTTGAGATATCTCTACAGACGTGCAAACGTGCAAATACTCTTCAAAGGCTGTGAGGCGACAAAGGAGGCAAAGTCTCGAGGCGCGCCTATCATTACCACACCAAGTGCCTACCTATCACGGCGATCACCTGAGAGTGCAACAGGCTTCACACAGATTGTGCTAGCGAAAAGGGGATGCTAAATTGCACTATATTGGATGCAGTATTAGGAGCCATGACCAGAACGTTGCTGTCGAGTCTTTTCTCGATTCTATGAATTGATGCGCAGAGCCGCATCGGTATCCACTGAAGTGGGAGGGACGGGTTTATTCTGCTGTCGATGACTTTTCCTGCGCCTTGTGCGCACCGTAGATAATTTGCATGCTCGTGTGACTTCAATATGTAATACGCCACCGAAAGGCACGTTGAGGGACAAGAGAGACGGCAGCGAGGTGCTCCGATTTTGGGAGCCGCACTTGGGGATTCAACATCTCGAACCGAAAGGTGCGGTAGCTTTCCCGAGCAAAACCACAGTGAGTCGATCGACCTGGATAACAACGAAACAAACAACAGACGCGTCGCAATTCTGGGTTCTCTTCTATCATACAGTTGTTCATTTCCATCTATCGCGTTGTTTATGTTACATTTTCACTCCCTCTTTATTCCTTTTCCATGCAATCCGGTGCCGCTGAGGGAGAGACGGCGACGCATCCATGCAATTTCGCGCTAAGCAATGGGCGGACCACCTTTAACCTTTGCAACTTCAAAATCGATGCCAAACCTCCTATCAACCTCTCCCCCACAACATTCTCCAGCCCGGTATGTCGCAATGAAAGACAGTTGGATCTCCGGTGACGACCGCAGAGACCGAGGTAGAGTTGATCGAGGAGTCACCCGCCAAAGAAGATCGCGATCACCTACAGTACGTCGCCACGAGAGCGATAGGGAGCCCAAAGGTAGAGAACGCAGTCCAGGCAATACCAGATCTATCGCACAACACGAACGAAGTCGCGATCGCGCCCCCGAGCATAGGAGGAGACCTTCACGATCACCAAGGAGAGAGGGGGAGGCAGTGAGGGAGAAGAACAGAGGCAGAGAGCTCTTGCTGGACACGCGAGGCTCTGACAAGTCAAAACGTAGCACTACTCACCCTTCGCCATCGTCAAGCAAACGTCGGAAGAGTCGAAGCCCTTCGCCGCCCCGTAACCACCACAAAAACTCGAGACGAGCTCCATCCCAAAGCCCACTGTACCCCGACGCAGGATCATTGCGACCTGAGAGGAGGCACAGAGCGCTCTCCCCACCTCCACCACGAAGACGATCACCGGAGCGCCGGTCTATTGATATTCGAGGAGAGGGAAAGCCTAAACAATATCGAGAGTCCAAAGCATTTGACAGACGCGGACGTTCGCCGAGTCCAAGACGTGATAGACTCGAAAGACACGATTTCGGCCGTCATAGGTCGCCTTCACATCGCGATAACGACTCTCGAAGGAATCGTTCTCCGCCACCAGCACACTTTCAAAAGCCACGCGAGAGATCGCCTTATAACAGCAACAAACCAAAAGATACGGAACGGAGGAGAGAGCAGTCTTCACATAACGGCCGCCAATCGCCTGATATCGATCGCTACGAACCAGCGAATCGCTCTCGCCAAGAATCGCCGCCAGCACCTAGAGGACCGAAAGCCGCTCGAGGGCAGTCACCCAAGAGAGACAGAGGAGGAAGACCACCGCCATCACCTTCATCGCGAGACGAGTATCGCCCTGGCAAGCCTAAGCCGCAACCGAAAGGTGGAAAGCCTGCCGCGTCAGGCGCAAATAGTATCGAAGTAAAAGGGGCAAGGACCTCTGGTGCTGCTTCTGGTGCTAACAGCATCGAGGTCAAATCAGATAAGATGGCCGGAAGAGGCTTCTATGGTGGACAACAAGGCTACAACCCGCATCAACAAATGCAGGCTGCTTTCCCACTGAAACCACAGTATAACCAGGGCCCTCAAGTAGATCCTCGACAATACTCACAGTCTCCACAACATCATATGACCCCAAATTCTTACCAAGGATCACCTCAAGCACATTCTCCGTATTCTGCTGGAAGAGGCAACTGGGGCGGGCAGCAACAGTATTCTCCTCAACCGTAAGTCATATATCTTTGGGCCCATTGTTTGAGTTCTAACATGACACAGCCAATACCCTCAAAATTACCAACAGCAACCTAATTATGCTACCCCTAACGGACCTCAAGGTCAATACTATAACAATCAATCTCAATCTCCTCCTTACCATACTCCCTCCGGTCCAATGAACCAGCCATATCAATCAAACTTCCGTGGTTCTCAGCGAGGATTTCGAGGCAACCATTTCAATAACCGTGGTGGGCGAGGTGACCATCGTGGGCGCGGTGGTAACCATTTTCAAAACACTCAATGGAACTCTGGCGGAGCAGGCAGAGGGCAGCATAGCAACTCGGGGAATGTCACGCCCCAACATGCATCTCCTCAGCAGCAGTATCCACCACAATCCGGTTCCCAAGAGGGCACTCCCCAATACAAATCTCAACCGGAAGAAGAAGAGGAAGCCGATGACCTTTTCAGACCTTCTAAAGAATTGCAGGTAGAAGATAAGGCGGATAGCAAGAAGAAAGACGAGGAGGAAATGCCGCCACCAAGCAAGCCCACTCCCACTGGACCGCAGAGCCAACAGAACTCTTCGAGAAAAGGATTCAGTTTTGCATTCAAAGGTGCGGCCAAACCCGCCACCGTGCCGAAGCCAGAGATTTCTCAGAAGTTGACCGTAGGGCCGACTCGCAAAGATGTGCAAGTCAGTCCTGAACGCTCCCGAGGCCCGCCGTCTCGAGGAATCCCAACCGAGCCAGCATCGGTGAGGCGGGCAGAAAATCGCGAACCTGCACCTACTCCCACAACGCGAATGGTCAAGAAGATTATGAGACGTCGAAAGGCACTAAAAGTCCTTCCCGAAGATTTCAAGAAATCCGATTCTGTATATTATCGAAAGCCTGGTAACGAGTCTGTTGTTGGCTCAGGAACATATGGCAAAGTTTTCAAGGCTATCCACGTGTACACCAAAGATCTCGTCGCTTTGAAGAAGATCCGGATGGAAGGAGAACGAGACGGATTCCCTGTTACTGCCGTACGGGAAATCAAGCTACTTCAATCCTTGAAGCACGCCAATATTGTCAATTTACATGAGGTCATGGTGGAGAAGAACGATTGCTTCATGGTCTTCGAATATCTTTCACACGACCTCACTGGATTACTCAATCATCCCTCCTTTAAACTCGAGCCCGCCCACAAAAAGCATTTGGCCAAACAACTCTTTGAAGGACTCGACTACCTTCACCGACGTGGTGTTCTTCACCGTGATATCAAGGCGGCAAACATCCTCGTTAGCAAGGATGGACAACTGAAGATTGCAGATTTCGGTCTTGCACGCTTTTATGCTAAACGTCGGCAGCTGGATTACACCAACCGAGTGATCACAATCTGGTACCGTTCACCAGAGCTACTGCTCGGCGAGACACAGTACGGGCCAGCAGTTGATATCTGGAGCGCCGCCTGTGTCCTCGTCGAAATCTTTACTCGCCACGCCATCTTCCCTGGCGACGGCGGCGAGATCAGCCAACTCGAAAAGATATACGCCATCCTCGGAACACCCAACAAAACAGACTGGCCAGGCCTCGTCGACATGGCCTGGTTTGAGCTCCTACGGCCTTCTACCAGACGTCCCAACGTCTTCGCAGAGAAATACAAAGAGCGCGTCACGCCCGCTGCGTACGAGCTCTTGGAAGCTATGTTCCATTACGATCCCGCTAAGCGCCCTTCTGCGTCTGAGGTACTCGATCACCCGTACTTTGCTACTGAAGAGCCGATGCCGAGGCAAGTTCATGAGTATGTCCTCCTTTCTTACACCCCTTTCCCTACTGTAATGACAATGGTGTTTGCTAACGCAATAAATAGACTCGCAGCACTCGATGGTGACTGGCACGAATTTGAATCCAAAGCCCTACGCAAGGAAAACGAGCGTAAAGACAAAGCACGGCGCGCGGCGGCGCAGAAAGAGAAAGAAGCTGCTAAGAAACGCGCGCCGGAAGGTGAGGTTGCTGATAGCAGGGATCCCAAGAGGATGCAAATGGGTCCGCCTAGTCTACCTGTGTCTATTCCAAAATGAAAGGGGAAATTCGAGTTCTACGAGGAAGTGCAAACTTCAAGATGAAAGATGAATAGTGAGTTGAAGTGAAGGGTAAAAGGGAGTGTATAAGTATCACATATGGAGTTTGAGGAAAAGGCCGGCGTGGAGTTTCACTTGGGGTAGTCTATCGATTTGACGGGTGGGCAATCTTCACTGCGGCATGGCAATGGCATAGGTATAAATGGAGTTTTGTATGATTGGTCGATAAAGAGCATTTGCGGTAGCTTTGGTCATATCATCTGAGAATGGAATGGAGATTAATTAAGTCAGAGCTCTTGGTATCATGTGAAAAAGGTGTGTAAAATTGAGAGTTGTGACATGGCAGTTTTTACTCTCACAAAGGGTGAAGAGGGGGAAAACCCGGAATCTGAAGCTATTTCGTCGGCAAGCTGGCCTTCATCCTAACACCTGCTTCCATCATCACGTGTATGGCATACTCCTGACAGGGTGGTATGGAAAGACGAAGTGGCTTTATCTTGTGATTGATTGTAGGAGAAGATATAATATCTCTTAGAGGTGTAAGTTACGCCGTATATCTTTTGAGCGGGTGGCTGTCCCATAAAAGGTTGACCCGAAACGCGTCACCACGTGATTCTCAGTTCCTCCAGAAAGTGCTAAAGTGTAGCCGCAATTACATACTTTTGCTCAGTGAAGGTTCCAAATCTTGGAGTTGGTGGAGTAGTATTGTTGGGCTCATATGAGAGCTTCGATTCACATCGTTGTAGGTTTCAATCAGGAAGTCCAGGTAGTAAGGGTTTTAAGCGAACCACCCCCTTAAATCCTGTCGAAGAATATTCACTCGCTCGCAAACTGTCTGATCTTATGATCAATATGGTAACGCATGATTGATGATTAAGAGTTCACCTCACAGGAAGTGATTTACAATTCAGGGCTGCGCATAGGCAAACAAAGAGCTTTCACAATGTTGGATTGACTCGGATTAGTTCTGTGAATATGACAAAGACCTATAAAAGCATAAAAAACATTGGACATTCTATTAAGATTATTCCTCGAATTTCTAAGTTTCAAGCTAAATGTGGAATCGTCCTCGTTGTATTACCCTCCAACAACATCAAGTGATCGCACCGAACACCAAAGCCTTTTGAAATGCGTGGATTTTTTAAGAAAGAAGTGCCGGCTAAGCAGGAGACAACACGTGGGAAAGACACTTCTGCGGGGCCGTCGAATAATACTGCAACAAAGGAGATCACGCCAAATAAGTCTACCGCTACCACAGGGAGTGCGGGCCCGAGGAAGGAGGATGGTGCACTGCAGAAAGACACTGGTTCCACGAGCAACGACAATCTTCAAATTGAAAAATACATAACTTGGGGTTGCTGCCAGGTGAGTTCAACTCCTAAAGTACCCATAATGCGATAGTTAACAACTAGTAGTGCTTTACCGCCAACAGAGTACCGCATGACTACTGCAAAGGCATGAATAACCTGCAAAAATGCAACCATTGGAGGTGTAATGACTGTGATCCGGAAATCAGGCATTACGAAAGGGAAATAATGATTGCGAAGCAGAAGGCGTGGGATGAGTCGGAGGAGGGGAAGTAGTACAAGAAATGGGACGATTGGAAATATGAAGAATAATTGAGTTTGGACCCGCTGGGAGAGCAGGAATGATCTATGCGTAATCAAAGTCTTTCCATCATGAAATGGGTTTTGAGCCCAGTGTCTCAGCTTCATACTCATTTGCTGGGCTATAGTCTATCAGCAATGTACTCTTTCGGTGCTCTTCATCTTGGAGAATTTGTGACATGGTCATACTCAATTCACTATTATTTACCAAAATCAACACTAGTATTCACAGTGCGTGATGATTCCTTATCTTCTAAGGAGTGGATGTGAGATATTAGATTGATACTATGTCGAACTATCACTTTCACCTTGGTGATGTTATACGAATTAGCCTCCTATCTCACAGCCACATCCATTTTGTCTAGATTCATAACTTTCGGCTGCTTCTATCTACATTCTGTTTGTCTAATGTAACACTATATGCTACTGTTACAACAAATTTTAGGCTTTCAAAACAGTACTTCTATAGTTTTGCTTTGCATTCAATGTACCGGAGAATCCTATCCGAAAAACGGCAAGAACCATCAACTACCACCGCCGGAATTGAATGCATGCCGGTCAAGAACATAATGTCTTGTTCTTGAGCTCCGAAACCGGGAATCAGGTCTACTGTTGCACACGATATACAAATGTGTATAAGCTGCTGTTACCCCACTTCTCGTTCCTTCTTTCTCTCCTAAACGACCATAAAACAAGATCTCCAACACCCTCAAACAACAACACCACAACCATGACGGATATCAAGCCCAATTACATCAAGATCATGATCTTCGTCAAGAAGCTTCCTGAAATCACCGTTGAGGAGTTCCACGACTATTGGATTAACGTTCACGGTCCTGCCGCAATGAAGACCCTCTTTGGCGAAAAAGTTAAGAGGTACATCCAGGTACGTGTTTTGCCCATATTTTCTTGAGTAGACTTTTTATACTCTATTTTAGTCCCTTAGAAATATATGCATACATGCAAGATGGGATAAAAAGGATGTTCTAGAACGCCATCTGACATATTCAAACTAGACTCACATTACCCCGGACCTCAAGGCAACGGCCGAGGAATTTAACATGGGCACGATGGGTGTTCTCGATTTCGATGGCATTGCAGAAGTATTCGTTGAGTCTGTGCAGGATTGGAAGGATCTTCTTGCCGATGAGGGTTTTCAAAAGTGGACTGCCGGTATGCTCTCTTCCCTTAGGTACCCCTTGTCGATTAGAAAATGCTGATAATTCCTTGAGGACGCCGCCAAATTCATGTCTGAAGATCCGATCGTAATGATTATGGGGTACGAGAAACTGGTGTTTGGAAAGCCGACCTGAATGGAGGCTCAGGTGAACGGAAAGCTAGTCGTCGAGTCTGAGCAGTGAAATCATCCATGTGGACGGTTGTACTATTGCTTGTGGTGAAGGTGACCGTAAACAATGGCTTGGCAGAATAAAGTAGGCAGATGCATCGAATTACATGTGGAAAACTGTCACGCTGTTTAGAAGACTGGCGTTCAGCAAATGAATTTGCAGCACAAACATGTCGCATCTCTCTTGTGACTTCAACGTTCTCCCTTCCAATTTTCTTCAATTGTGCTAGCCACTTCGACTTTCCTCGTGAAGTCCGTTATCTAGCAGGGGCATATGTATTAGAATGCGGGAGATATGAGTAGGAGATCTCATTCAGAACGGAGACTGGCGTGGTGGTGGTTGGTATGGCGTTGAAGCTCGCTTGGTCAACACAACAGCAAAAGGGGGCGGGGTATCTCTATCAACGCGAGGCGAGGTGCAGTGTAAGGGTTTTACGACTACCCTTGCCCTGCCCTGAAGGATATCGCATACTGGTGATACAATCAGAAGCTGCACATGCAGTCACACTTACTCTCTTTTCACCTGTTTTGCATCTAGGAAGTTTCCATGATCAGAGAAATCGCGATGCAACAAGGAATTCGAGAGCTGACCCAGTTCCGCTGACACATGGACTCTGCAAGTTGTTGAAATTAGCTCACAACGCAGCGCAAGGCGCATTCGTCGTGGCTATCAGCATCCCGATTCTAGTTATGCCAGCGAATCCTCTCCTGTCCCCTACAGAAGCCCGCTGAAAGTTGGCGGATGGTTAATCAACAACTTTTAGGCCTAATCAGCCGCAAGCCAAGCAGAATTTCTAGGTAAGCACGAGCACGAGTACAAGGACCGACCGTTATGGAAATAGTTCTCTGTCACGTACTACTGTAACAAATTAAGTTATCCTCGTCCAAGCGCATGCTCGAAGTAGCTAAGACTGGAGCTGTATCTCGATCCTGCGGGGGTCCAAGCCGAAGTTGGCAGCGCTGAGGTGGGATTTGGGACGCTAAAAGAGCTAAGCCTTCCAACGCCTGAAAGCTAGGAATTACCCCCTGTACGAGTAGCTTAGCTCAGCACGCGAAGTTTGTTGTTCTTTCAGACAGTATATACGAAAATGGCCCCGCGCTGTTGTTCTGCTGTTACCGGTACCTCTCCAAGTATTTTTCTTTCAGAAGTGGAGTTGGATGTTCACAATGCATAAGTTCAACGCCCAACCAAGCGCTTCCTACCAGCCTCTCGGGCCGCGGTCAGAGGGGGAAGTCATTGATGAACGACAATTCCAGTTCAATACTTACTCGGCCGTCGAAGGTGCTAATCATCCTCAATTCCATGAAACTCGGAAGGAAGATGTGGTAAGTATCTCCGGACGTAGCTTTCTCCTTCCTCAGATCCGAAGGCTAAGTCTTAATTTTTCCACAGAAACTCAAGACTACTATCAGAATTCTACGATTCGTTTCCCGGCTCGCTGCAACGGCAATCGCCATCGTCACAGCTTCCCAAGAAGCCGTAACATTTGCTACTTACCTCAAGACACGCAATACTCAACGTGACGGTCGAAAGCCTTGGGCGACGGAAACATCTCTCTGGCCTACTATTATGTTGCTGGTAATCTCAGCCATTACCGCCATACTGGGGCTCATGATCGTTATCGCCTATCTTATAAGCATAAAAAAGGCCAATGCGATTAGCTCCGTACAGACCGTTGCGAGTGTGATCATAGAAATAACCCATATTATCATTTGGATAATCGTCGCTATTCTGTACCGTGTGGGTAAAACAGGAAAGGACCTTTGGGGTTGGGCATGTTCTCCTTTGGCTGAGAATATACAGCCTAGCTTTGACAATGTGGTGCATTTCAACAAAGTTTGTGCCAGAGGAGTACGAATTAAATTCCCCATACCACCCTTGAAACCAGGACTAACGCTTTGTACAGTCCTCTTCATGGCATCTTGCCCTCGTAAGTGCTAGTGTGCAAATACTCAGTGGCGTTGTCTGGTACTTTGTGTTCCGAAGACTGAAGGTGCAGAAGAAAATTAAGAGTTTTGGTTAAAATGATCCCTGTAGCATGGAATAATGGACAGTGTGGTGTACCATCAATTAATGTATTTCTATTTTGCGGCATAAAGAATCGTGATCTCTCCTTATTTTGGAGCTGCGTATGATATGCCACTTAGGTACTTCTACACATGTTCCTGATCTCCTTGCAAGATAGAAAGTATGTGGATTCCCATCCCTGGTTACCTACGTCAGATCGCTAACACGTTTCGCATGATACAGTAGATTGAGTAATTTAAATTCTTCAGGTACTCATCTCAGGGGCCCTTGACAGAAACTACCCCGCGGTGATCGAAATTTCCGTTTGTTGATCCTATAATTGCATGCTGTCCCTGTCCATCTCGACTTCTGTATTCTGCACTTTTGGGGGTGCAACTTTCCAGTCACACTACTCACGCAAACTTGAACTTACTCTGTACCCCTTTCTCTGTCACCGACTGGATTTCATATTCGGCGTTTTGTTGCCTATTCCTGCAAGCATGGGATGAAGATTCGTGGAAGCCTTTAGATTCACACAATATTGGTGTGAATCGTAAATGTCTATGCAATTTATGACGAAATGGTGAATGTCTTGGTCTTGGTCTTCTACCAACTGGCGGATAAGATCTGCATCGTTTCCTCATTTATTGTAACATCAGAGTTTCAAGTATCTTCAACCTCGAACGCAAACCACAGACCTGTCTACCACCCGCCATGAGCAGCACTCATACCCACAAACGTATTAAGAACCTCTGCATAGGGAGGCATTATGCTACAGATCTAGCACAGTTCGTCGAGATGAATGCCAGCCGCCGCACCTCTCACGAAATGAGCTCAAGACAACGACGCGCATATAGGGACTTCAAGGATGGCTTGAACTACCCTATCTACAGCTCCTCTAATCGCCAGAATTATCCCGAAGGAGATATCATCACTACGTACTTTGGATTCTTCGACATCATGTTCTTCGGCGGCGCTCGTAAGTTGGCCAGGGTGTATATCCTTTTCCCTCCTAGGGTGTTTCCAGAAGTCAGCAGGCACATAAGCCATGCTTTTGGAACTCCGAGAATCCTGAAATGCTGGAAAACTCTGGTCACATTGCTTCTACGTCTTGAAGAATGGATGCTGACTTGGATTTCTGTAGTCTCTTCGGTCACATGCCCCAAGATCGCTCCAAAGCGTGATCATATCGATGAGGACGTGTGGGCAATCAGCGAGTCGGAGATATTGACGGATAAGGACGGCGACAAGAGTCTAACAGCGAGCATCTCGTTTTTTATCCCTCCAGAGGACTTTTTTGAAACGAGACGGCAACGCATACTTCGTAAGTGAAGTGTTCCTGGTAGAATAAAGCCTGATTCTGGGTTGAGATACGTGATTGTTCTCGACACCAGCCATCTACTGTCTGAGAAAACAAAGTGACTAACTAGAGTGATTAATTCTTAGACCACATAGGCAACGTTCTGCGTGAAATGTGTCACGCTTTTCTGGACATTTACACATGCACCGATTTCGAATGTCGAGGTCAGCTGGAGAATCTGGGATTGACCGGTTCCGGGTTTGCCTTCCAGGATGTGACTTGCGCTGTTGAGAAAGCTGCTCGAGATCCCTCATTCTTAAATCTAAAGGTGAGACTCAACAGAGGGGCGTCACTCGACAAGGAACTCAACGCCGACGGTGTTCGTTCCAGTGTTCCGCAACATTTGGAGGACAAATGGTTCCCAAATCGGGGATCTTGAAACTCGGAAGGATGAAGAGGAAAGTAGAGATATGGACTTACAATCGGAACTGCCTATACAGGGGAACAGGTGCTAGTAGAATCAGGAACCAGCAAGGTAGTCTCCACAAACGATGTCTCCTTATCAAGGCTTGCTTCCAGATCGTACCAGAAAGCTGATCCACGTTCAATCAGTACCTCACATATGTGTCTTGAGAAGCTCATGTACCTGCTGGATCGGGAGGTGGCATTGAGGTCTGATATAAGCGGGCCTTGTATTATAGAGGAGGAAAGGGGGTGCCTATCAGGAAGTTTACATACATGATATTCTCGAAGCGGGAGACATGTTGCTTTGAGCAACTCATTGTTTTGCTTGTGTGTCGGTAGTTCCGCATAAACCCCTCCAGTATCAACTGAATGTACGCAATCGAAAGAACACGTTTACTTATCGTCAAAGTTGAAGACATCCAGCTGAGTCCATGTAATGTGGCACTATGAATCACTTTGCGGCGGTATTTACTTTTTGCCAATTTGTGATCGCTCATCTCGCCAACATCTCCTACAAACAGTTAGATCTCCCAAGTGGCTTTAATCTTCCCCTCAAATGAGAATGACGGTTCGGACCCGACACTAGGAAGTCATTCCTGCAGCAATTTAGTTGAAAAAGTAGTCAGGTCTGCAACTTAAAGCCTCCTTGATTATGAAATGAGCTTTACCGAATTCTAAGAGCTAATTGACAGTACAGACATGCTGGCTCGCGATTACAAGCTGAGTTGTTGTTTCAAGATACTCGACAACATGTTTCTGTCGTAAGCCAGACACCCGATGCGTTATTTTACTACACATGTGCCATTAACCTGTGAGGAAGCTGGCGGTGGAGTCACGTCGTCGGGTGGTGGGTGATCCTGTGCGAATCCATATTTGGCCGCCTGCTGAGGGGGATATCAATTGAAGTCGATGATGCTAAGAACTGGATGCAGAAATATCTCGGTATCGCTTTTCGCATGATGGTACACGCCTTTCTGAAGATCTAAATGTGCCATAATTTTCAAGAAGCGAAGAGAATCGAAGAAGCTGGTATCACTGGCCACGGCGGAGGATGGAGGAGGACTTTTTGCGATTTGTTTAAAGACGGGACCTTCTTTGAGCCTGGAGTTTCTCTTGAACATGGCAAGTTCTTGGAATTTGATAAATCGAGAACGAGCTCGGTCTTGAATGAAGTTTCACACGCCTTGGATGATTCGTAGCACTGGATACAATGACTATCCATGCTTTTTATGGGAGATGGGGGAGGCAATGCCAGTGATTCAAACGTGATTATAATCTCATTTGTCGACTTCCAATCACTATCCTCCTTGATTACCAAGTCTATGATTATAGATTTAGTGTGTATTTTCTAACTTTTCCACACGCACTTGATCTCTACTATCCACAACAATGTCTGTTCAAGTTGAACATAAGCTCCCAATAAGGCCATCTTTAACACCGCGTCTACGGGCCAGCGGGCACCAACCAGAAGAGCTTGTGAATATGCTCGTCCTTCACTCAAGAAACCGACGTTCCCATCTTGATAGCGACCAGCGCAATGCTCTTAGATTATTTTCCAAAATCCCCAATCACCATCATCCGAAAGAAGAATTTATTACCAAATTCTTCTTCATTTTCGACGAGTTATTCTTCTTCAAAAGTCTAAGAAAGTATTGCTACATTGAATATTCAGACCACGACTGGAGAAACAAGCAATACAGTGGATTTTCAAAAATGACAGGCAAGGGGCAAATCATCATCAGGATGCTGGCTTACGAAGAAGCTGGAAATAGCTTGGCAATCTGGTGGGATTATGCTTCAACGCTATTGCACGAGATGATACATGCTTTCCTGCTGCGATGGTCATATTGGCACCTTCCGTTCTTGGACAAAAGCCTCGAGGGCGAGGGTAGAACTGGCCATGGATTTGCATGGCAAGATATTTCGTTCGCGCTAGAATTTGCGGCGAATGATCCAACACTTACTGGAATGAAGCTGGACTTGGGTCGAGAATTCTCTCTCAGGATCGAGCTCCGTGAGTGGTAAGTTGATATCTCGAGCTATAATTAATCTCCTAGAGAAGTATTACTGACTGTACATGCGTTTTTGACGTTAGGTTCAGCGCAAAGAGGTTCAATACAAATATAGACCTGAGAAGATGGGTTTTCGATCCTAACAAAGAGTGGAACGAAACAGGCTATCGCAGGATCTGTGAGAACGCTCGACTTCTAAAGCAAACGGTTCAGCATTTTGTGGGGCCGAAGAAGGGATAAAGTGCGACTTTCATAGTGTCTAGATCGCATGCTTGGCTTGCTCATTACGCATTCCTTGCTCTTTCGTAACGATCCTGGATGAGTGTGGAGTGTAGTCATAATTCGAAACCCTGATTCGAAACTATGGTTTTGCTCTCTTCAACGAACTCGAAATGGGTGAGAGGCAGAAGATATCGACCAGTGCCGCTCGAGAGCTCGTCTCGTCAGCCCCCATATCATCTATCGAAGCTCGGCAATTCCCGCATGCACAGGAAATGACTTGGCAACTCGAGCTACAGTCAACAGCTAGGACTTGGTTCGTCTTCTTGTGGTATCAGACTTTGGGCGTAACGACTCGCTGCTGATCGAGCTACAGAGTAGGACCAACCTCTTGATGTTAGGAAATGGTATTTAGGATATGCGGCTGGATTCAAGCAACACCTCTAAGAATGCTGAGTTGAGGTGTTCGGGAATGTCAAATCCAAGTCGTTATATATTGTATCTTGCCCCCTTTTTGAAACATATCCAAAAGGAAGCATTACAATGACACATCTTGGAATAGTTCTACGTTGCACATTTATATGTGTTATTTTCCAAATAGCCCCGCTGAGTAGCTTCGAAACGACTATGCATAACACGTGATCAGCCTCATCAGCTGCCCCTGACGCTACCGCCAGCCTTCTGAACCCTTGAATAGATGCCTACCTAGCTTAGCATAATGGAAAGCCATCTTACAAATGCTCTGCTTCAGCCTCGGGAGCACCACAACCAAAATCCACGCGCCAAAGTTAATAATTCTCCCATGTTTTAGTCTCAATCCGAATGATAGATTATTTCATCATTCCAGCCATGATAGCATCATTTGGGACAGGCAGTTTCCAAGGCTTTCACCGCATCCTTAACTTTCTGGCCAAAATCGAGTGGCGGACCAGCATTGCCAGTCAGCATGGCAGTTTTGCCACTGGTATCATTGACCAAGAGACCCAGCATCATGGTGCGGCTGCAGACATCTTGGAATACACCGAGTGCTGCTTGATCACCGGATCCTTTGCTTCATCAGTATCAATGGATAGTATGAGGATGGTGATAGGGATGAACGGGATGGTGTTTAGCTTACCGACTGCACCACCGAATTGACTAGGATACTGGACGGATTTCCCATTTTTAACATTTTCGTACTCACTCAGCATGTATTTGGAACGCATGACAAAGTCCCATACATGGTAAAGAGTTGGATTTTTGTTTGGGGGGTTCTCCCATTTGGGATGTTCAATGAGTGCACTAGTTTCGTTAATAGATATAGAATTCCCTTTTCTGGGACATAGAAGCATGGTGAGTTGTCAAACATACTCGATTATACCTTCAAGGCGAGCTGCAACATCTTCTCGCTGTTGAGGGGTGGGGAGTGGGAGTTGCGTAGTCATGATGGACGGGTGCGGAGTCTGTCTGTCTGTTGTCGGATATGGATTACGTGAGGAAAAAGGAGGAAAAGAGGACTAGCGAAGACTACTAGACTTTCGACACTTCTTTCTGACTTGTATGTAATGTATGTATGTATACTTACTTATCCGCTTTGACTCCGAGAGAGAGAGGTTGGGCAGTGAAGTGAAGTGAAGGGATGTATCCGGATCGGATCTCACTCCTCACCGTCTTTTTTGATCGGCAGTGCATTGCTTCGACGTGAATCAGCCGCTTCTCGGCACATTTGAGAACGGCAAGGGGCGTTGGTTGCGTTGCCCCTTGAGCTTGGCTTGGCTTGAGACAAAAATGCAGGGGAAGCTCGCTCCTTACGAATCCAGCCAGCCCCAGCCGAGTTCTCTCTCACGGGCCACTTACCGAACCAAGCTCCGTTTATTAGTTACAATTAAACACACGCACGCCCAAGACAAAAAATCTCGTGGTCTTGAGATTCTCTCCTCCATTCCATTCGAGGAGCTTGCAACAACCATGGCTTCCAATCCCCAGAGTACCAATGGCTCTGAGAGCGAGTTCGAGTTCATTGAAACTCCCAAAGCTCCCACGCCCACATTCGAGAAATTCGAGGAGTGTGGTGTCAGGACAACCTCCGTAAGTAGTATTATCCTCACCGCATTTATCATGGCTTTGAGCCATTCCGCTGACATCAATTGGCTTCTATCTTACACTCTTAATAGTATCCGGCAATCAAGAATGCTCCTCTCCCAGCAGACGGCCCCGGCTCCGAAAGCTTTTCCAACACCATCCTCTTCTCCCTTCTTGCCTTCGTCCCCACATACCTGTCATGGAAGCTCGGCGGCGGGCTGAAGACCACCATCTTCTTCGGTCTCTTTACCTCGATCCCAATCCTGGTTTCCTTCTGGTATCTCGCTTCGTCCTTCTCTCCCCGCAAAAATGACAAGGTCAAGTTACCAGGTCGCCCTGTGGAGTATTACCTTACTTTCAAAAATGAGGCCGATAAGCTCAAATACAGAGGCTCCAACAAAATTCCCCTGGAGACTTTCTACTCCATGTATTTTGCTGGCGATGTGGACTTCAATGGGGACTGCTTGGAAGTCATGGAGTACAGACATGACTGGGCAAGCTTCCAATTCACCATGACCCTGTTCAAATATGTCTTTTTCGTCTTCGCACCCGAAGTTGTCATGCACACCCGATCCCAAGGTACAAACAGTCCATCGCATCTCTCTTGATATTTTCTAATGTGTATCGCAGATGAGGAGCAGGTCCGTGACCATTACGACCGAGGTGATGATTTCTACGGCTGGTTCCTCGGCCCACGCATGATCTACACTTCCGGTGTCATTTCCGATATCAACAAGGAGGAAACTCTCGAACAACTGCAAGATAACAAGATGGCCATTGTATGTGAGAAGATTTCTCTCAAGAAGGACGAGAAGCTTTTGGATATTGGTTGTGGATGGGGAACCCTTGCCAAATTTGCAAGTGTTCACTTCGGCGCCCAAGCCACTGGTATCACTCTTGGTCGTAACCAGACTGCATGGGGTAACAATGGCCTCCGAAAAGCTGGCATCCCAGAAGAGCAAAGCAAGATTCTCTGCATGGACTACCGCGATATCCCTGTCCCAGAAAGCAAATACGACAAGATCACCTGTCTCGAGATGGCTGAGCACGTTGGTATCCGACACTTGACGAGCTTTTTGAAACAGTGTAATGAGATGATGACCGATGATGGCGTGTTCTTCCTTCAGGTCGCTGGTCTCAGAAAGACTTGGCAATATGAGGATCTCATTTGGGGTCTTTTCATGAACAAATACATCTTTCCCGGTGCCGACGCATCTACTCCTCTGAACAACTACGTGAACTCGTTAGAAAGCGCTGGTTTCGAAGTCAAGAACGTTGATACTATCGGTGTTCACTACTCTGCTACGTTGTGGAGATGGTATAGGAACTGGATCGGCAACAGCGACAAGGTCAAGGCCAAGTATGGCAACAGATGGTACAGAGTAAGTTTTCCAGTCACCTTTAATTGATATTTGTGCTTACGACTATAGATTTGGGAATTCTTCCTTGCCTACTCTACCATTATCTCCCGCCAAGGCTCCGCAACCTGCTACCAAATCACTCTTGTCAAGAATATCAACTCCACCCACAGAGTCGAGGGTATCCAATCTCAGTTCTCCCTCTCGGGTGCTCTAGCTGCAAGCAAGGTTGACCTGACGGCCACCCACGCAAAGAATGTTGTCGGGTGAGTAGGAGAAGGTCGCTTCCGCGCTAAACCAGGTGGGGACAGGAGAGACGACGAGGATTGGCCAATTGTTACGATAATGTTGCATGAGATCTGCCCGTGTAATAAAGTGGAAACCTGAGGAAGCACCTGGAAAGACTGTATAAATTTATTCTATGTCTAGAGCTATCAAGGGGGCAATTCGGCGTCATGTGATGCGGAAAATGAAGCTGCTACTTTATAACGAATCATGTTCTAGAGTTCTAATGAAGTTTTGTTATTGAATGTGAAATCAAATGATGTAGTAAATTTAGCCATAGGCTAAATCCCAAGTCAACGTCGTTATATTAAGATTTTCTTTGTTACGTCCCCAACCCTGTAGGAAAAGCCAGCCCGCGTCTGACGATCCGATCGAGTCTGAGCTGAGGCTCCTACTTTACTAGCGTCGTCATTTACGCGTTTGACGACCGTCTATCCGCAGCATTTCCATTTCCCATCTAATTACCTGCCTTTCCTCTTCGCATTCTTGTTAATACGCATCCACAACCCCATCATGTTCTCGGGGTCTAACTCCTACCTGAGCGGCCAGAGCGGGCGGCCAGGAGGGCCCCAGCAATTCCAGCAGCCGGGTCAACAGCAGCAGCAACAAGGTGGCTTTCTCAACCCCAATCCTACCGGCTATGGAGCTGCTCCATTACAGCAGAACTATACGGGCTACCCTGTGCAGAGTCAGCCAACAGGTTTCCAACCTCAACCTCAAGCTCAACCCATGCAACCGCAACAGACGGGCTACACAGGGCAGGCTTCGCCGTTCAGTGCTCCGCAGCAACAGAGCTTTCAGACAGGAGCCCCCCAGTACCACAGATCCCCCAGCAATTCCAAACGGGAGCTCCTCCAATGCCACCGATTCCTCAGCAGTTCCAGAACCAGCAACCGCCGCAGCCTCCAGCAGCTCCAGTTCAACAACCTCAGCCTACGGGTTTCTCAGCGATGGCCGATAGCTTCAAGACAACACCATCGGCTCCGGCCAGAGGACGTAGGGTGTCGAAAGCAAAGACCGGTGCGAGGATACCAAATATCAGGCTGTCGTTCATCACTGCGCATGACCAGGCAAAGTTTGAGACTCTGTTCAAGTCTGCGGTTGGGGATGGGCAAACGCTTTCGGGAGATAAGTCGCGGGATTTATTACTACGATCGAAGCTGGATGGCAATTACTTGTCTCAAATATGGTAGGATAGACTTCCAAGGATTTACAGTGTGGGTTAGTTGCTAACGATTGTTCCAGGACACTTGCAGATACCACCAGAGCCGGACAACTGCATTTTCCCGAATTCGCACTCGCAATGTATCTTTGCAACCTGAAGCTTAATGGCAAGCCTTTGCCCTCCGTTCTTCCCGAAAATATCAAGAATGAGGTTTCTAGCATGGTGGATATAATCAATTTTGGCGTCGCAGATAATGGACCAGACCTTTCGCAGCAGACGAATGCACCCGATTTTAATGCTCGAATGAACGTAGCTTCGCCGCCTACAATTCAGCAGCCTCAACCAATACAGTCAAACTCAGCTCTTTTGACGACACAGATGACAGGTTTCCCTGCCCAGCAGAACAACTTTTCTGGTGGCTTTCAAGGACAGCAACAGACTGGCTTCCAGCAGCCTATGCAAACGGGTTTTAACCAAGGTCAGCAAGGAGGATTGCAGCCACAGCAGACTGGATTTCAGAATATGCCGAATCCATCCACAACTGGTTATACAGGGCCCCGTCCTCCTATGCCTCCCATGCCCACTGGATTTAGCCCGAACCAAGGCCTTTCTCCCGCACAAACTGGGATGGGCATGATTGCTCCGTTGAATAGTCAGCCTACAGGTCGCCCGGGACAATGGGGATTAGTCAATGCTCCTGCAAGTGGTTTACCAAACATCGATCTCTTGCAATCAAGGATGATGCCTCAGCAAGGCCGTGAACAAGGTGCTTTTACAACATCTGGTCTACAGGGAAATGCAGTCATTCCTTGGGCTGTCACTAAAGATGAAAAGCAACGATATGATGATATCTTCAAAGCATGGGATGGATTCAATAAGGGCTTCATTGGTGGTGATGTTGCCATTGAAGTCTTTGGACAAAGTGGATTAAACAAGCCTGATCTCGAGCGAGTGTGGACATTGGCGGATCACGGCAATAAGGGACGACTTAATATGGACGAATTTGCGGTCGCTATGCATTTGATCTACCGGAAGCTCAATAATTATCCGTTGCCAGCTCAGCTACCCCCGGAGCTTATCCCGCCTTCTACCCGAAACTTCAATGATTCCATTGGGGCTGTCAAAAGTTTGCTTCACCAAGAATCTGATTTCCGTAAGAATTCTGGAGCGAGTCTTTTGCCACAGAAGACTGGAGTTAGCTACCTCAAAAACCATTCCTTCAGGGGTGACTCAGGTGCTTCTAGATCTATCCGAAAGGATGCCACGGTCTTCAAAAACAACGATGATAATGTTGGTTACAAATCTAGCGCTCGCCGGAGGCTGGGCGGATCTGGTTCTCCACGACCATCTTCTCCATCTTCGACCTCAAGTGATGATCTATCATTAGAGCAAATCCGGAAGAAGATTCGCGAGAAGCAAGTCCTGCTCGATGCAATCGACTTCAAGGATGAGAATGCTGCCGACGAGGATGATTTGCTTGATCGAAAGGACCGACGTGAAGCTGAAGATCTGTATAATCGTATTCGTCGTATCCAGGAGGATATCGACGCTCATCCTGATGCTTCGTTGCGAAACGTCGATTCTGGCGCTGAGCGTCGTATTTTGAAGCGACAATTGCAGGTCTTGACGGACAAGCTACCCGAGATTGCGTCCCAGGTGCGAAGAACAGAAAGAAGCATTGCCGACGCCAAAATGGAGCTATTCCGATTGAAAGACTCGAAGGCTCACCCAGGTAGCGCCTCTAGTATTGTTGGCACTGGACCCGGTGGCTCAGTGACCGAAGCGGATAGACTCAAGGCAAAAGCCAAAGCGATGATGCAGCAGCGCACTGCTGCTTTGACTGGAAGAAAGATTGAAAGTACTGATGATGATTTCGCTGCGCCTAAACGTCTAGAAGAAGAGAATTCGAATATCCGAAATGAGAAAGAGAACAATGAACGCATGGTCAAGGATGTTGAGGATAGCGTACGGGACTTCTCTCGCGGTTTGGAGGATAGTCTCAAGGAAGGATCTGAAGACTCAACGAGTGAACATGAGAGACGAAGGTGGGAGGATGGCCTTGGGGTTGAGGAAGAGGTCAAGGAATTCATCTTTGATCTTCAGAGATCTAGCAGGTCTTCAAAGGTCAGGACAGAAGATCGTAACCGAACCACTCAAGATGCACCACGTGCCGAGCCATCCCGCTACGAAAGCCCCGCTGCTTCACACAGTGAGCCACGTACGGCGAAGCCTGCAGCTGCTGCACCAGCCGCTGGCGGTACCTACTCTCAGTACAAGACCCCAGAGGATCGAGCCGCATACATCAAGCAACAAGCCGAGCAACGCATGGCTGAACGTCTTGCTGCCCTTGGTATCAAGGCACCAAGCAAACCAGGCGAGTCGACTCAGCAGAGGCTAGACCGAGAGAAGAACGAGCGTGCTGCCAAACTTCGACAAGCAGAAGAAGAGGATGCTAGACGTGAGGCCGAGAGGCAAGCTAGGATTAACGAGGAACAGGGCATACCACCTCCAGCGCCCGCTCCAGCTGCCCCTGAACCAAGAGGCACTGCAAAGAAACCACCCCCACCTCCGTCAAGAAAGGCAGCTAAGAGCGACGCCAGTGAGCGCAAAGCTGAAGAAGAGCAGCGAGTTCTAGAAGAGCAGAAGGCGCAAATTATCGCTACACAAGATCTCGAGTAAGTCGTTCTAAATGGATGAATATTATATATGCTAAAACTATCAGGGATGATGCAAAACGCCAAGAAGCTGAGATCGACAAAGAGCGTCAAGCTTCGCAAGCTCGTCTCAAGGCTCTCGAGGACCAAGTGAAAGCCGGCAAGATTAAGAAGGAAGAAGAGAAACGAAGAAAGAAGGCAGCTCACGCCGAGACTAAACAAAACGAAGCCAGATTGGCTGCTCAGCGAGCTGAAATTGAGGCCGCTCAAGCTCGGGAACGAGAATTGCAACGTCAGTTGGAGGCTATGGACGCTGACGATGATGATGACTCGTCAGAGGATGAAGGTCCAGAGCAAGTTACTCCACAAGCTTCCACGCCAACCCAAGGCAGTCAAGAGCTGGACAGGAAGGAGATATCACCGCCTACACCTCCAGTACCAGCTTTCGTCCCCCCTGTGCCCTCTCCAGCCGCGACGATACCCCTTCCAGTTGCTAGCCCACCAACAGCAGATACCGAAACAAAGAACCCATTCTTGAAGAAACTTGCACAGGCCGGCGGCGAGGGACCATCCCCTGCCGCTCAATCCTCGGTCTCCAACAACCCATTCCACCGCCTACCATCCCAAGAGGTCGCAAAATCACCTGAGCCCATCGCTACTCAACCTACCGGTAACCGCCCATCCCGTGTCCGCCCAGAAGAAGATGACTGGTCCGTCGTCGGTTCCGATAAAGAAGACGATTCATCCGATGAGGAAGGTCCTGGAGCAGGCAACGCCCGTCAATTGGCGTCCATCCTGTTCGGCACTATGGGTCCGGCCCGTCCTCTCTCCGCAGCAGGAACAGGCCCCGGCTCCACACCCACAAGCCCTGCTCCAGCTCATGATTCTCCCGCCGCTCCTCCACCACCAGCCATGCCTTTCTTCGGAGCTCCTGGAGCTCCCCCACCTCCTCCACCAATGCCAAGCGGTGGTGCACCTCCCCCACCACCTATGCCCAACATGAGCGCCCCGCCTCCTCCGCCTATGCCATTTGGTGCTCCTGCTCCGCCGCCTCCGCCTATGCCTACTGCTGGTGCTGGTGCTGGTGCGCCCGCTGGAGCTGGACGTCCTTCTGGGTTGTTGGGTGAGATCCAGATGGGGAAGAATTTGAAGAAGACTCAGACCAAGGATAAGAGTGCTGCTTCGGTTGCAGGGAGAGTTCTGAATTGAGTTAATAGTATAGGTTTGGGATCGAGGCATTGGGAAAGAGTTGTATTATATTCGTGATGAGGGATGATTGGAAAGCACATATTGAGATAGAAATTCCAGATTGAGTTGAACACATTTTGTTCTCATAATTTATCAAGCAAAAGTTTTCCCTGAACCTCGCCACTACATGGTTAGTGTCTCCCTCTAACTGCTAAATTTTGCCCTTCCTATTGCTATATTTTAGTTCCGACTCTAAAGCTTTTTGTCGAATCGTTCCAGTGCTATCTTATTGCTGTTCTACCTAACTCCTATTGTATTGATCCACTAACAAACATGCACAAGACACAGATTCAGAGTCATGGTATCACATTTAAAATTGGTCGATCAGTCATTTCACTGAAAATTTTCAGAGATGAGATGCGCAGTGATAAGACCGAGTACATTGTAAAATGTTAGTGGACCTCATCAAGCTGACCGAATTACTGGGCGTGATATGATATCCTCGAGATGCAAAATTAGGGGGAAAGGCTAGTTCTGCAATATCACTGCATGTTGCAACGAAGGAGGCAGGTGAAAGAGCTGCTGATTCTGGGCACATACTCGAGCGACTTAGTCGGTGTGGATGAAGCTCTTGTGTTTCTCAGGGGGGAAGCAAACTAGACAGGTTTCTTGTAAAATTTAATAACGTATTCATAGTCTAGAATGAACAAAGCGCCATAAAAAGAGCCTTGTGAAAAGGTCAAGCTGTGTTCGAGTGCGATGTAGCCGTCCGCGTCTCAAAGGATAAGTCGCCCGACGCATAGAGACTTCAGGCTCCACAAAGTAGTTCAAATTCTGCGAAAATGTGATTGCACGCCGAGTAGAGTCTCAATAGCATCGTGACAATTGAGCATTGCGAAGGTCCTACCTCCCTCTTTTCTCTAAACTTAATCAACGATTAGGCGTTTCGATTACAGTCCAACGCAACCTACCTTTTGTCGTCAGGGTAATACCTGAGAGTTTGCGAACGCCCTTACCTCCCTCCACCCGAGGCTTGACGACGCACTCGGCCTTGCTGTTTGAACATCGTCGATGGGATGCATTTTTCCCATCAACTTCGCATGCCATCTAAATTGGCCGGGTAGAGTCGAACCAAACCAGTTTACTACACTCGTCCGCCAGTAACACTGCTTGTTTGTCCATCAACAACGCAGCCTTCAGGTCCATTCGCGTCTCTTACATCTTGCCTGAGTTGGCTGTGCCACCCTTTGTCTCCAATCTAGCTGTCTGTCACTCGTGTCCTTGTAAGGGGGGATCGTGGCATCAATTCATGCCTTATCGATGCTTCAAAAGTGATCGTCGGTACATACGAATGTTCTTTTTTGGGTGCAGCAGCCTTTGGTCAAGATGTGCCCATCTCATTGATGTACCTCTATATACCTGTACTGATAGTTCTTTCTGACGACTAAATCTATGTAAGCAAAGAGCCAAGAAGATGCTGTTCTCCTATGCGGGGCCATAAACAAGTGTAATGAGAGTTATATAACCATATGCATGATGATGCTTTTGCAAACCCTCAAAATGTCTTCGCCATCAGATTAAACTCGGGAATCTTGGAAAAAACACCTTTGTGCGATTGTACCACTCGACTACTGGTTAGGGCAACTGGGGAACAGAAAGCCTGCCGGGGGATGCATCCGAGACCTAATCTAGGGTACATCCGTGGGGTGGCATCGCTTCTTATGTCGAGGACCCTTAGTGTTATCCTGCATACTTTCTTCAGTACAATCAATCTCATCGCACGATAGTTGATGGCATGAATTCGATGCATATTGCAGACTCCAAAGGATGGTGGGGTCATCGAAGTGAACAAGGCTTGGTGGGAATTGGATGTTCTGGATTCCAGGAATTCGGTCTGGGGGAAGTTGCGACGCCGTGGAGCAGTTCTCTGATCGGGTTTCCCCATGGACAACTTCGTCGAAGATACAAATACAAATACAAATACTTCTTTCGTATATTGCATGTTCCCGCGAAGAAGGAATACAAAACTCTACTCTCATCAAGTCCGCAGTAGTACAGTACAGACAGGGCTGACCATGTCAAACTGGGATTGCCAGCACCAACATCATCATCGCGCATGCTGGCGTATCGATTGCCGGCACCACCAGTGACCAGACGAATGAGTCCCTTCATCATCACCATCCCCATCACCATCACGCCCAGTCTCAGCCATTCTATATTCGTATTATTGGCCGAGCATGATGGGCAGGAACGCATGACATTTGGATGATTGGGCTTGACCGTGTCCGTGTTCCTGCCCAACCCCATTTACCGGCCTAAGTACAGGCTCTGAGGCCCAAGGTATTTCCTTGTACTATTCACCCTGGTTCCCACTATTCCAGAGTTCCAGAGCGCTGCCACGCCGTCTGTATCACAGCTATCGCTCGCTGTAGGGAGCCGCCTGCGCCGTTCCGTCCTGACGAGTTAGGCTCCGATCATTCTATCTCGCCCAATAATGCCTGAACGCAGCCACAAGCAACCCAACTCCAAACACTCGCTCTGCGGGCCTCATCGTCGTCTGAAGGGAAAGACCCTGATGCCCCCAAGTACAGTACATCGCCGAGTACAGTAGGTTCTCAAGAAGATCTCTCCTTTGTGTTGCCGAGTAATCCAAATTATAATTTACACACACCCATTTGTTTTGAATTATTCCTTTGACTTGCCCAGCTTCGCAGAGTGGCAAATATCCAAAACGAAGCATTTCCTGCATTTGTTTGTTTATATCCTGGCCAGAACTCGAGATCCTCCCTGGATCGCCCTGCCACGGCTGCCAGACTTGCAGCTTACCCGTAGCTTCACGCTGGCGCTTCCATAGCGTATATAGATCCAGGAGGCAGATCATTGTATTGCTGACTATAAATTAGCGGCTTCAATCCCATCCCAGAGCATAAAGGATCTCGACTACCTTGCGAACTCAAAATTTCCCAGGTCGGCCCACCGCCTTGTTTTACTATCCATCCAGTACAGACATCCTAGGCAAGACCCCATCATTACTTCGGAGAACCACCCAGGACCCGTCATTGACCCTTAGGAATAAGTTCCCCGTCAACCGAGAATCCATTGGAGAAAACCATCTGTTTGATTTCCTTTCGTCTTGTTGTACATTTGCTCTCTCATTCTTCTTGCCGTGGAAACAATTGCCTAGAAATGATGGCCGCAAGAAGAAGCCTTCAAGTCCAACCGGACTACGGTCACGGACGTCCCATCTCGAGTTCGTTTGTGGACTCCTCGAGAAGGTACGAAATAATCTGATGATCAGGATTTGTGATCCAAGGCTAACCGTCGCAAGCTCTACATATCCGGATGTCACTCGCACTGCGTATGACAGTTTATCATATTACCCTACGTCGAGGTAAGGTTGTTATGCCCAGAGCTTGAAGCCAAAACACTGAAGGTCCATCTCGAAGCGCCTCGTACACTACGGACGTGCCAGCTTCAAGTTTTAGTCCGATCCCCATTTCCTCCGGCTCCTCTCTCCTACGTTCAGATTCGACGTACACTTCCAGCGGCTACAACGCCGGCCCATCATCAGCCATCTATGGATCTGCTGGACCTGGGTATGGGTCATATACCAGCTCAGCCTCAACTTGGGAACCTCAAGGCAGAGTCTCCCCTGAGAGTTATTTGGATGATTATGTTTCTTCCCCAGGTCCCGCAGATTATATGACCGAATCATCAAGCAAAGCTTCCGGAAAGTCCAAGTCCGATAGCAAAGGGCATTCCCAGCAAAGACGGCCATCTAACCGGGATGAATTTGACGGCCCCCATCAATTTTTGCAACGACCCCCTCCTGAATACATCGCCCAGCAGGAGAGAGATCTGCCACATCTCCCCACCAATCTCATCGTTCACGAGCAGGATAATATTCTCACCAGGGTGAATGACCGGCTTTCTCAATGCGCCTTTGATTTTGTGGCCAAGTATCAATTTCCAATACCTCTAGCCAATGGAGAATTAAGACCTGTGGAAAGACCCCAAGACCGGGAGTGGACTGAGTGGGTATATCTCCTGAAACGACTTGCTACCAAAAGACGCATTCCGGCAAGGGTGCTTTACAATGGCCAGATCAAACAATTCATTACCATATTGGAAAATTCCTTGGAAATGCGGCATGCTGCCAAGCATCAATCTCGCCCTCTGAAAGACGACAGGAATATCCTCCAATTAATATCAGCTGGAATACAAGTCGCGAAGATCCTGAAAGATTCCAGTGCCATGGAGTATCTGGATCGATTATACGTTACGACCGAGAAGCAGATCCAGGAAAGAAGCGTTAGCGCCCGCTATCGTTCTTGATGGAGTTTTCTGCGTTATGTTTGCAGATTTATACGTTGCAGTTGTGTAAGTGTTAGGAGCCTTTCGACATATATTTGGTTCGCCGTGCACTTTGGCCTGCCCTCTCTTTGTGCATCCTCTATTGGATCATGTTCTGGAACTACCAGGGAATCTCTTTTCATTCTCTGCTTTCTATTGCGCCATCTGTGAGAGCTATGCCGCATTCAAGGACCACTGATTCCACAATCAACCCCATTTTGGAGACTTCCAAGGAAAATGCCCACTTGCCACAGGATTTCGTTTTTCAGGAAGAGGTGATCTTGAGCTCGGGTGATCCGTTTCCGAGCCTTGGGAAACTGATATGTTGGATAGACCAATGAAGTCTTTATTGACATGAGTTTGCGGAGCGCCGGGGCTGAAATTTTTCAAATTCGAGTTAGAATGCGATACCACGTGGCCAAATTTTTGAGTGGACCACAATGGAGGGAGTACCGAATATCGTGGCATTTACAGATTAGTTCCAGGCTCCTCGCCTTGTTGATGGCTGTCGTTCGACGTATCGAATAGTTTTTTGTTCTCAGTTTTGCATTGGGAGGCAGCGACGAATAGCTTTTTAGTACCGCGAAGCCGGGCGTCGGGGCGGGTTTTGATTCTGAATTATTTGCAGAGGGAGTGTCGGATATGTCGTTTTGGTTGCGGTGACGAAAAGGGCAAGGTGCTGTGCTTATGTATGTAGAGTGTGTTGGACATCTGTCATCCAATAACAGTTTTCACTCAACATATTTACGCGCTCCCCACATGCTCCAACGTGTCCAATTAAGCAAGGATGCTTATCAAAAACTCCACAGAGGGGTGACCTTGGCGGGCGCCACCCGGTATCCAGAAAGGTAATATCGGTAAGTGCAGAGCCTCTTCCAGTATGTCCTTCTAGGCATCTGCTGAGACAAGAGGCAGTCTTCTTCACTCAGAGTATATCATATATTTGACCATGACGCTTGGGTTGGTGGTCTAACAATAAATACTGTGTACTGACTTGCCCGAATTGCGTGCTCTCATTGGACACCGAGTATTCAAAGCCACAGCCTCGTGTCCCGTCAACCTGTTGCCTGATCTCTCCGAGCTCGAAATATATCCATTGCTGTTCAAATTGGGCAGTCCAAATATCTCTAGAATGGCAGGCATCAACGGTCCCCCGAGGAGCCTCAAGCATCGCAAACAGCCTCAGCAAAATGTGCAATCTCAAATCGAGCCTGGTTCCTGCCCAGCCGAAATGATTCTCGATGGTACGACATCAGGCTACACTGCGACGACCTCGGATATGATGTATGATACTGGGTATAGTGGGGAGCCTGGATACTACATGGACGTCGCAGGGAGCGAGAAACAAGGGTCGAATCTGGATGCTATGAGTTTCGTCAATCTTGCGGGTACTAGTGACATGACGCATACCTCCAGCAGCTATGTGATGGTGCGCAAGAGAGTGAACTCCAACGAGTCTAACGGGACGTCGGCAGAGGGATCAGAGAACCAAATGTACTCGGTTCCCCCGAGTTGTGGCTCTGCAGATTGGCACCATGGCGCTGATTTCGCGGTCGATATGGATCCCACGGAGGAAGACCCGTTTCAGACAATGGCGCCACACGATCCAAAAAACCTTCTCTCTGGCATGTATAGCCCGGGTATGAACTTTTTGAATATCCCCATCTTTCACAAGCTGATTGGTTTAGAACCAAGACCAATCCCAAACCCTTATTCGCCAGAAGAAACAGTGAGTGCTAATAGTGGAAGTCCTGCAAGCCATGAATACATAGACAACTACACAACGAATTCCACGGACCAGAGCAGGACATTTACTTTACCTTCCAGGTCTTCCGATGATCCATGGACCCACTATGAGCCCTATCGCGTTCCACGATTTGATCCCGGATATACTGTTTTCGCGCCTTCTCCTGGCCCGGCCGTGGAGAACGACCAAGAAGAAGTTCGTTCGGGAATTTCGATGCAGAAAGTTAATTCAAGAAATCACGGCCCTCGCTCCATGAAATCTATCTACAAGGGGAAGGAACGGGTCAAAGAGCGCGGGTGGGAACATGCCGTGGTTCAAAAAGGTGGGCTGCAGCTGATATTGAACCCAGAAGAGCAGACAAGCCAACGTGGAGGGTGCCGAAAAGGAAAGCTGGATCCAGAAGCTGCAATAAAAGCTCGTAGGATCCGTAGAATAACAGCATGCTGGAACTGCTGGATCCAGAAAGTCCCTGTAAATGCTCCTCGGAACTTACTACACATAAGCGTAGACTAACAATAGCAATTCAATAGTGCTCAGAGGGAAAGCCGTGTGATCGCTGCAAGAAACAATTCTCACCATCTGCAAGCAACCTCTGCTGCAGGTCCCACTTCAAAGAATATGAGTCTGCGCTCTTCCCAGGTACGACCTCTTTTGGATTTTATTTGGATCCCGTACTGACGGTGTAAGAATACCTACATTCCCACTTTAAGAAACGTAAGATCGAGGATCTCGTCAATGAGCACACCAGTGGCTTCAGAGATACTGTGTTGGAGATCGATATCGCAACAGGAGAGTGTTTCACGCCGATGAGGTTGTCGGCTAATGTTTTCAAGCCAAAATCATGGGAGCTTTTAAGTCAGCATCGCCTGGCGACAGAACAGGAAGAACAGAACTCGCCACTCGTACTGCAGATCAGTGCCCCCGTTGGCCTTCTTGGCCTCTCAACTTCGGAAATGAAGGATAAATGCAAAGAACATGTCGCGGAGATGATCGCAAACCCAGAGTACGCTGAGCAAGTGACTGCTGGGTGCAACAGCCAGATTCCGTACAGCATTTTGGCAGCGGCTACACAGTTCTCGAAGTGTAAAGACGTAAGTTTTGCATTGCCGCATATGCAGAAGGTGCTAATAGAGACTTATAGGTACCACTCGTCCATAATGTCCTAATGCTTCATGCAATCAACTACTTTATGAAAACTTTGATCACCTTCTCCGAGGAATCCGCAAGAAGTGTATATCAAACCCTACAACCTTTTGGAGGGGCCCTCGAGCCGTATCTCTCCTCTCGACTACTTAGCCGGCAGGTCAAGTACGCCATGCATAAGCTAAGCCGAGAGATAACCGTCGAGGTCCTCGAAGGCTTGGAGCGAAGTATGAGATCGAGAACAAAGGATTCATGGCCCGTGTCATTCTGCGCATTCCTTGTCCTTTGCCTCTGTATGGAAGGCTTGCAGATTGCCTGCGATATATACGTTGTCTGTGATATCGAAAAATGTCAGAAGGATGGTTCCAACTCGGCGTTTAACCGCTTTCAGAGTTACCAGGCGTCCACCGTAATCGATGAAAACCCCTTCAGCCAGTGCCAGAGACTGTTCCACGACATATATAGATCACACAAGGAGTCGAACAGAGGTGCAAGAGAGGCAGGGTTCAATCCACTTCGGAACCTAGCAAACAATGACAGGAGCACAGGCCTCGAGCTAGCAGCAGATGTCATGCTGAAGTCGATATACCAGATGATCTGCCATTCATGTAAGGCAGTACATCCCACTAAGCAAGGACTAACAAGCTGACTTGCACAGATCCTGAAATCATAGACCTTTCCGAGCGGCCTCCTTTAGTCAATAATGGATATTCGTTTGACCCGGAGAGTATCAAAATCAACGGAACAGGCCGCCTGGTTTCCAAATTCTTGAGGTCGTTCTTCCCCGACCACTACTGGCCTGCTGCGTGATGCTGGATTAGATTCTAACTTGTCATGAGGAAACATGGTCTGCGTGGGAATGTGCAACGATTTCAAAATTATTGTGATATTATTTGCATTTATGGAGTTGGAGATCGCCGCCGCAAGCCCGAGGCATTGGTGGGCATGTTTGCGGCGTATACACCACCCAGTTATATAACGACAGTTGTAATGAAAGCTCTTTCGGAATAGTTCGTATCATCTTAGACAGGTGCTACGATGTTTGTTTGTCCTGATTAGTCCTCCTGGCGCACTTGTCAACGCCAGCAGGGTGGATAGGACTGGCTGTCTAGGCCGTTGGTTCTTTATCCCACGAACGATATTTAAAATAATTGACACTCAAGTCCATGAAGAGGCACAGGAGGTAGTAATATGTGGTTGGTATTGGTTGGAACAGTAATGGAAACAAGAAACAAAAGCAGGAGATAAATACTCGTACACGTGAAATATGGTACGGGTGTCAGCTCCAGGTATTGCGTGCACCGATAATGGCAACAGCAGCGACAATGTTAATCACTGCGAATAAACAATTACGAAGTAGAGGCATAGTCATGAGCGTCGATGCAGAATGGTGCGTTGGTTTTTCGTGAGGAAGAAGAACAGAAGACGCAGCTGTGGAAAAATTTGAAGAACATGAATGCTAGCGGCCATAAGCGAATGCTTACTAATCGACGCTATGTGCACGTGCACGTCCCCAAGCAGTGCAGTACAGTTGCAGCCTTGGCCTGATTGGTTCTTCTTCCTCTTCTTGCTTGGAGCGGATCTGGGATTTCTTCTTACACATTATATGAACACAGCTACTCCCCCGCTAGAACCATTCACCCAACTGACTAGTCGTTTATACTGTCGTGTTACAGTTATCATAGTCGAGGGACTTATTTAACTGTGGCTGATCACCTAATGCGAAAGACTCGTTATGCAACCCTAGCCTAGGTACTTCGAAAATAGAGTCAAAACCCCGTTGCTAGTGAACTACCCATATGTAGAAACGGGGGTCAGAACCTTAAGGACACAGGTCCAGCGGTTTTGTAACCCACAACTGAAATGGCAGATAAAAAGCAAGATGTGACAATCGTGAGTGTGTCGTGCACTTGCGTGAAGCGCCATTTCTCCTTATTTCTGAATAGAAACTCCTTTCCAATCCCCAAACTCCATACTACTACCAGACCATTACTCCAACTCCCAAAAATCAAGCAAACATATCAATCAAATCATTAAGCCACTCCACCACCTCCACCCCCCGTCTCAGCACCTCGTTTTTCTCAAAGCAACTCCCCTCCTTATACAGCTCAATCTGTTGCTCAATAAAACTTCTGTCTTGGGAATTCTACTCCCTATCAGCACGCCTTCCTCAACCTTCCCAAAACTTGACCAAGACTTGGGTCAAAAAACAAAGAACAAACAGGAAAAAGGATGAGGGGGCATACAGTCTTCCTACTAGCCCACAGCGCCTGGAACCACCCCAAATTCTCAAACACGGCACTCTGGGACGTCCAGCGGTACTTCATCTGCCGTTCCTGGATCGGAAGGAGAAAGTTTGCCGTTGAATAGAGGAAGGCGTGATATTGGGTGGTTGTGACGGTGCAGTTTTGTTCCTAATCTTACGTCAATGATAGGGACGGGGAGATGTGGGAGTCCGTGGGGGCGGGAAGGAGAGGCTTACGGGAGGCTCCAAAGTTAGATCAAGAGGCTTTTCTAGTTCTGCCAGGAGGAAAGAGCAGAGGAGGTGGAGGGAAGCTGCTATTGTCTGTCGGAATCGTATGATTAGCAAGAATCTCAAGGCAAAGTCTGGTATCAGACACAGATTCGGGGCCCCCTCATGCCAGGGCCTTGACTGCACGCATCCTTATATCCTGGGTACCTCATATCCTGGGTACCTCATATCCTGATGTTTCATCCCAACACCCTAAGATATAAATGTAGTGCAAAAACAAGACAATAGACTTACATCTTCAACCTCCATCCCATGCTCATCTTCATTCCCACCCCTCAACAACCTCTGATCCCCCATTAGGGCCCTCGCCATCTCATCGACTTCACCCAACGTCTCACTTCCGTCAACAATATGTTCCCTACACTCATCCGTAATCACCGTAAGATTCCTCATCGTCTGAAGCGTGAGAAGCGCGCATGTCAGGTGCGCGTAGCACGCCAGGGCTAGTGCCGTGGGCAGGATGGGAATGCGCATTTCCCAAGGCTAAAGTTTTGATTGTTTATTATAAAAATACGCGGAAGTTTTATGAAGATGTCCTAAATAGGGCATGAGTTGGTACCAAGAGGAGGCAAATGAAACGTGTTGTCGATATTGATGAGGTAGGTATTGCTAATTAATGCCTGGCCACGATGTATGGAGGACCAATTGACTTCTGGCGCGGACTTGGGCCTACCGTAATTAGCAAGGTACTTAGTGTCGGGTGTCGCCAAGCAAAAGCTTGTATCGCAGCTGCAACCCTCCGCAAAGTGGACATCGAAGAAAATAATAACCAGGCAGCTTTATCTCCACGTGGGTCTGTGTTCATGTCGAGGCACTATTGTTATAACATCTAGGATCACCCTGTGGACAATGATACTACTAAGTTTTCGATAGTCCATGCTATAGACGCCTTTGGCTTCGGCCAAATCTGCTCTAAGAGTTAATGGGGAAATCACACATGGCATTACTAGGAACAACGGTCAAATTTATCGTAGTAGGCCTATATTTCACTATTCTTTCACCAGCCCTATCACCGCTGACCTCAGCCGGCAGCAACGAGCTCGTCCGACCTTCACCTTCATCTGTCAAATCTATCCCCTGCCCCTTTCATTCATCGTCCCCTCATCTCTTCCTCGATATGTACGGACAGAGAACGACAACCAACCATCATGAATCAATCTCTTTGAGGGTTTCTTGCCGTCGCTAATTAATATAACTTAAAGAGAAGCATCACAAGACAAGGAAAAAAGGTATTCTCAAAACAATAAAACATGAAACCTTCCGCTAAGCAGACGAAAGGTTGACTCTTTGATAAGTAGTGCAAAAGGAAAAGGAAACAATAGTAACAACGAAGCAGAGTAAAGCCGCTTTTGCTTTCGTGGGCGTCCTCATGCCCGGCTGTTCGCATCGAAAATCCCGCAGTGGGTCACTACTTTCATAGGAGCGATTTCAAAGACGAGAGATGCAATAAGGTGACGTTGTAATGAATGACCCATATGCTGGTATAAGTGAAGAACCGCCGTATTTTGCATGATTAACGCCAAGTGTATCCGTGTCTAAAGAAATTCTTGTACGCATGCAGCACAATTAATGCCGATGATTAAATGAGACCACACAGACGCAGGTTTTCTTGGATGATTATATCTGCCAAATATTAGTCTAGTACTGTGAGAAGAACCTGGGAGCTTACCATTTACGGCTGCCATCACGAATCGGATCTGGGTGGTATCGGTGGCACAGGTGAAATGTGTATAAATCTGCTTCGTCTCGTGCTGGTTCAAGCTTACAAAGCGATTCAGGATGTAATCGCATGCTGCACCATAGTCCTCACCTCCCTCATAGTCTGGGAAGTAGTTCTTCATTGGGCTGACTGGTAGCTTCTCCTTAAATCTATCGATCTTGTTCAAGAACAAGATTATGGATGTTTTGATGAACCACCTCGAATTGCAGATCGAGTCGAACAGGGTAAGCGCTTCTTGCATACGGTTGACAGTCTCATCTTCGAAAAGCAGTTGGTCGTACTCGGAGATGGCGACTAGGAAAAGGATAGTGGTGACATTTTCAAAACAGTGGATCCACTTCTTTCGTTCCGAACGTTGTCCTCCAACATCGAACATACGGTATGTAAGGTCACCGATAATGAAGGTAGTTTCGGTGATACCGGTAGTCTTGACACGCGAGCGCAGAACGTCTTGGTCATTTGGCATGTAGTCATGCTCGGCGATCCGGTCGATGTTGTCAAAGTAGCTAAAGTGGTGGGTCAGCGAAATAGAACAAGACATCACGTTTCTTCGTACTTACTATCTAGCGGAATCGTTCAATTGGTACTCTCTTGATCGCTTGAAGCAATCTTGCACACCGGCATCTTTCCACAAGGCTGCGATAGCTGTGCCAACCTCCGGCGGTAGGTTGTCGCCTTCGATCTGGGCTGGCTGCATGAAAATAGTCTGGACATGGTATTCCGCTCTGTGATCGTCCAAAGGAAGCTCTAGTGACTCCATAGCCTCGAGAATGACCCGCATTGACTGTACAGTGTTGGAGAAAATGATCTCTTTGAAGTTCTCTCGCTCATCGCGGGAATAACCACCCTCGTGAATGAGCTTCATTTGTTTCAAGATGGTCGATTTTCCGGATTCACCAGCTCCTGCTCTGGGTATTAGCGACGGCATAGGAAACAAGTATGGACAGTGTGTGCTGACCGAGTAAAAGCATCTTGATCTCATTGCGTTGAAGCATCTTATCCCGCTTCAATTGATTCTCGATCTCCTCATTCCGGGCCTTGCCCTCCTTCTCCTCCGTGCTCATACCACAACCCATATTGGCTGATTATTAGACGGATGCTATAGAGTGTGTTGGTATCGTGTCGCTGTGCTTCTGGCAAGTGAAGCGTAGTCAGCGAAGTTGCGATCTGCGTCCAAATTTAGTTAGCGAGAGACCGGGAGAAATCGTTGATCGCAGAAGTTGAAGAGTATTGCGCGGTTCGAGTCTGCGATACTGTTGATGACGGTTGTGTCTCGATTATAGAGGAAGCTCTGCCTGGTCTATCGCAGCTGCCATCGTGATTCGTTGGTGTGATTGAGGGAACGAGAGACGAAGAAGTAATTGCGGTGCGGTGCTGCCAGGATTGGCTCCGAATGCAATGTGCCGCCGAGTGTTTTGAATAGACGAAGAGAAAGAAGAGATGGCGGGAAGAAACGTACCTATACAGTGGCAGATGCCTGGTCGGTGGTCGCCGTTTTGATGAGCAGCTGATGGATACTGCGAATTACTGTTGGGGATTGAGATGGTTGGTGATGTTTTGTAATGCAGACAAGAAGCAGCAGTTGCTCGGATTGGAAATAGAAAGGAGACAGAAATCTAAGGTACAATCCATTCACAACCAAGCTGGCGCTAGTCTGTTTTGGAAATTGAAGCGGACGGGGGGTGGGGCGCTAGGACGGTATAAAGAAAAGGCAGCCAGGGCCAGGAGCCTTCGAGCCAGGCCGCCCGAGCCAGCTGACTCTACCAAACTGCACCTAGGGGAAAACAACTTCTTCGTACATAAACCTCCGCTTACTACTATTAATATTGGGTCCAGATCGACTTCACTCACTTGTATGCAAGATTAATGTACAGCTGCAGAGAATCTTTCAAGTGAGCAATCAATACTCCGTAACAAAAGGTTGGCGTGATGGCCAAGACACTCGTTCATTAACTCTTCTGTCTAATTGTTTGATTCAATCACTTATTGATCACTCATTAATTTAATCATTCCTCCACTACCTTGTCTTTCGTGTCTTTCTCTCTGCCCTTCCCCTCCCTTCAGATTAAGCGAGAGTAGTTTATTTCGGTGTTCAATAGCGTTCAGCAGGGAACAAGGATGGGTTAGCGACACTGCCGTTCATTAATTTCTTATATCGCCGTGTATCGTTCGTGATTTGGCAGTTTAAAATGCCGGCCCGGGCATCGAAGATCAAGATCAAAAGGGGGTGAGTCCTCTCTCCTCTTTGTTGAAGATGTCCTCTTGCCTTCCCCGCCTCCCTGTCTGCAGTCAGCATTACAGTACCAGCATACCAAAGGATTCGTAACGCGCACCATCTTCTAATCTCCAACCCATACATAGCCTTGCCTTTCTTACCTACTCTTCACTCAAATAATAGCTTTTATTCCCATCAATTGTCGTGGAAGTACCTAGTGCAAGAAAGTCTGGAAGAATTACCCAGTCAGTCCAGGGGCTATCGAAGAGAGGGCTTGCTTCAATTGTGGACCCGTAGCCAGCGGCCCTGTAAATTAATTCTTTAGTACCGACTCTACTGCAAGTGCATGCAGATGCGAACTTAATTGCTGCGTGAGAGCCGCTGTTCACCATGTTTCGTACCTTATTTTAGACGTCGATCATCAAAACCTGTGACTGCGGTGCGGGTATAAAGAAGGCAATAAAGTAGGTATACAGTAGGTATCCGATACACCCACTTCTCTTCTCCTTTTCTCGTTCTCTCATCTGGTGAAGGATAATGCCCTTCACTCCCTCACCAGCATAAGTGAGATCCCCGCACACTTGGGGAACGACAGGCATGAAACACAATCAGTCCTCCTGGTTCGATAGCGATCCCTCAACTGCCGCGAGAAAAGACCCGGACGCGTATGAACAACAAGGCTCATCCATTCATATATACTCTCGAGCCCTCTTGCATAATTCCAATGAAACAAAATTCCAAAACTCGGAAAGAAATCATTAAACCTAGACCCATATAATGATATGATCGACCGCCTGCCCTTGTTCGCCACGGGGCTTTCCTTCTAGAAAGTTTGATAGAAGCTCGAGCTTCGTTCGCGATTTGCGCGTCTGAGACTGAAAACGATCGAATCATCTTGATTTAATTCCGGCGGACTGGAACAAGTAACATTACGTTCAAAGGGATAATTGGCCCTCAATCCACCATTTCTGATTAGAGCGGTGTAAGCTGATATGGGCTAACTCCTACAGTGTTTTACGGCCGTCTCCATAAAAAGAAGCCTCGCCGTGGACAGAAAAAGTGGCACCAGTTTATAATGTGCCATGATTGTCTATGACGGCACTGCCATGTGGCATAGGACATTAAAAGTTAATAAGCATAAGTGCCGCTTTTTACGGAGTAGGTCCAGCAAACTTAAGGGCTTATACGAAGTAATTGGCGGTCCTTTTATAGAGAAGGCCGTAAAACATTATCGGAGTTTAGGCACCAAGGCCTGTTTTTATTGTCCTTTGTTCGACGTGCACCAACTCTGAAATGGTTTTGAGATACACCGGATGGACTCAACCGCATAATCTTCGATGATGCAAAGCCCAAGAAGTTTACGTGAGACTGAGATGTATTTTCATTCGCCCGTCAATATTATCAAATGGGGTAGGGGCGACTTTGCTTTGTTGTCCACTCGAATTGTCCTACGGTACAGCAGTGCAACTGGAACAGCGGCTCAACTTGCTCAAGACTTGAAACATTTTTATGTTTGGACACCATTCTTGGAGTCATAGTGGGACAAACCTGCGGCCATGCGCAATGTCCTCTGTAACGTCGGCATAAGAGTACTACTGTAGTGGAGTGACACGAATGGTGAGGTTTCAAAGGGCTTCCCTACACAATGACTCCCCTCGATATCTACGGTAAGGACGCTTTTTTGTTCGTGGTTACAACTGTTGAATGGACCTTTTCTGAGAAGTCTCAGCCCCCCCAAGTCTTCTTCGCGCATCGCCTCTGGACCCTACTCATCTTTATCCGTCTTTATAATTCCATCATCGACATCGAAGTCTCTCGATCAAGATGTGGACAACCTTATTTGAGCCCTTTCGAGTAGGTAGGTTGTCTGGGCATACTATGCCGATGGAGCATGCTACTTGGTTTCGTCTGTTCAGGTGGAAGAATTCAACATGTTCATCGAAATACGGAACTACCTTAGGAAACAAACTTTGAGAGTCCAAAGTTCAGCGTCCTGATACGAAGGAGGCCAGTCACCCCGACCCTATCAAGGCAGGTGCGATTGATTGTAAGAGGAGCATGAATCCCAATCTTCAGTTTCTACTCTGAGAAATTATTCTCCAATCGACTATCATCATTACATTTCCTAGGACACTTTTTGGACACCCGACGACGTATCATTATACCCACAATTCAAACATCACTCATACATCGGCATCAAAGTCTGCAACGCGAGAGGGTAAACTCGAAAATCCCTCTTTCACGAAATCCCCGAGATGACAGCACACTCCGCACACCGCCGCAAACACATATCCCATCACCCACCCAGTACAACTCCAATTCCTCCAATCAGCCGACCTCACACCCTCAACATTACCGTAACGCCAGCAGAAGGTAAATACCTTCCCTACTTCGCCCAATTCGCCTTATGCCGCGCTTACGTTCTATCAGTACTCATCCTCACTATCGCTCTCTTAATCCTACTCGCCCTCCTCATGTGGCTAGCCTACCATGGCCTCATAGTCTGCAGCCGTCGTAGGGAAGCAGATCGAACGGCGGGCTCTGAGCGGGGTGTAGGCAATGGGATCAGGAATTGGTTTGCGGGTTTCTCTGATGATTTCAGGAAGAGTGATCAGGAGAGGGGTGGCGAAAGGGGTGTGGATAGGAAGAGGCCGCTTAGTAGCTTTTGGGGGGGTAATAGTAATCTGGAGAGGGACGACGGGGTAGAGGGAAAGCGGTTGCTTGGGGGGGTGTTTGGGGCTATTAGGGATATAGATGGGAAGGGGCATGATTCGTATATTGGACATGATATGACGGGGGGGTTGGGTTATGGAGGAGGTTTTGTGGATGGGAGTGAAAGTTCGGGAGTGATGGTTCTGCATAGGGATGATTGTGAGGGTCATTGTGGTACGCGGAGAAGGAGTGGAGAGTGAGACTGGTTTGGAAGAGGCGGGACGGTTGAAAGCAACGGGTTACGAAATTGTAATTAAGAGAAGACGAAAAGATTGAAGGTAAATTACCAGATTGAAGCCAGAGGAAAGTGGTTGAATGGGGAAGATTCGAGTCTAGGAGGTTACACGTAGGCAAGAAGACTTGTCGTAGTCCAGTCCTTCAATTTCTGTTCTGCTGCACATAGCACTTGACTTGTGGCTTCAAGGTTCGTGGCAATTGATGTGGTCGAGTAACCGTCTCCACCATCCACGTCCACATTCATTACCCATTCACAACTCTAGACTTTCAGACTCTTGTTGCAGGTCGCATGTTTATCGGTTCGTTCTTTTTCCTTGACTTGAATATGGAGCTGCTTTTCTACAGCCTGACTCGATTTTTTGTTGCATGTCGCAGGAGTCCGGTTTCGGCGCTCCGTCGATTTCCATCCTCGGTTCCTAGATAGATACTATACAGGTGTATTTTTCAACTTTCCATTGTATTTGTAATATACAGGTAGTCGCGACGCGTATAAATATGTCATCTGTCTTATAGATATATACAAGATTTATTTGTAGTGTGCAATATATGTCCATTTTAGATATGTGATATAAGTAATAATGTACTACATTGGGGAATATCTCTGTAGCTGCACGAAACAATTAAATAGGACAAAAGAGCAGGACAAGGAAGCATTGCTAACACAACCAGCTCCAGATCATTCAGCAGAAGAAGACTTGCAATCCTGATTGGCTGTCCAATAAGTCCATCAACCATTAATTATTCAAGGCCCCTCTTTCGAGTGACTGGCCGAGGCAAGAACAGAGTATCCTGAATTTCCGTTTACGGTGATATAGCTCAATTTACTTCCTTCACATGTATGTATATATATGTAAACATTTGATTGACTATGAACAGCTACGACCTTGGTTTACCTTATGAGCGAACGTGCCGTACAATACGATCTCGGCTCCGCAACGCGTACGAGTGTACTTCGTGTCAAACAAGTTTCGATACTTGAAACTAGTTCGCAGAACTCGCCTTACCTATCCTAGGTCTACATGGTACTTGGGATTTATGTGGATTGATGACGGAGAAACACAAGGGGTTTTGTATTACAACCTGAATTCCTACTTCAGAACAATATACACATATTCCAGGGTTCGCGCTTGCAATAATAATCAGTCAGACTCTGCTATATGTGGCGGCTATATATATAAATGCCCAATAGAGCTAAGTAAGCACCAGATTCGGTTTGTTTGAACTCCTTCTGATACTACGAGTATAAAGCCAACTACTTTTCTCGAATTACACATAAAGCCCAAGAGAAAATATAAAGTGACACTTTACTATTTAAGCTAACTCTTCTTATGCAACATATCATGATTATATATATGTGTACCAAATGAATGGCTTTGTTCGTTGCACTAGCAATTTATAACTTTAGAGTTGGATTCAGATCTATGAAATAATAGCTCTTGGTGCATACTCAGTAGCTCAAAAGAAATGTGACTTTAGAGGTAGATCGACCATCGTATCAGAAAGTCTTGTCTCATCTGCTAGGTCTACACCTCGTCCATCATGGACTGCTCAGAACATATCCATGTGGTTATTTTAAACACAGGAGAAAGTCAACTTTGAATTCCACGATGCCGTGAAACCTTGCCCAGATCCATCAGATCGCTGCCCATATACTCATCAACCAGTCTCTCCACACGCTGTCTAACGGTATCTTTCGGGAGAACCCCTACATCAGACCCATGTGACAAGATGAAAGAGGCACTAAATGTCACCAATATTCAGCATCTGAAACATGTATAATTCTCACCGGTTCAGAATGACATGCAATCTATTCTCCCGTATTGAGTTTGTTGTACAATCATACAGCTCCACGAGCCCTTCCTCCCCATCGTCTGACTTCCCACAAAGCCTGCATTTCTCTACTCAGCTGCTCATCTAGTCCCATTCAACAGCCATTTTGTCCGTATTAATGCCTCTTCACGGTCTTTGAACCCTGACACCCTCTTTCCCGGCACCCCTCAAGAATCCCCCATTACACTCCTCATACGCCCGTCCCGCCCCAAAGCCGAGTCCTACAAACGCAGGCCAAGCCCTCCGCTTGAACAAAAGAACTGAGAAAACGACGCCGAAGGATAGGCCGAGGGAGGAGCGGATCAACAACGAGGAAAGGCATTTGTCCCACTGTTTTGTGAGCGTCAGCTAAACCTCTTTTTGTGATGGGTTGAAGTAGTTATTGGCAGGCAGAGGAGATGCATGTCCAGTTTATATTAGGAAAAAGGAAAGGAAATACCTTCTCATTCAAAAGAGCTTCAGACACAGGCTTGCTTGGACGCGCCGCGACGGCTGGAGGGGGTGTTGTTTCTGGCATTGTTCTATATTCATTGTTAGCCTACCACTTGATCGTCCTCCATAGATCTCAATTGACATACCACGAGGGTTCTGCTTGCGTTTGGAAGCTCAAATCGTGCTTGGAATGAGCTTTGCGATAAATCATGCGCGGCTGTCGGAAGAAGTTGGATGAGAGCTTGACCGCCTTGGTTCGTCTAATTAGGGATGGTGGGGATTTTTCTGCCGTTATTTTTTTGGCGGGCACAAGAAGCTAATAAGCTGAGGTGAAGAGGTGAAGTCAACCTGTTTTGCTGGGATTCTGGTTTGCGATGGTATTTATTTTTCTTCTGATATGGAATTCGAAGAAAAGAACTAATGTGATTTCAGACGTCACAATCCCACGCAGCGCAAGAGCAGCTTGCGAAGCTGGAGAAAGCCTCTGCGCCGTTTGGAGAACAACTTCTTGAGGCTGCGAAATTCATTGGCGTGAATATAGATACAGTTGGAAGATGTGCAAAAATAGAAGAGGGGGAAGAGAAGAAGGGGAAGGCTGCTGTCTATCATGGCAGGGAAGAGTGGCTGCTTAGATGGTTGTTGAAGAAGCTGCAGGTTCCTAAAGATGCTGTGCCTAGGTATGTGTTTTGGAGAATTCAATGGCATTGGCTGATTGATATGACAGACAAACACCATCTGCTTGGTGGTTGTTCAGCCATCTAGTTCAGAGTATCCCGTTACCTATCGCTGCTCGACTGCTCATTGAGAGAAAGTTCACTGCGATCTTACGACAGACATTGGAGGAGGCACAAAAAGCAGCGGACGAATCAAACATTGCGAATGATCGAGCAATATCCGAATCTAGCCCTGCAGTCGAAGGGGAATCCTCGAGGCCATCGAAGAAGCGCAAGCGTTCACCAGAGCTGGTCGCGAAGTCTGGAGGAACGGCAGAGTTACTGGACTTAATGGACGCAATATATACCACGTTGGATATTATAACACGATCTACGAAACCAACTACCGCAATATCTGAGAAGGGACGAGACGCTGCTTTCTCAGCCGAATACATGCGAACAGCCATAAAGTCTCCTGCGCAGGAATCTGCTACAATTTTAGGACTGTGGTTTTCACTTTCGGATGTAGTCCTAGGTGCACGGAAGGCGTCTGTCAAATCTTCCTGGCTTTCGCCCTTTATTGAGATATGGAATGCTCGGGTAGCCGATGAGAGCGAGCTGAGCTTCTTTTCTCGTCACTGCTTGGAATCCTTAGTATTACTGCTGCGAGCTACTGAAAAGGGTTTCTCCCGGACTGATGACTGGACGGCACAACTTGAGCAGCTGGTGGCACGCAATGTCATGATCCCAGCAAAGGCAGCAAAGAGAGACGACCCGGAATCATCACTCCTACCTAACTTGGCGAGGATTCCAGTAGTCAAGAATACAGCAAATGCACCAGTCTTCTTCGATATTGCAATTCGATCGATTTTAAGCCACGGAACCCAGCGGCGCCGACCACAAGATGATGCATGGCTCCAGCATGTCTTCACCACATTGCAAGATGCTCTGGTACAGAGACGGGAAGATAATAGTGAGGCACTTTGTGCAATGCTTCAAAGTGCCAGAAAGTACAGAGTGGGCATCGAGCTCTCGACTCTCCGCAACATTACTTCCAAATTTGCTTTACCCAAGGGCCGCAATGATTGGAAACTTGTACAAAACCTTATTGCTCTCGACGCAAACGTTTTCCTCATTCCAGACAGCGAAACAAATCTTCTAGATGAGCTCTTTAGTAGGATCACAAAAGCATGCGTCCAACCGGACTGGGCGGAGGTTGTGGATCGAGTTGTGCTAGATGTGTTGGTACCCCTTATGAACGAGTTCGCCAAGGCAAGAGATCTCTCTGGGTTCATCCGCCACTGGTATGCTCAACTTGTCGGGTTTGAAAAACTTCGGATAGAAGGCATGCTTTTCTCCATGGAGCTCTTCAGCGCTTGGGAAGACGAAGCACTTCAAACAGAGCTTAGCAGACTGCTAGAGCCTTCCCTAACTATACAACAAATCAATCAGATTCTAGATTGGCTGTCCACTCAAATTCCAGAAAATCCGAATGCTGTCTGTGTCATTCTTCAAGCAATTTCCAGATCAATCTCTCGTGAGGAAACCGTCGATTCCATCAATACACGCTTGTACCACATCATGTTCGATGAGGCTTCAGAAAAGCTGGATGGCCGTTACAAATGGCGCTCCTGGACAATTCTGTCAGAAACATTGAGGTGGGTAATGGAACCAGGGCTCGAGGACCTATCTATGCTCTGGGGACCGGGATCACCGAAACGAACGAAGCGATTTGGTTCTCTGGGGAAGAAGGTTCTCTCGGCTGGATTATTGGAGGTTTATAGCGGCACCACTGTTACTCTTGAGTCTCTCGAAGTTTTGAGATGCACGTGTGCGGCGTGGAGCGCTGCTGAAGCAGGCAGTAACTTAGCAGATCTGTCGAGGGATCTGGTTATTGATCTTCTAGAGCGATTGGCTCGCGAGCTCAAGACGTTTCCTCGTGATCTAGCTGGGGATCTCGGAATGAGCCAATCGATCTGCGCGGGCAGACAGAACACTGTGTACAGGGATATTAGTTGGATGATGTGGGCACTTGTGCGATGTATATTCGTAGAGTACCCAAAGGTCCTCACGTAAGCTCTCTATTCCAGGTACGGAATCATACGACTGACATTAGCAGACTCGTCCCCGAATTGCAAACTGATATACCCCGAGAATTCTTACAGAACATCTTATGGGTATCTTCAGCAAACGCTGCGGAAAACAGTCAGATTGATTGGCTACGCCTCAACCCCGAAGCGTTTCCAGATCTTTGGACATCTGCTCTGCGGCATGACTGTGTCCTTGACTGCCCTGCACTCACCAGTGCGTATCTAATTACCTATTTGCATCTGATGGGTCTATACTGACCGGAGTTAGGCACAATGATGAACCTCATGCTGGACGTGGATTCGAATATGAAGAATCCTCTTATTAAGTCACAAAGCATCAATAACTTTGCAATCCGTTCTCTGTTGAATCTTCCTGGCGAGCTATTTTCAAGAGAGAATAGGGAGCAGGTGCTGACGAGCTGGCTTCCAATTTCATTGCAGCTGGAATCCAGAACTGCTGCACTAGACCCTACTATTCTCGCTTTAAAAACCAAACTCGTTCAGCGTTCGGCCTTTTATGAGGTAAGCCACATAACAAAAATAATACGGCAGTAAGCTAATAAATTACAGGGCATGACTTTCCGGGACTTAATCAATTTAGCCGATGCTCTGGCTGAATTGAAAGCTGATTCGCTGTACACAAGCCTTGCATTGTTCAAGGAACTCGTCCGATTGACATTGAGGTATGGATTCAGTCTCCGCTTTATGTCTCTCTACTAATACTTCTCCAAAGTCAAATGTCAGAAGGTATAGACCAGCGGCAAAAAAAAACTTATATTGCGGAATGCTTTACTGAAATCAGTAGCAAGCTTGCACAAAGTAGGGAGATCAAGAAAAGCCAGCGGTGGAGTTTTTCCCACATTGCACTATTTGATGTTGTCCTCACCGTGTTCCGCTCAAGGCTCATAGCTCTTGATGACTTTGAGATAATCAACAAGATTGACCTCCAGGCTCTATGTGCTGAGTTGAAAGAGTCTCTTCTGATACAGCTGGGAGTATCTCTAGCCGAAGAGTTCAGTCCAAAGAAGAGAGATCGGAAGAGCTTACTGCTACTCTGTACAATTGATGCATTGACTTCATTGGGAGTGACTTCTTCTGATCTGGCTGGTTTCAAGGATGCAGCCAAATCTTTTGCATCCTATCCGGAAGAAATCCCTTTCGATGTAGGGAAGCGACTCGAAGTTTTTATGTCTGTCCAGGCGGGTGAAGTTGGAAAGAAGAGCTTTGGTACCCGGGTCAAGGGTGACCTTACTACGCTATATGGCAGACATGCGGTTCTGGCAAAGGTGGAAGCTGCTACTTTTGCAAAGAGTGAAAAGTCAAAATTGAAACTACTCGACTCAATTTTTGGGGAAGGGCTAGTTGGATTAACACAGACGGACAAATTACTGGCGGCTAAGCATGTCATTATGTCATGCGAAGGTCAGTTGCACTCGTGTCTTCAATCCCCTGTGTTAATATCCTTAGATGTCCGACGATCTGATGAGGAAGAAGATGAGAATAAGCTTGACCTGTCAATGGCATACTCGATACTCTGCGGCCATCTTTGGAAAGCTACAGAAATTCGCCCGTTCTGTATTATCAGCGAGACGATGGAGTTGATGCTGCGAACCAAGGTGAGACTTTTCACCCAAGAAATACTACATCTCTAACAAAAGTCTAGGGCCGCTCCATGTCTCAATGGAATATTGACAGCACCCTTGGGAGCATAACCATAATCTGCTCGCGCAACGGCCCAACGCTCCGGTCGAACCATTCCGGCGCTGTCTACCTACATGTTTGCCGCCTCCTGCAAGCAGTCCTCACTTCTCACCGACTTAAATTACAGGGGCACTTCCACCTCGTGGTCCAAGTCATGCAAACACTTCTTCGCTGCCTCTTCCTTTCGCTGCCTCACAGTACAACAAAAACGACAAAGTTCCTGGCCCCTCCCCCATGGCTAACCTCTTCCAAATACCAACTTGGTGCCAAACATGCAGAAGCCTTCACTCGCCTCGTAACTTTAATTTGCGACCCAAGTGTCTCCTCTGTCACCCGTTCTCAGCATAACGCACTCACATCTGCAACAGACAAAGCAAAGCGCATGGCGGCTCAACACATGCAATTTGTGCTCACTACCTACATTAAGCTGCAGCTAGAAATGCGTATGCTGCCTGAAATCAGAGAGAAAATGGTGCCGGGCCTCTATGCGATATTCGATACCACAAGCCCCGAGATGAGGAGGATGATTAGCGAAAGTTTAGATGCGAGCGGAAGAGCTGTATTTGGGACGTTGTTTAGAGATTATCAGCGCTTTGGAAAGTGGAAGGGCTCTTAGGGTAGGTGGTAGATACGGAGCCAATTTTCAAGTGTTTCACGTAGCTTATACGATACTTGATAAAAGATGCCATCTTAAACGTTCGCTTCGTATCTGACTGCCTGGCTTGACGACCAAGATACTCAGTGAAGAGTTTAATGCTCCCTCTCCTAGCATTCGGACATTGCGTGAACGTTTCCCTTGGACTTGGCCCTAGTAGTATCTTGTTGAAAGGAGCTATTGAACTTTCTGCTCTATTCCATTTTAACAACACATCTACGGAAAGAAATGATATGCTTATGACATATTATGGTTCCGAGCAAGGTTACAGGGCTCATTGTCCCTATGGTTTGATGGAGACAATTGCGAAAAGCGGGAAGTCGAGGAAAGATGTAGGAGTACCAAAGGTGATGGTGTTGCTTGGGGGATTTGACCCTGATAATGATTTTGTGAAGCCAGTGAAAGAATTTGTCGAATTATGGAAGAAGAGTTGGGGAGATATCGACTTTGGCATTCTCAAGGGACACAATCATATCAGTCCTCCCTGGGCACTGATGGCGGGTGAACCAGCGGGTGAAAACTGGGGCGAGGATTTGACGAAATGGATAAAAAACTGAAAATTGTGAATCATCCTCTGGAATATTAGCAAGATCTACTTGATTCATGCAAACGCCGGGGTATCAAGTTCTAAATCCGTGACCATACAAAATCCAACCCATGGTTTTTTCCTTTCCTCCCTATGCCGCTTGAAAGGAATCGTTCAAATAAGCCACGAAACTCTCCCTGATCCTCTGCACGGATACAGAGTTCTGTCTGTTCAAACTAATGAACTGCCTCCTAATCCTCTGAAGTGCGGGCAAGCCCACAGGACTCGCGGGTAACTCAACCAGCAACCCCTCAACACCACCCTCACCAACGCTGACCTCCCCACCTCCTTCCCCGGGATGGTCTTTCGCCCAGTCTAATATCCTATTGAGTATCCTCTGAGTACTCTTATCCAACTCATAAAGATAATCCTCACTGCTCGGCGCCTTCAACACTGTCGCCATGTTTGGCTTGACAACCTTCCTATTACCCTCTGTCTCGCTCCCAACCAGAGCCTCCCAAATGGCTCCAAAAGGCGGCCCATCATCATCCCACAGCACCGTAAAGAGCGGACTATCCCACCTAGCCATTGCGTTCGGCTCCTCATATCTATACACCAGGTTCTCCCAGCACTCGCTCTCATACGGCTGTTCCTCTTCCCCTTTTCCCTCGGTACTCGCAGCTAATCGTTCAGCATTAATGCCTCTAGCTTGAGTCACAGGCGTCCCAACGTGCACCACGCAATGCGGCGTTCGAACAGCCTTGGCGTCGCAGTACAGCTGGTATCGCCATCCCTTGATATAGTTTGCTCCATCCAGAATCACTATGTCTTTATTGCTTAGCACTCTTTTTACTGCCGCATATATCGTAGCTCGCGCATCCTTTTCGGACGCATTGTTTGAGCGCTCGTGCTGGGACTTTGCTTCGAGGTTGTAGACGCTGCGTGGGATTGAGAGCGTGTGGTCGGATATGAGATGGACGCGTAGTGAGGCGGGGTCTGGGAGGGAGGAAATGCGCGTTAAAAGGTAGTTTTGCAACTGTTGCGCGCGGTGCGTTTTCCCAGAAGTAGGATACCCGGTAAGGATTATTAACTAATGGGAAGGTATTAGTACAATATGCCCGTTATTAGAGGGTAGTTTGGAAACCCACCGGCATAGTTTGTTCTGTCTGTATAAAAGTCTTACGGAAGGGGAAATCTAAGGTGGGGCAACCTCCATTTTTTGCTAGGGTCACGTGCCTATCTCATTATAGCGTGCTGCCGCTACCATGGGCGTGGGTCTTATGTATTATTAAGGTAGGCACAGCATACTCACTGTAAATTCGATACCTATAGTTAGGTAGGTAGGTAAGGGTGATTCTTCAGTACACATGAGGCTTCTTGTTTATCACATTCAACTGGACTGTTTATGGCAAGGCCAATTATGCGATTACCAGAGAGGCTAATAGCCAAGTGAGAAAGGACTGAGCTCTGCTTAAAATATTCTTTATTACTTACTCCGATTAGAGGTATTTTGTCACCACCGGGGTAGACATCACTGTAAATGACGACTGAACGAGCTTCGACGGAAACGATCCTCTTCGACAAGAATTATAATGGCATATATCATAGTTTCCCTTTCAGTCTTCTGTAAAAATCTAAACACTTCCCTTCCCACCACCGAGCAAATATGACACAAGGGCCATCAACCCATCTCTGCCCCAACGAATTAGCATAGGTGAACGTTAAGTGTTTGGACTGAGCCAAGGAGCCTGGAAGCTATCTCGGAAGCTAGTATGTAGCCTCTTAAAACAGTTTCCTCGCTTCCCATAGACAAACAGCTTTTTCGTATGGGAATAAGCTTACCTCAAACTGTGCCGCTAATGCAAAGACCGGCACGGTAAACAGAACATACCATACTACGCAGAGCAGCCAGTAACCAAAAGTGCCTGCGGTTGGTTCCAGACCCGTGAGACGCATCATAAAGTTTTGAAGGCTGTGGCCGAAAAGTTCAAGGCAGAATTCATGTATCAAGTAGAGTGAGAAGGCGATCTTCCCCATATATTGGCAGAAATTAGTTTCAAAAAGCTTTTTAAGTCGCGGCAGTTGGGAGATGGCAAGCAGCAGAAGGACCCCAGATATCGACCACCAGAAGCGGGAAGGGTCTTCCATGCTTAGATTCATAGGGGTGAGAGCGTGGAGGGTTTCAAACCCAGGCATAGGCTGCATCCTTGCTATTGGGGACCAGAGGGATGGCAGACCTGCCACGTAGAATGCCATTGCAAATAAGATGGTCCATATAACTCCGTGTTTGATAGATGGTTTCTGATCATTTTCTTCTTGGATCAGGTGGAAATCTGCGATCGACATGCCCGCAAGAAAGCAAAAGAAGTTCCAGCTCCCCATAAGGAGGAGAGACCCCGAGAAGAATATTAGCAACCCCATCCTAAGCCAAACTTTTTCGATCCACACAAATACAAACAAGAGCATATAACACAATAACGAGCCATAGTACTCTAGGGGGAGAGTCCACACCACGGGATCGTATTTCATACCAATTGCAGATCCTTGAACTGCGCTCGGGAAGTTGTAGACAGGGTTGACAAAGCGATTTATTTCCTCGAGCCAATCCACGAACTGGGCCAAAAAAGTAGGCTCGGGAATGAACATGAAATTTAAGGGTGGCGACACGCCACAGCGCGTTGCAAGCATCTCGCAGAAGGTAAGGAGGAATGGTGGCAGATACAATCTCAACCCTCTGCGGAAAAGGGATGAAGCAACAGCCGGGCATACCTGTAAATTTGCTGGAAAGCCTTCTCGTAACCAACGAAGAGACTTCTGGGTAAGGACATAGCCAGACAGGACAAAGAACAAGCATACGGCCGTGCCGCCTGAGATAAAGAAAGTTCGTAGAATAGGCCACTGTAGGTAGTTCTTTTCCCCAGTTTCTGGACTCCTGAACATCAAGGTCTCCGAGTCAGTATTGCCTGATATGGTAGACTAGGGTTTTATAATAATTTTCTATTAGAGTTGAGACAATCCTCTGGGAGCAGTCAACCCCGCTCCTGAGATGTCCGAAATAGGAAATAACCCGCCAAGAAAGTAACTTACCAAGCGGGGGCAACAGATACCCAAAGGGCCATCGTATGGAAGATATAAACCTCGAGAGCAGCTATACCACGAACTCCGTCTAACCATGATGTTGGCCTGATTTCCAATGAACCCTGGGGAGGGTAGCGGAGTACTTTGTGGATCATCAACGGCCTCTGTAACTGACTAGAAGGGAGATGCGAAGAACCATCTGTCGGTAAGGTGGGTTGGAACATTTCGCCATGGTCGGTTCCGGTTATTGCTCCAAGGTCGATTGATTCTCCATATTCAGAGAGCTCATGGCCGCTGCTCAAACGACCATTGGCATCATTCATACTCTAGAATGTACGTATCTGGCTTGAATTCTCAATAACAAGACATCAGCCGCAACAAAACGACCTCGTGTCAAGTTGGCGTTGTCTCTGTTTGAATCGACGGTTCTGGCTCTAGGAAGCGGGGAAAGCAATATAATAGTCGGTCTTCCTTCTTAGCTCCCTTTGGTCACTGTTGGAGAAAGAGAATATCCTGTGTAGGTAAGCGATTGTCCTAGGCCAGTGGGCCGAAAACTAAGGTATACAAACAATCGCGATTTTATACTTAAAAACTGGTGGGAAAAGCTTAAGGGGATCTTGGTGCCGAACTTTGTAGTCATGTAACTTAGCGTAGCTGACTAAGCAAAGAGGTGAAGCCCTGGTGCGCATCTTCGCATCTTCTGGCTTGTCCTGGACAGAAAAAGCAGCATTCATCTTGGGAGGTTTGCAATGGCAATGTATGATTCGGAGTGGAATAATAATAATAAATCGTGCCAGACTGGAACAGAATCACCGAGCTGAAAAGGATGCAATAATGCGAGACGCACAATATATGGATCTGAACATAGGTGAGAGAATCGACTTGTCGATTGATTCAGATGCTTACTGTCGTGTAACAGAAAGAGAAAGACTGTCCTCGGACGCTAGATAATGCAAAATTATCCGATTCGAAGGGCGAGTCTAATAGCCAGCTCTATCTATTATCGTTTCGTGCTGAACACAAAGGCGGCACTCATTATCATTGAGCTATGTTGTGTTGATTCGCCTGGCACTTTACGCGCTGGTGCTGCTTTTTTTGGTCCTACCGTGAGCTGGTGAAGGACTGGTCTTCTGACTTTCTGACGTTCTGCTGATCATGAACCTCTCGGTGACACAAGTGATACCGCCATGGTCCCACCCACGGGTATCAGTATATCCGCGCCTTCGGAGAAACCGACTTTTCATTAAGGATCATTGTATTTTCCTGAAGTCACTTACTCCTTCCAACCCATCCTCTTCACCCAAAGTACAGGATTTCATTGACATGATACACGAATCCCATGCGACGATCGATGATGGAGAACTGGAAGCACTCGGCTACAAGGGAGAGATGCCAAGGCAGTTTTCAAAATGGAGCTTGGGAGCACTGTCGTTCACTCTTACATGCACTTGGCTCGGTACTGGCTCTTCTATGGGTATCAGTCTGACTGAAGCATCCTCGGCTGGAACCATCTGGTCTCTTCCTATCGCCGGTGCGATGACTTTCGTTGTTACTTTAGGGATGGCAGAGCTTGCTTCCGCTTTTCCGGTCGCAGGTGCCCAGTATTATTGGTCTTTCATGGTTGCTAGAGAAGACATGAAGCCATTTGCTGCATATATGTCAGTCAGCCTCCTTCGCACAGTGAGCCTGGTTGACAAGGTCGAAGTAATGGTTGGCTGAGCATTCTTGGTTGGTGGCTTGGTTCTGCATCCGTGGCCAATTTCATATCCTCGATGATTCTGTCAATTGCCAAGCTTTGGTTGCCTCATTACGATATCCAGCGATGGCAACAATGGCTGGTATATTGCGCACTTATCTGGCTAGCAATCTCTTTAAACGTCTTCGGGTCCAGTTTGATTCCTCTATTCAACCAAATGATCTTTGTTCTGGCAGTCTTGACATTGAGCGCGACCACCATTATGCTTTTGGTATGCAGCAGAAACAGATATCCGTCTGCTTCCTGGGTCTTCTCGGATACAACGAACTCGACCGGGTGGCCAAGTGATGGGTTTGCATTTATTCTGAGTGTCAGTAATGCAGTATATGCCTTCCTGGGAAGTGACTGCGGAGCACATCTGTGTGAAGAGATCCAAAACCCTGGCAAAAATGTGCCTGGTGTCATGCTCTATCCTCTTGTGGTGGGCCTTCTAATTGCATTTCCGTTCGCTTGCGCTTGTATGGCTTCCATAGTAGATATAGACGCCGTGATCAATACCGCTACTGGTCAGCTCTTGCAAATAGTTCTTTCGTTTGTTCAGCTAACGTGACTAACTCAGTAATGCAGGTCTCCCTCTTATAGAAATTTATCACGAAGGGACAGGGTCCGCGGTAGCGGCTTCCATATTAATGGCCCTCTTTGCGTTGTGTTTCTTTGGCTGCCTTGCTGGAAACGGTACGAAAACGTTCGAATACCGCTGTGTCATTTTGCTGATTGGATCTTCAAGCTACCACGGCTTCGCGTACACTCTGGGCAGTTTCCCGCGACGATGCATTGCCCTACTCTTATCTTTGGATGCGCATTAGTCGTTCCTTCAAAATGCCACTCAATGCACTTTGCCTTTCTGGTACGATTGTCTCAGTAGGTGCAAACTCCTCTGAATTAATGGGGAATGCTAAATTACCCGTAGCTATATGGGCTTATCTTTCTCGGCTCAACAACAGCATTCTCAGCAATGGTCTCGGCTGCTATCATCTTTCTACAAACATCTTGTATAGCTCCCCAAGCTATCCTTCTATACCGAGGTCGAGATAAAGTCCTTCCTCCTCGGTATTTCTCGCTTGGTCGTTATGGTGCTGCAATCAATGCCACGGCCGTGGTTTGGGTAGTATTCTTGGACATCATATACTGTGTGCCTACGGCAATGCCAGTTACCCCACAAAATATGAACTATGTTTCAGTGGTAGTGTCTGGACTGACCATGTTTATCTTGGCTCTCTGGTTCATATCAAAGAAAGGTAAGTTTGTCGGCCCGATGATCAACATGGCGGAATTGGAGCAGAGACGGATGGAAGCACTCGGCCAGACACTCGTGACAGATGTCGTTCCGCAGTCTAGTACTGCCATAAATACAAGCAGGCAGGAGAAGTGATATGCGTTACCTGGGTATAGTAGGCTGCCTTCAAGAACATTCATTACGGGGTGAGTATTTATTGGCACTCGAGTGTTAAGCAGAAAAATCGGAGAGCCAATATATAAAACGGTAAACGACTCATACAGCACCCTTAAGATTATTTATGACTTATTTTGTAATGGGCCATCTCCCTATTTTCAACGTCTACCAGCTTTTTTAAGTCATCATGGTATCACGGAAAACAGCCAGAATGATTCAAGTGTATGGCCGGCATCTATCAGGATAATCTAAGCTACCGATGGTCTCTCATTGTCTGGTCTATCCAAGCCTTTAAACCCCAAGATTACTCCCAAGACCACTCTTCCTATCACTCGTCATGCTCCCTCGTGAGTAATATAGACATAAATGTATCACCGTTTGGTTGAAAATCTATTCAAGCTACATTTACACTAACAACTCCTCATGCTTAGCCTCTGGCTCCATCTCGCTCTTGTGTCCGTTATCGCTCCTAAAGACATCACTCTCACTAACCGGGGAAAATACTTTGCCCCACCTGAAACAGGCAAAATCCCCTGCAGTCACCAAGGCGCTCCTCAAATTCTCTCTCACAAGCTGGCTAGTCGGCTGGCTGAAGATGATATCAATCTCCTCCAATGTCTTGTTCTTTGTCTCCGGCATAAACATAATTTGATAAAACCAGCCTAGCACCGCGATCCCTCCATAAAAGCCGAGCGATAGCCCAATGTTCGTCATGGCGTTTTGCATATCGGCGAAGAAGTAGGTAACGAGGAAAGAGCAGAGGAAAAGCGTAACGTCCGAGGTTTCCATGCCGTAAGAACGCAGGTAAGTGGGGTAGACTTCAGAGGGAATGACCCATGTGAGACAGGCGTAGCTACCGAAGAATCCCTCATAAATGATCAAACCGGTAATGTAAACTCCTTGGGAGCCTGCCTTGTTGCTGAGTGGGATAAGGTAGCTGCATCCGATAAGCACAAGACCGATGAAGAATCCAGGAAGCATGGCGCAAGCCCAGAATCTCCGACCAAACTTTTCCATATAAAAGATGGCTGGGATTGTCCCGAGGAGGAGGGACCCTCCACCAACAAGGGACATGAAGACCGCCTCTTTGTCGTTGAACCCGACTTGTTGCATCAGAGTGGCCATGTAGTATTGTATGGCGTTGATACCCGTAAATTGTCCGAGGAATACCATGATATTGGCGTAGATGATTGCGCGTCTTGCTCGAGGTTCAGTGAAGAAATCCATCCATGGGAAGCGCTTGTTAACACCTGCCTCCTTGGCTGTAAATTCTTCCGCAACAGAGTACTTCATCACATAAAACTCCTTCCTAGACTCCGCGTCTTCGCCTCGAATTTGTTTCCACACATGCCAGGCCTCTGTTGTGCGGCCTTTGTGCATTAGGAAACGAGGCGATTCCGGCATAAACAGGATACCGACAAACATAATGGTCGAAAAGACAAGAGATGAGCCGAGCATATATCTCCAGCCTCCAGCCTTCACATTGACGAAAATTGCTGCAACGACATATCCCAAAACTTCTCCAAGGGCAATCATAAACTGGTATAAGGAGACGAGATTTCCACGGTATTTGCGAGAGACAGACTCAGCGACGTAAACAGGCACTGTTCCTCCTTCGAGGCCTACACCCATGCCGAGAATAATACGAGCTGCGACCATCATGCCGAAATTGACAGCCCCAGCTTCTAGACCCGCTCCAACAGTGTAGAGAACAAGCGAGTAAATGATTGCCATCCGGCGACCGACAGCTTCGTTTAGAGGGCCCAGCATCAGTGCACCACCAACGGCTCCGAGCGGTACACCAGAACTAACCAAACTGACTTGCTTGGTGGTAAGATCGAGCGCTGACTAGGATTAGTATAGAACTTCAATTGCCACACAAGAATATCTTACAAGCTGGCATGTATAGATTGGCACCACTGATCAAAGACTGATCAATACCAGAGAGGAGTCCACCCATGGAAGCAAAACCTACACATGTCAGTAAAAGGGTTTTATCAAACTCGATAAAGTTAACTCACCAACAAGAAGCCAAGTAAAGTATTTTGGGTCCTTGAGCCGCAGTTGAGGTTTATACCAAGTGGACTTAATATTCATCTGCTGAAGACTAGCTTCAATCTCACCAATCTCCCTATCAATGGTTTCGATATCACCAGCAGCGACGATTTGCAGCGCCTCCCATTCTGAGACTCGGCGACCACTGCTGCTGTACGTAGAATTGTTTCTCTGTGGCTTAGGGATACCTTTCTCGTCCGTATCGTCACTAATGATCGTGACCTTTTTCGGAGGCGACTCAGTTTCAACATGGTCTGGCGAACTACTCGCATCGACCTCTAAGGGTTTAGTGGGGTCTGTCATATTGATGATAAGGAAGAGAGGCTCTGCAAATGGTACAAAAGTAGAAAGAACGATGAGCACACCAACTTCGGAAGCTAAGTGGAAAGGGCTGAGTACTTATACATCTGCCATTGGAATGCCGAATGATCGATTCTCTAACGCGTTAAAATTGAGGTAAAAGCTAGAATCAATTGCGGGGCAAATCCGGTTTTCTTTTCTATGAAGGGATCTTACTCGTAAGACATGGTGGCATCACTGCGGCATCAGATAATCGTGCACGAGATCTGACTCGCGCCATCTTAGACTCCGCCTTGGGGACCCCTTCTCTCCAGCCATTTCACATCCCCAGACCAGAAATTATGGATCCAAGCCCGAACTCTGGAGTCTGGAGATATGCAATCTGGAGGGACCTCGGCGTTGCATAGTTGGCTTGTCAAGCGGGCTTTTTTGGGTGGACGTGATTTGTCCACAGGAACAATTCTCGTGCTAATATCCTGGGCCTGGTGGGCCCAATCTAGAGAACCTGAGCGGCTGAGATAACAATCCACAAAGAGGCCGAACAATTACGCGCATCAGCTCATTTTGGCATGGATATTGCCCGGACAGTTACTGACTTCGGCCAACCCGCCAAGTGCAGGAATAATCGTCCTGTTAAACATCTCATTTCTTCGCGTCCCGTCTTTCGCCAAAAAGTTGTGGCGTGCCGGCAAACCCCGACGGCACGGGATTGTCGAGATTTGTACCTTTACGGAGTAAACTAGGACCAGTGCTAATTACCACTGCCGACAAAAAAGTTGACGAGCCGCACCGTAAAATACTGTCCCAGACGCACTTAGTTAGTCGAGCTACCTCTCGTCGGTCTTCCAGCCGTATTGTTCTCTTGCTCTTCATTCTTCTGCGTGGCCTCGCGTTGTCTAGCCCACTCAGATACGATAGCCCACTGAGATATAACAGTAAAGCCTGTCCAAAACACCCCGGTGATACCCAATTGAAGAACCAATGCCCAACAAATATTCCGCAAGCCAGGAAGACGTACAGGCGACCACCATGAGTACATATCATCCATTCCAAGCCCTAGACGGGTGCGATACAATCCGCCTATGGAGCGAACCATCAAGGCCTCGATTGGCATCACTATTATACCTGCGGCTATTTCCCTCAGACCTTCCGTAGCCATGATGGTAGGCAGCATCGTCAACCCCGTCACATGGTATTTGCGCTCATCCGTTGGTGGCTCGTTTGCACTTCGTAATTCCGCAGACCAGTGACCCAAAGCTGCCTCGATAGCTGGGTCCTGGGGTTCGCCATCGTTCGCCTCCACATCGAAGCTGATCAATGTCGGATGGGTCAATTCGCCATCGTCAGCACTGGAATCCGAATCGCCCTCAGCTGGATGAGTACGCGTCTCCGTGCGCTCCAGATCCGGGAGCCCTTCAAGAGCTCGTAATGTGGGCTCGTCTTCTGTCCTGGAGGAGGATGGACGGTGATTCGGCAAGGGTTGATCTGGAGTATCGTATTCCATTGTCGGTGGGGATATTTGTAAGCCCCCAAACATGCTGTCACCTGTCGGTCGAGGGAGACTTTTGTAGATTGGTCGGTATAGGATTTGTGATGCGATGAATTTTGCTCTTCCGTGAAGTAAGACTAGAACAAGAGGTATGGCTGATTTAAGAATTTCAAGAGAAGCAGAAAATATTGTGTTTCCTCGAAGAATAGGTACTGGAAACAGTAAAGGTGGCCCCTCCAGAAAAGGAATAAAGGACCCGATAGTAGGGAGAAGACAAGATGAAGGGACAACGTTAAGTTGTTGGAGGACAGCAAACATGCGAAAATGCAGTGTGATGTAGCAGAAACCAAAGTCGAGTCTAGACCATTAGTAAAGAACCAAGGATGAGATTGGAGATACCTACACCTTTTGTATTATTTCCTTCACCTGCATTTGTCTCGGCGAGGCCTTGTTCTTTCCTTCTTCTTCCCATATCGCGTCAAGTACGATTTCGCAAGTGAACGAGGCCCAATCAGCGACATGATAGGCACAGACAGCTGGAAAACCAGCACCGATCACGTGTAGTAGTCCAGACTTGGTCTTCTCTTGCTGGAGAATTTGGAAGAACAAAAGGTCGCCATAAGGTCTATATAGCTGTATATTGTCAATATAGTTCGGGATACATGGATCAGAATACTGACCAAAATCCGCCGCCTTAAACCCAGAACTCCCCACACACCACCAATAAGAGCAGCGCGACCAACCTCCATCAACCTTAGACCTGTAAACGTCTCTTTATGCTTCTCGGTAGTGGCTTTCTTAACCTTGATCAGGGCCGTCTTCGCGTCTTCCACAACACCAGTCGCCTGCATGACTTCATTAGCTGCCCGCACAGCTTCCCGCTCTCGTCGCCTTGTCTCGGGGTTTCTTGGGTGGCCATGCTCGTTATATAATTGGCCATTGTGCCGTAGATTCTCATCGCCAGCCCACTCGACGACATGGTCTTCGTATGGCCCACGGCCCTAAATGTGGCGAGTCAGGTGACATTCAAGGGGTTTGGGGCTGAGGTTGGAAGGAATAGGGACATTGAGAAGCAGCATATGATGGGCAAGTACTTACAAGAGCAAGAGCTGTGAGTGATTCAAGTCGTCCCATGCTGAATGTTTCGTTGAAGGTGACAGGAGATGTACAGCACGAAGGGGCCTCTTTCAGACTGGACTGCTCAGCTTTGTAAGAAACAAGTGAGGCTATTGCCACGGAAAGGGCCTCGAACGGGTTTCAAGAATGATGGTCTTCCATTGAGTTCATGACACATAGCAAAATGGACCAAAGCAATGGATGTATGAAGGTGGACATGAAGATATATATATATGGAAAGAATAGTCATGGCGAAAGGGGACGAAAAGGCGCTAAGATTAAGCTTATCGAGGACCCCTGTCAGTATCAAAATATTTTATATTTTTATATTTTCCTTCATCCCAACTCAAAAACCCAAACGACGACAGTCTCACCCTTTTCAATAGAATGGCAAATAAATCTCCATACCTGACAACCTTTGAGGCAGAGCGTACCATACAGCCAATCTACACCGGAGGCAGCGTTGCGCTCGACAACACTGGTAGCATTCTAGCAACTACATTGGGTGAAGATGCGCTGTTGACCGACTTGAACACTGGGAGACAGCTTGCAAGGATTGAAGGGGTACGTCTTTCCTTCTGCCATGAAATGCGCATCGTATTGTATCATACGCACCAACTCACACCATATTTCTCTAGGATGGCGAACTCATTTCCACTCTGTCGTGTATGTTCTACCCCGCCCCGCAGCCTCGAGAACTTAGCAATGCTAACCTTACAACAGTAACACCCTCTGCCTCCCACCTGATAGTCTGCTCTCGCTCCCTCTCTATGCGAATATATTCTATTCAACCGTCTCCTTCGAACGAACTCAAATGCGAACTCCTCCGCACCCTCAAACCCCACAGCACACCCGTCATTGTCCTTGCCGTCGACCAGACAAGCACATTACTCGCAACCGGTGCAGCGGATGGAGTTGTCAAGGTCTGGGATATCCAGGGCGGATACGTGACGCATACCTTCCGAGGTCCGAACGTGCTGATATCTGCGCTACATTTTTTCGAACTGGTTGCGACCAGTCAGAAGGGAGAAGAAGTTGGAATTTCTTCGCGCAACCGACAGGAGCGGCGAAAAAGTAACACTGATGATGAGCCAGAAAATGAAGCCGCGAGGGGCTTTCGTTTAGCTTCTGGAAGCCAGGATGGCAAAGTTCGCATATGGGATCTCTATAAGAGGAATTGTGCTTCAGTTCTGGACTCACATGTGTCCGATGTCCGAGCCTTGGATTATTCCCGGGGTGAGAACGCCCTTTTAACAGCGAGTAGGGACAAAACCATTATGTGGTGGGATGCGAGAACATGGAAGGTTCGCAAAGTTGTGCCAGTTCTGGAAGAAGTTGAAGCAGCGGGGTTCATTGGCGCTGGGAACTTAACATATACTGGAGGGGTCAATGGGATTATTCGAATATGGCAGTCAGATAACGGGAGAGAAGTTACGCAGCCGCAGTCGCCAAAGTCAGAGCCCGATGCTATTGTGGATGGACTCTTGATGCCTGGTTTGCCTTTCATCTTGTCAGTACAATCAGATCATACTATGGTTCTGCATTCCACGACTTCACTAGACGATGTAGACTCTTCAGATACTATCCCGCCACTGGAAGAGCTGAGGCGCATCTCCGGTACTCACGATGAAATCATTGATCTGGGATATCTTTTGCCCGATCGATCACTCTTGGCGCTCGCAACAAACTCAGAAGAGATCAGGATTGTGTCACTCGCTCAGCAAGATGGATCCGCCTACTTTGGAGCAGATATTGCTCAATTAAGGGGACACGAGGACATCATCATTTGTCTCGATATTGATTGGTCTGGACACTGGATAGCCACAGGTTCCAAAGACAACACTGCAAAACTCTGGAGAATTGATCCCGCAAATTCGTCATTTACATGCTACGCTACTTTCACTGGACATGCCGAATCACTAGGTGCTGTCTCTTTACCAAAGGACACACCCCCTGAATCATGTGCAGCGTTCAAATCACCGCTTGATCATCCGCCTGAATATCTCTTGACGGGATCTCAAGATCGGACCATCAAACGATGGGATGTCCAGAAAACAAAAGCATTATACACTCGCAAGGCCCACGACAAAGATATCAACGCCATCGACATCAGCCACAATGCTCAGCTATTCGCTTCTGCTTCTCAGGACCGAACAGTCAAAATTTGGTCTGTTGAAGAAGGCGAGGTACAAGGCGTGCTTCGCGGGCATAGACGTGGTGTATGGACTGTGAAGTTCGCACCGAAAGATACGCCTACCATTGTTGGTGACAGCGGACCAGCTGCTGGCAAGGGTTTGATTCTCACAGGCAGTGGTGACAAGACGCTGAAGATCTGGAGTCTTTCTGATTATACCTGCTTGCGGACTTTCGAAGGGCACACACACAGTGTCTTAAAAGTAGCATGGCTCACCCTGCCACCGAAAGAAGACCGTGGGAGAAAACACATACATGTCGCCAGTGCCGGTGGAGACGGTCTGGTCAAGGTCTGGGATGCAAACACTGGAGAGGTAGAATGTACACTCGACAACCACGAAGACCGCGTGTGGGCTCTTGCTGTGCATCCCTCTACCAACGCGATAGTTTCCGGGAGCGGGGACTCGACGGTCACGTTCTGGAAAGACACAACCTCCGAGACTCTGGCTGCTTCTTCTGCTGCTGCAACGCAGTTCGTTGAGCAGGAGCAGGAGCTCCAGAATTATATCCATGCAGGTTCTTATCGCTCCGCCATCACTCTTGCGCTTCAACTCAACCACCCTGCTCGTTTGCTCTCCATTTTCACAACTGTCACGACTAAAGTTCCGGAGGAGGGAAGTCTCTGTGGTATCAAGGCTGTGGATGAGGTCCTAGGTTCATTGTCTGATGAACAACTCTTTACCTTGCTTCTCCGTGTCCGAGATTGGAATACGAACGCAAGAAATGCATCTGTGGCGCAACGGGTCTTTTGGACTATCGTGAAGAGTTATCCTGCGTCGAGGCTGTCTAGCTTGAAAGGTGGTAAGGTGAAGGACGTTATGGATGCGCTGAGGTCACATTCGGAAAAACACTTTAGAAGGTTAGAAGAATTGGTTGATGAGAGTTATCTTGTGGAATATTCACTGAGGGAAATGGATGGGTTGGGGTTGTTGGACGGTGTCAATGCTCTAGATTCAGACATTACTATGACAGATGTAGCCGTAAGATAAGCAATACAAGACTGTTGTACATTTTGAGTGGCTATCGTAAATGGCGAGGACATATTCTATGCTATAGGGCTTTCTAGTTTCTTCAAAACACTTCTCTTAGCAGTTGCCCTCTGTCCCCTTCTGGTCTTTATTATCGAATAACTTGTAGTCACACCGCGGCTACTACTTCTATCTTTGGGGACAATATGCTCGTACTAGGTAAGGAAGACTTCCCAAAAAGTTCATATTTAGATCTAAATCCGGAGTTACGATACTGCTTACAAACAGCAATCTTCTTTCTTGTAGCGCTTACTCATGACGTAAGATGCACATTTTCCAGAATTGTTGAATTATGGTAAAGCTAATGTAATAGAACAGGTTTGCATACATATATACCTATCAATTGAAGCGGAAGCAGACCATAAACGAGACATCTGATACAAATACCGACCCCACTTGTACCTCTTAAAAATTTAGCCCCGATCTTCCAGATCTTAGCATTAGAAACGTTCAGGATGCCACTCGCTGCCGGTGCCTATGTTGTCACGGGGTCCGTAATCTCTACTGCCTTGACCCTTTTGCTATTTCGCCTAGCAACTGACCATCTTCTAGAAGTGCTCGTGGGATGGGTCTCGAGCTAGTCACACAATTCCTCAGCGCTGGTCACACAGTAGTAGCCGCCAGCCGAAATGCAATTTCATCTATCAACCTCAATACACTCGCAGCATCGCCGGCGGGCGAGAGACTAGTCATCTTAGATTGTGATGTTGGCTCGCCCCAAAGCGTCGAGCATTTCGGGGCAGAGATCAGGAAGTATGTGTCTAGCGTTGATGTTCTCGTCAACAATGCAGGTAAGAGACAGACCGACCTTTTATTCTTATCTACCGGCTAGCAGGTTATTGATTTATACTCTTGATAATACCAGGTATATCCCACGAACTTCCCAACGAAGATGTGTCCAACGTCCAACCTAGCAGCATACTGGACCACATCAACATAAACGTAGTCGGCACACTTCTCATAGCCCAAGCCATTGCTCCGCTCTGTCTCCCAGGCTCGAAAATGATAAACATTTCCTCCATGTGCGCGTCTCTGGATCTCGCTCCACGGCGCCCAATTCCAAATGTTGTTGGCTATAGCATTAGCAAGGCTGCGTTGAATATGCTGACGGTCAAACAAGCTATGTTTTATAAGAAATGTGTGGTTGTGGCCGTGGACCCGGGGAACGTGAAGACGGATATGAATCCTGACGCAACGAATAGCGTGGAGACAGTTGTTGGGTCATTGCAGAAAGTGGTGGAGGGTTTGAGGAAAGAGGATTCCGGATCCTTTGTTTCTTGGGAAGGAGGGAAGTTGAGCTGGTAGGCCCCGCATGACAACTGAATCCTAAACAGAGCATAATCATGTGATTGTTACGTGCTTATCATTCAATCGTTCGCCATCTGCATCTTCACTTCTTTCCCCATTTTAGCCACATTCCCTCGATAAGTCGCCCGCAAGTATCAGGTTCTCGCCATTGAGGTGAGTCTGAGCCAAACGATGGAAGTGGGGGGCAGAAGCACACAAGAGCATTGGCAAGCGCCTTCAACAACTTCAGATCTCGCATTCTCACCGTCGAGCACTTCTTTTTAGACGTCATATTGCATATTCTCCTTCTTTTATTATCGGAACTCTGTTACTTACGGCTTCTTGAAGATGGCCGAACAGTCAGACTTCTTGCCCCTTCAAGTGGCTATAAATGGGTGCGGTATCGCTGGTCTTACGGCTGCAATTGCTCTTCGAAAACATCCCAACATAAGTGTAGTATTGTATGAGAAAGCAACTGAATTAAAAGAAATCGGAGCAAGCATAGCTTTAGGACCGAATGGCCTCCGAACCCTTCAAAAATTGGGACTGGACAATGCGATCAGCGACGAAGTAGCGTTTCGAGGTCCCTCGAACATACCCATGATTTATCGTCACGTATGTGGCCGCCTCCCTGAATTCTGTGTTTCCTCTGGAAAAGCTGCTTCGTGTTGACAGGGTCTCCCGTCGCTAACTATCCCACAGTGGAAAACCAACGAGATAATTGGCACGGATGTGCATGAAGATGTCACTGAGCATCTACATCAAACTGCACGTTATCATCGCGCCCATCTTCATCAGGCTTTGCTTGAGAACGTTCCACGGAGCATCATTCGTCTTCGGAAAAAGCTTGTCTCTACGAAGGTAGATCCTCAAGAAAGCGTGACGCTGGAATTTGAAGACGGAACAATAGCAACCGCAGATATTTTGCTTGGAGCGGATGGACTACATTCAGTAAGTTTTTGGTTTCATTCTGGTTTAGAGAGCCCCTTGGTATTTCTAGATTACTTTCCACTAACTGAGAGCAGAGAGTCAGAACATCATTCGTTCCTGACTTCGAGCTCAAATGGAGTGGTTGGACTGCAATTCGTTCCGTGTTTGATGCTTCACTGACTGAATCAATCCCCGACGTTCCTCTTGACTCAACCCATTGGTTGGGTCCAAATACGAACTTCTTTGCCTCCCGACTAGGGAAGAACACCTACACTGTTGTTGGTGGGGTCAATGCGGATCCTAAAGACTCATCTGCCACACTCAAAAACGCAGAGTGGGACCAGGAAGCTAGCGTCAGCTTACTACGGGACATATATTCTGTAAGTTAACCATGTTCGCATAGACTGGTATAAACACTAATTACATCTTCTTGCTCTAAAGGATTGGAATCCTGTAGTGAGAACCCTCACAGAAGTCACGCCTTCGACTCGCTTCTATCCCAATTTCTCCGGATCCTCACTCTCTACATGGGTCTTTGGGTCTCGCGTAACCCTCATCGGTGATGCAGCCCATGCCCACGGAGGTGCATATGCCACAGGCGGCTCTCTAGCCATCGATGATGCATACTGCCTCTCCCTCGCCTTGCTCTCTATCTTTCCTTTCACAGCTACAAGAAAGCCATCGTCCAGAGAAATTGAAACGGCTCTGAGGCTATATGAAGCCACCCGGAAACCACATGCCGAAAGATTGCTGAAGAAAGTCCATGCTGCAAATAGTGCCAAGACAGCCAAAGTTGGAAATCCAGAGAGTGATGAAGAGTTGCGAGCAAGGGCAGCCAAGGGGTCAGACACCAATTGGCTTCATGAGCACGATGTTGAAAAGGCGTTCGAAGAGACGAAATTGCGGATTGAGGGACAACTTCGGGATATAGACGATGTTTCAGCCAAACTGTGAGACTGAAGGCTGTCTGTGATCCTCGAGCCGGCAATCAAGAAAGTGGTCAAGTGATATTCAATGATTGTTCTACGGCAGTATTGCTAACCTGCTTTACTTTGCCTCAAAAATAGGATAATTTCTGTCGTGAAGCTGACTCCACCCCTAACGGGAAAGAAAGCTACACTTATCCTCAGTGACAAATTTTTGAAATATTGTAGTATCCTCGTACCTACTTCAGGTGGCCTTCTTATATTACGCGCCAAGATTCCCGCCGCCAGCCATGTCTGCTTACCGTATGCCAAGGTCTTCCAAGAAATACCAAGCATACCAAGCCCTCGCCCAAGGCTTTAATTCGCATTGCTGTCTCTCCTATCTGCTTGGCTCCTTCTTTTCTGGTAATACCATGCTACTCGTGTCAGCCTCCGAATACCCCGCCGAAACTTTCTATACCAAAAACCCCTCGTCAGATTGATACATCCATTCCACAATTCTTGGCTCCTTCTATACTTGGGCAGCATTCTTGGATAGCTTGTTGTATGCATTCTTGATCGGGGTTTGAATCAAAGGACGGATGGGCCGGACTGGACCACCGTCATGGAGTTCAAGTATAAAAGTTTGTTTATTTCCACCTTTACCTTCATAAGTTTCCGCATCTTACCTCTTTGCCAATCATCAGAATGAAGTTCTCTCTGCCTCTCGTTGCCCTCAGCACAATTAGTTTCACTTTTGCTGTCCCAACAGCATCATCAAATGCAATTGTCCAAAGAGATCTTCCTTTAGTCCAATCAGTCAATTACCCTTTCCCTTTAGAAGTATCTTGAACTGACTACTTCAGAACCAATTGCGCCGATTACTGCTGAGGTCTGAACTGCTCAAGAAAGCCAAGATTCTTGAAGATTTCGCGTACTCTACTCCGGAGAGGAACCGTTTGATTGGAACTCCTGGACACAATGCGACAGTCAACTGGATCAAGGACACAATTGCTCAGTTTCCCGACTATTACACTTACTACCTCGAATCTTTTGACTTGAGTCTTGGGGTCAGCGCGAATCTCACGAACAATGGTACCCCTATGGAAGCGTTCGCCGTTGGCTTGAGTCCTGCCGGGCACGTATCTGGTCCGTTGGTGTATGTGCCAAATCTCGGATGTGAAAGTGTGAGTTTTAAGGTGGAATTGAAATTTGGCGTGTGGTTAACACAATGGGCTAGGCCGACTTCTCTGCTGTTACGGCAGGCTCCATAATTCTCGTGGGGCGGGGCAACTGTCAATCTGCAGTCAAAGACGCTCTTGGTTCGACGGCGGGCGCAATTGGGAGTAAGAAATCTCCTCCTTGATACATCTCTGATCTTACTACGCTGAGAGTGTCATGCTTTCGACTCTCTCCACAAAAGTTAAAGTACTAATTCATTGTAGTGTTGGTGTACAATAATGTAGAGGGGAATCTGGATGGCTACTCTTTGCAAAAAATAAACACCCCCGAAGGTACATATGTCCCAGCAGGTGGGATATCTATGGCAGATGGAGAAGCCCTGGTTGCCAGAGTACAAGCTGGAGAAACTGTCATTGCTGATCTCGCAACTGAAATGTCTGTTTCCACGACCTACAACGTGATAGCCGAGACGATAGGAGGTGATCACGAGAATGTGATCCATATGTCTGGGCATTCTGACTCAGTGGCCGCCGGCCCAGGCATCAACGACAACGGATCTGGCACCATCTCACTACTAGAAGTTGCGATCCAATTAACGAACTTCAGCGTCAACAATGCCGTTAGATTTTCATGGTGGTCAGGGGAAGAGGAGGGTCTTCTAGGCGCCACGTACTACGTTTCTCAGCAGCCACAGTCAGAGCTTGATAAGATTCGGTTGATGCTGGATTTCGATATGATGGCTTCACCCAACTATGTTTACCAGATCTACGACGGCGATGGATCAGCATTCGGCGAGTCAGGCCCCCCAGGATCAGGCGAAGCCGAGCATGAGTTTGAACGATATTTTGCCCAGGACGCTGGTGTGAACTTCACCTCGATTGAATTCGACGGTCGCTCCGACTACGGACCTTTTCTTGCTGCTGGTGTGGCCACTGGAGGAATTGCTTGTGGTGCTGAGGCCATCAAGACGGTGGAGGAAGCTGCAATGTTTGGTGGCCAGGCAGGTGTGGCATATGATGTCTGCTACCATTCTGCGTGTGACAATTCCAGCAATCTTGATGTTGGGGCTTGGATACAGATGACGAAGGCTATTGCACACATGACGGCGACGTTTGCGAGGAGCTTTGATCTCCTTTCTCCCCGGAACGAAACAATGAAAGCCAAGCGAATGACGAAGTCGAAACAGGTCATCAGTGACAAGGCTATAGGAGCTCTTTGGGGCGTTTGAGAGAATGACGTAAAACTGGGTTTAGAAGATGCTACTTTGACAGAAAATGAATAGTAACATATTTCGGAGACATGAAACTAAGAATCCTGAATATAGTGCGTCAGCAACAAGTTGCACAAGTACATGATCATTTTCTACTGAGCCGCAACAACAAGACGAGCCTCCTCTAGGAATTGGTTCTTAAAATCCTGTTCCGTCTTTTCCTCGCGCCAGCCAAGTTCATGGCTGACATCCGATAAAGTGCGGGAACTATGTCTCTAGTCAACGCTTGAATCTTTTGGGGAATCAGGGACATACTTGGAAGCAAAGCTAAGCTCGACAATCAACTCGTAGCCACCCCACCACTTTCCAGCGGCTTCAGAGAGACTTATACTCTTTACCTCACGTGTCTTGATAGCGCCCAGCTCTGCAAGTGCACCTGCAATGTCACTGGCCAGCTCAGCCCACTGATAACTTCCTGTAGACGAAAACAAAATACCCTTCTCTCCATTCGGAAGCTCTTCGCCCTTGAGGACCTTGTTGAGAAGCAACTCGTATAACCTAGCAAGATCGGCGATATGAACGTAGCTCCATACTCCCTTTCCATCACCTATCATCTCGGACTGTCCAGCCTTGATAGCAGCGCGGAGAAGTGTTGGGAATTGGATCGACAGCTTATTGAATAAGCCGGTCCCGAAGCCATAGATGGTAGGAGACATGAGAATGGTCGTTTTGACACCCGCGGCTAGGCCCGTCTCTACCACGATAATATCTGTGGTCCGTTGGGGGTAGACTTGTAGAGCTTCACGAGACTTCAGGTATGCGTAGATGTTCTCGCGGTCAGAGAATGTACGTGATTCGAGATACTTGCCGGAGATGGGTTGATCACCCAGGTTTGACGTCCCAGAAGTCTAGATCTGGTTATAACAATTTTCCAGTTATTCGGAGAAAATGAAACGCTTACGTGGATGAAGTGAACTTCCTTGCCACTGGCCTTCTTCCTCTCACCAAGACCAAGAATCAAAGCTTTTGCCGAAGCTGTGTGAAAACCAGATGCAGTATGGATAACCACTGGCAGTCACATAAGCTCCTGTTCTTCCTGATGTCTAGAGCGACTTACCATCATGTTCACTGGCCACCTTCTGGAGGATGTCCGTTTCGTCCAAGTTATGGAACAAAATTGGATTGAACCCCTGGCCTTGAAGAATCTTGGCTCTGTCTTCACCTCTGACAAGCACGGAAATTGGATACTTGGAGAAGTCATGCTTAGATTCAAGTAGCTGAGTGAGAATTGAACCTCCGCTAGTAGAGACATTAGTAGCTTACACCAATGAACTGAGCCGGTGAGTTTACATATAACCAGTCGCACCAGTGAGAAGAATTTTGCTTGACATCAATGCAACTGAGACTTGATGTTTGAGGTTTATCGTGAATGATTTCGATATCTTATTGCGAAGGAACGGATTTGAGAAAGATCTAATACAACTCAATTAGAGTGCGGAGAAAATGAAAGAGATTGGACTTTCAAAGACTTTCTTATATCTTTTACCCCTCAAATAATGACTAACCCCGCAAGGAAGTGCTTGAAGATACCCATAATTATAATGGGCATTTATATGGGTCGTTCCCAGCCTGAGATGAATTTGGACAGTTTCGCTTGTACATACCCTGTGAGACACTTGTACTATTCGGAAACCTCGGAGCGGTGAAATGGATATAGAATTCAAGAGAATACGGATCTGGTGGATGTATACTTGTTAAAGTGCTTTGTAAACGAGTAAGAGTTATGCTTGAAAGTGTGTGGGACGATGCAATAGCAGCTGCAGTCTACTAAATAATGCAATTGGACGATCAGATGGTTTGATTTTGAATCAACCGACTCGGCCAAAACAATGGAGTAGATATGGGATTTAAGCCAATCAGTTGCCATACCACCGAAGTTGGTACTAACAGGAAAAACGCAGGATACTTTAAAAGCGGACTGCAGCGGACTACAGTGGACGGCGGCCCGCTGCAATAGACCGCAAGTAGAAGACCTTGCGTGAGTGATGAAACCTTAGCTTTCAAAACGTCTTGCTTGAGATTTTCAGTCATCTCTTGATTTGGGCAGTGAAATTGTTACATTACCAAGCATCAATCACATGCCCCACCCAACTCGAGTCTTGGTGTCACTATTCTTGATAAACCCTTGCCACCAAAGCTCTCCAGTACAAGCGCTTGCAGCCATCAAATCTTGCACTCAACCACATTTAGAGATATATGCCTCTGAGCTTTATGATCACAGAGAAGCTCGCCGAGCTGACATTGCGAGATAGAGGAGCGCATGCCGTAGTGCTGTTTGTGCGTGATATTGGGTGGAATTCCACTGGTGAACTGAACTAGGGTAACTCTCGAATGGGATAGATATCGATTGCAATTATACGGGACGCAATCGCGTTGCATACAAACGTATCAGTTGTGTTTTATAGAGACCCGGAGGTGAATGCTTCTGTATATGGGATGTGGGATCATTTCAAGTAACGGATAGTCTTCAACTGAGGTTGACTTGGAATGAGTATAACAAGTTGGTAGAGGAGTTGCCACCTTTGAAATTCATGAGAAACGGGAAGGGAAATGAAGCTGCACTTCTGCCATACAAAGCATATGATGACACGGTGAAAAAAAGGGACATAGGTTCCTAAGGTTCTCGACAACAATGCAAAATCGGAAGGGAAAGTTAACGTCGAACTTGTTAATAACCTGCAACTTGCATGAGTCACTCAAGGATGATATGACAGAGAGGTAGAACATCATACAAGACGGTGGTATATGCATAAAGTGATTAATAGAAGAGGTCCAGAAAGGACCAAAGCTTTAAAGGGATACCTACTAGCGTGTATTTCTTTAGCGCAAGGCTGGAAAGTGAGGCAGCAACAATAGGACGAAAAAATACTTGAAAGACATCCTTCAATACACTCTGACCACCCTCACATCATGAGTGCTGCATCCACACCAAATGGAGTGTCGCGGAAGCGCAAAGACCTTTCTGATGAAGCCTTTGAACCCGCCGTAAAGCGACTGAAGATCCACGATGCAGAAGATGCGCCAGCTCCACTACCACCACCTCCTCCACCAGAGGAGCCTCAAAGCGAAGAGGAGGAGGAGGAGCTGGTTCCAAGATCTCGACAGGAAGCACCCCAGGAGGGATTTGATGATCTATATCTTGATACAATTAATCGCAGTGTTCTCGACTTCGATTTCGAAAAGCTCTGCTCCGTATCCCTCTCGAATATCAACGTCTACGCCTGTCTAGTCTGCGGAAAATACTATCAAGGCCGCGGGCCTAAGTCACACGCGTACTTTCACGCGCTGGAGGTAGGGCATCATGTCTACATCAATATGCAAACACAAAAGGTGTACGTGCTGCCGGAAGGATACGAGGTGAAGAACAAGAGCTTGGAGGACATCAAATTCGTGTCCGACCCCACATATACTAAGGAGCAGGTCATGGCCCTGGACCGGGAATCGCAGACAGCCTGGACACTTCTGGGAAAGGAATACACTCCTGGATTCGTGGGGATGAACAATATCAAGGAAAATGACTACTTTAATGTCATAATCCAGGCTCTGGCGCATGTCCCACCACTACGAAACTACCTCTTGCAAACATCTTTCACCTCATCTCCCGAACTATCAAAGCGCCTCTCGATCCTCGTTCGCAAAATCTGGAATCCTCGTGCCTTCAAATCACATGTCTCACCTCACGAACTCCTCCAAGAAATAAGTCTGAAATCCAATAAGAAGTTCACCCTCACTACACAAGCAGACCCCGTCGACTTCCTCTCTTGGTTCTTGAATAACCTACACTTGGCGTTGGGAGGAAGCAAGACCAAACCCGGAAGCAGTATAATCCAATCCATCTTCCAAGGAAAACTCAAGGTCGAATCCCAAGCTATAACCGCCAAAGCGGACGCCGGGGACCGGCTAAGATTTGAAGAAGCAGCCTCCGTCACAACCACAACTTCTCGCTTTCTATTTCTGACACTCGATCTGCCCTCTGCTCCACTATTCCAAGATGAGTTGGAGAGGAATATCATCCCGCAAGTTCCACTCACGAGTATACTGAGCAAGTATGATGGGTTGAGGAGTCAGGAACACTTGAATCAACGGAAACGGTATCGCTTGCTACACCCACTGCCGCCTTATTTGTTGTTGCATGTCAAACGATTTAGTACCAATAAGTTCGTGTCTGAACGGAACCCTACCATTGTCACTTTTGATGCAAGGAACTTGGATCTGTCGCCGTATGTGGAACCTAACCCTAAATTCTCCCCGCCCGGGGAGCCGATTTGGTATGATTTGGTAGCGAACGTGGTACACGAGGCCGTGAGAGGCAGGGAGGATAGTGTGGAGGGAGAAAGTGAGAAGAGGAGCTGGAAATGCCAGATTAGGGATAGGGGCAGGGAGGAGTGGGTGCAGGTGCAGGACTTGTTTGTGGAGAAGACGCAGAAGGAGCTGTTATACCTCGGGGAGAGCTATTTACAGGTGTGGGAGAAGAGGAGAACGGGGCAAGCGAAGACGAATGGGAAAATGGCTGCGAGGTGAGGGATGGGGGGTGAGATGTAAATTTATAATAAGTCAATGTAGTGGTATCAATGAGGAGCCAAAAAACATCTTCAGACTGAAAATCTTATTCGATTGCTAATATTTGGAGAAGAATTTGGAATTCTCACACGTGGTGGGGTATTTTCATACTACTCTACAATATATGCCCTGGATCATGTCTCTATCCTTGGTATCTCAAAAACAACAGCACCGTTCTTGCCGTTGACCTTTTTCCAGGAGCCCAGACGATGCTCCTTGCCAACAGCTACAACAACACATAAGCCATCTTTCCCTCTATCCCCTCTCTCAAACAACGAGATCTCATTCATAACCCCTTTTGAAATTGATCCCTCACCAGGCTTGACGTCGCCATTGGTAAGTGGAGTGTCTTTGACGTGTAAAGCACCATGACCATCCAAAGACCCAACCACCCCCATAGACTCAAGTTTCTTTTTGTCGGAGCTGATTTTCCAGGCTCTCAAACACCCATCCCAACTCCCACTCAATACGACATCTGAATACGGTACCGTGCTCAAAGACGTAATCCACCTCACTTGTGGCTCAGGCACAGCCCTTTTCCCCTCCTCGACCTCCGCACTCGCCTCATCACTCGGCATCTGTTCTTCAACCCCATGCGCCGCACTAACCGTGTGTATTGGCTTCTTTTTATGAATTGTCCAGAGACAAATATTCCCATTGTCTCCACCTGTGACGAACATCTCGTCATCGATCATAGCTACACGGTCCATACTACCCTCCATAGCTTTGCCCTTAGACTTTGAGCCACCGCCGCCTCGATACACGAGTTGGGTTTCTTCAGCCACTTTCCATAACCTCGCTGTTCGGTCTCGTGCTCCGACACTGATGCAACGTTCTTGGGCTAGAGCTGCGATATCGACTACTTCGTCTTGGTGACCGAAGAGCGTCTCTACGTATGCGAGTTCGTCGAGACTCCATACTTTTACAGTTCTATCCTTAGAGCTAGAGTAAAGCTGGTTGGTGCCGCGGCGAAAAGCGAGGCCGGTGACGGAGTCACGGTGTTGGGTGAAGACACGGAGGGGTTTGAGGGTAGAGGCGTCCCAGACGATGAGTTTGCGGTCTTTGCCGCCTGTGACGACTAATTTGCCGTCCTCTGAACATGCTACTGTGAGGATGATACCGGTGTGTCCCTGGTACGAATTATCCTTGCTCTTCTTTTTGTCTCCTCTAACACTGAGAACTCGTTCTGGTCGTCGTTTTGGCGGAGGTGGTGGTTTCTTGTTCTTCTTTCCTTTCGTCGGTAGCCATTGGTCTTTAGGCAAGTCCTGTATCCTCCATTTCACAAGCCATAAATCCTTGGACACTGTATACGCAAACGGCGCACAACTCGCAATTCCCGTAATACTCTCGGCATTGCTCTTGAACCAACTATGACTTGCCCCTCCAAATTCCAACTCTGATGCCAAATGACGGTACATGCGGCCCTTGGACTCGGCCACATCTTCTTGTAAACGCTCGGCGATTAGCTCTCGATCGATCTCTTCGGCGTCAAATCCGTGCGAATCGACATTGACTTCGTGGCGGACGTTATCGAGGTAGCGTTCAGCAAGACGCAGACGACGTTCTGCTGCTGTTTCTTCCTCTCCATCATCCCCTCCCAAACTACTGCCTTGTGAGCCTTCCTCATCGTCAAAACCGCCAAATTCTTCTCCATTGCTATCGTCGTCGCTGCCAGATATAGATTCGTCCCTTTGAGGTTTTCGCGGTGCGGGTTTCTCGACCCGGGAAGGTTTTGATGCGAGTCTTTTTTTAGGAATTTCTGAATCCTCTGTACGTTTCCTCTTCTTGTGAGCAGAGGGAATTGTGAAAAAGGAAGACATGGCTGTGGTGTTGTGGAGATATACAAGTGGGAGCGGGACTTTTTCTATTCTTCAAAAAATTAAAAAGTTCTGCCAAAACCACAAAAGAGCATTTGCGGGCGGTGAATGGCGAACACGTGACTACCAGCAGGGGTCATTTGAGGCAGCGACTCCACGCGTTGGAATAGTACAAGAGCTTGAACTTTAAGAGCTCCAACATCCAAAGCTCAACCCTAAATTACAAACAACACCGCAATCATGTAAGTATTGTTAGCTGCGCAAGCTGGGGATGAAGAATGCTAATATGTATGGGGTCGTAGGGAGGTATTACTGGGTATCACCGGCAAGGACTTCACCCTCATCGCAGCCTCGAAAGCTGCTATGCGAGGAGCCACTGTCTTGAAGGCACACGACGACAAGACGAGAGAGTTGAACAAGCATACCCTGATGGCATTTTCGGGAGAAGCTGGAGATACAAGTATATCCTCTTTCCTCTTGCTTGCTTGAGTTTGAACGCTGATACTGGTGAATAGTCCAATTCGCAGAATACATCCAAGCGAATGCCGCCCTCTATTCCATGCGCAACGACATCCATCTCTCCCCATCCGCAATCGCCCACTTTGTCCGCGGCGAACTCGCGTCCTCTCTCCGCTCGCGCAAGCCTTACAACGTCAACCTCCTCCTAGGTGGCGTCGATCCCATTACCGGCAAGCCTTCGCTGTACTGGCTGGATTACCTAGCGTCGCTCGCCCCACTACCATACGCTGCCCATGGATATGCGCAGTATTACTGCTTGAGTATTCTTGATAAGCATCATCACCCGGATATTGATTATGAGCAAGGAATGAAGATTCTGAGGATGTGCACGGATGAGTTGAAGAGGAGATTGCCGATTGATTTTAAGGGCATGTTGGTTAAGGTTGTGACGAAGGATGGAGTTAAGGAAGTAGAGTATGCGGACGATTCGAAGGTTGCTTGTCCGTAGGGGAAGATATGAGCTTTTGATAGAAAGATATGACCTGGGTGTATTATAGCATGGCATCAAGAATGGCGAACTTGGTTTGCTTTTATGAATCGGGTCTCTGAGCCCTTACTGCATCATATCTTGCTGCATTATACTCCATGTGAGCAAGGATCGATTATGGTTCGAGGCGTTGTTACTGTTTTGACTGTATTTGCTGGATAAATGGAGCTGTTGATGCATCCATGGAAGGTTAACAGCTTTGCTTTACACCGAACATTGACCTCTGTGTTTTTCTTTGGCCTAGAACCCTTTATACAAGGCAAGCGATTTCAGGTCGTTCAACTACTTAATACCCCGTACAAAAGTTCCCGGTTTGGCTCTATTTAGAAATATGACTTGTGCAAATGAAATTCGATATCTATATCTCTAAACTAAGAAAAACTGACATGCAGCTGATCAATCAAATACCGTAGACCCATCCAATGGATATCCGGATAATCATGTCTGCAACTATTTATATATACCTTGCCTAAGGCTGAAGAGTGGATGCTTACTAAGGTAACATATTGCCCCCGAATAGTCGCTAGGGCCTAAAGCAGCTTAGCGCACTTTAGAAAGGTTTTTTCCTACATGGTCGCCTCCAGAAAAAAGTTGATCTCTTACTCCTTCTCCTTCCACATCTCCTGAACATCCTGTTCTACACCACAACTACATCAACACCCTCCATCCCTCATTCCCCCTCTCCTCTCAGTCCTTATTTTCCTTTGAAAGCCGTTGGTTTTTTTCGGAGGATTTCAGTACTGCTGCTTTTACGATACAATACACGGAAATACCTACACCAAAGAGCGGAACGATATACTCTTCTTCTCTGTTCTTATAATCGGTTCGATCGCGTTTCGGTTCATAGATTTCCTGTCGCCTTTCTACAGTCTCTACTAGATCCCGCAGATCTCCCAAGAGAATCAGTACGGCCTCACATACGATCGTCGCACAACCCGGGACTTAATATCACCGTCGACACTGCAAATTCACTGTCGAGAATTTACAATCAGCTACCCAACATGGCTGACAACTTGAACATAAATGGCCTCAATCTCAACGGTGGAGAGCGTCAGTCCTACATCCCTCCCCACATGCGAGGCAAGATGGGTGGTGCTGGCCAAGGACCCCCACCAGAAGGGCCGCCGCCTATGAACGGAGGCATCAACGGTAGCGCATGGGCTCCCCCGCCAGCTGCGTAAGTGGAATAATTCTCATTATTGTCCTCTAGATTCGCAGGATTATCGTAGCTCTTCAACTTGATGGCATGCTAACGTATTACGACCAAATAGAAACGGCTATGGCGCAGGACCCCGTCCCGGAAACTGGGCCAACGCTCCCAACTTCACTCCTGGCGCTCCAGGTGCCGATCCGATTCCCGGCCAAGCTCCTCCACCAGCAGCGGCAGCAGCTCGTCCTTCATGGGACTCTGTTCCGCAGGGTGGGTTCAACCGGAATGGATACGGAAACCCGTCATCCGGTGGTGGTGGTGGTTCTTCAGCTCCTCGCGGAGGCGGCGATGGCCGATGGACTGATGGAAAGCACATTCCTGGACCTGTTAATTTGCGTGTTGAGCGTGAGCTTTTTGGTGTGCCCGACGACCCAAGCAAGCAACAGACCGGTATCAACTTCGAGAAATATGACGACATACCAGTCGAGGCTTCAGGTCAAAATGTCCCCGAGCCTACCACAAAGTTCACGAACCCTCCTCTGGACGACCATCTCCTCAGGAACATCGAGCTTGCCCATTACAAGGTCCCAACACCAGTCCAGAAATACTCGATTCCTATTGTCATGGGTGGCCGAGATTTGATGGCTTGTGCCCAGACTGGTTCCGGAAAAACTGGTGGTTTCTTGTTCCCCATTCTCTCCCAGGCTTTCATCAATGGTCCATCTGCTGCCCCAGCTGGAGCCGGCGGCAACTTCGGACGTCAACGCAAGGCATACCCAACATCCCTGATCCTTGCTCCTACGCGTGAGCTTGTCTCCCAGATCTACGAGGAGTCCCGCAAATTCGCTTACCGATCATGGGTCCGCCCTTGTGTCGTTTACGGAGGTGCGGATATCGGGTCCCAACTTCGCCAAATCGAGCGTGGATGTGATCTTCTCGTCGCTACTCCAGGTCGTCTTGTTGATTTGATTGAGCGTGGCCGCATCTCCCTGTGCAACATCAAGTACTTGGTTCTCGATGAGGCTGATCGTATGTTGGACATGGGTTTCGAACCTCAAATTCGAAGAATTGTTGAAGGTGAAGACATGCCTGGTGTTCAGAACCGCCAGACTCTCATGTTTTCAGCCACTTTCCCCCGCGACATCCAGATGCTGGCCAGAGATTTCTTAAAGGACTACGTCTTCTTGTCTGTTGGTCGCGTTGGTTCCACCTCTGAAAACATTACCCAGAAGGTTGAATACGTTGAGGATATGGACAAGCGCTCTGTACTTTTGGATATCCTCCACACTCACGGCGCCGGTCTTACCCTCATCTTCGTTGAGACCAAGCGAATGGCTGACTCATTGTCGGACTTCTTGATCAACCAAAACTTTCCAGCCACGTCCATTCACGGTGACCGCACTCAGCGTGAGCGTGAACGTGCCTTAGAGATGTTCCGTAACGCTAGATGTCCAATCCTCGTGGCCACCGCTGTTGCAGCTCGTGTAAGTTTAGCCTTCTTATATTACGCCCCCATTACCTATTATTATACCTTTCATTTTCTTCAAATTTTCCATAATCCCTCCATCTTTAAGACACTGAAACTATTGGATGGAAATTTACTAACTTTACTATCAGATGTACTCACTTTTTCCTTCATTTCCCCAAATATCCAACAATGTTCGTAGCAAGTGCTGCGTCACGTCTTGCCATGGTGGTTCCTTCCTGATCCGCGGAAGGAAACTCCGAATAGCTTCAACTTGTGTCATTTGCTAATCAACTTTCAACTCTTCTAGGCGGATTGGACATACCCAATGTAAGTGATTATGGGCTCCCGAAAATACTTTTGAAGAGAATATTACTGACTCACCTTTTTTCTAGGTGACTCACGTGGTCAACTACGATCTCCCAACAGATATTGATGACTATGTTCATCGTATCGGTCGTACCGGTCGTGCCGGAAACACAGGTATCTCTACTGCATTCTTCAACCGTGGCAATAGAGGTGTTGTACGTGATCTCCTTGAATTATTGAAGGAAGCCAACCAAGAGGTTCCTGCTTTCCTTGAGAACATTGCTCGCGAGGGCGCTGGATTCGGAGGCGGTGGTGGCCGAGGTGGTGGTCGCTCTGGAGGCCGAGGCCGTGGAGGTGGAGCCAACCGTGATTTCCGTAAATTCGGCGGTGGTGGTGGAGCTGGAGCTGGCAGCGGTGGGTTCGGCGGCGGATATGGCGGACCGCCACCTCAATCATATGGAGGAGGTGGTGGCGGTTTTGGAGGTGCCCCCCTGCACCTGCTTATGGTGGCGCTCCTGCATATGGCGGAGGTGGTGGATACTCTGGCGGCGGTGGTGGTGGAAGCTACGGTACGTCTCATTCTGTCTTCTCTTTATGCTCTCAGTACTAACTTTTCAATAGGCAACCCATCCGGTGGTGGTGGTCAATCTTGGTGGTAAATGTTCCACCTAGTTGGCACTTTGTTCCTTCTCCGATACTCTTTTGATTGCGGCTCAACACACTGGATCTGGGACAAAGGCGTCAAGCGGATATCGACAGCTTTCTGTGGATACGACTTCATTTTGTCTGCCTCTTTCAATTACTTGCGACTTCTCGATAATTTGCTTTCAATTTGCGACTTCTGATTTTCTTATGGTGGCATCATCACGACTGTAGCCGGCTCCTCGCCCTCTACACAGAGGGAGCTGGCTTCACGGTTGTGGTTCGACCATCGAACGGCATACGAATAGATAGCATTGTCTTTTGTTTCCTGGCTGTCCCCCTTCCATCTCGATCTTGATACCCAAATAGATGATGATCAAGGGCGATCAGGCAGCATGAGATTGCCAACTTGCGGCGTACCGGCATGATGAATGCTTTTTTACCTGGGAATTGGGGAAGAGAAAAATTACCTGGGTTGAACGGAACGCATTATGACGGTCATGTTATTTCGAACAATCTTTCACGGCTCGAAAAGGGTTGATGGATGGATGGTTCCCACATTTAGAAGATCTTGCTTTCATGCATTTCCTGTTTTTTCTTCAAATTTGCGCGCTCTTAGACAAAAGTGGATGGAAATCTCTCGCGGAGTTCACCGGCATGAAACGGGGAACTTTACGGGTTGATTTTCGATGGGCTCTGTTTTCTCCTTGTTTTCACATCATCTGCGTGTGGCGAAGGCATACCTCTTTCTATAGAAGGAGGGTGATGCTTGAACGCTCAAACGCTGATGGCATACGGAAGTGCTCCTGCCCATTCAGGCAAGAGGCATATCGATTATAGCATGGCTGGCATAACGAAAAGACTGCAAAGACATGTTTCGTGGTGGAAATTATATGGAAAATAGCGGGATGACCGATAAATATTCCTGAATACAAAGCTGCTCCACAAAGATTCGCGGTGTTATGATGTGACTTTGAATGTGACTTGTATGTAATTAGTGCGCTGAAGAGGCAAAAAGGGCAACATACACTTCATAACACGCCAGGTAGAGTGGGACATTTTTAAAGTCGATGAGTGTAAATGCCGCTTTTTGTATTCAGGATAGGGAAGCATTATAAAGAGCCCAAGGGTTCAGTGATAGACCTTTTGTGAGAAGGCCGTAGAACACATTAGAAGTTAATCAGGGTCCAGGTTGCTCAGTTGCTTCAATCTATCCCGGTTTATTCGTGAATCTAACACATTCATGAATATGGGTAGTCAGTTTAGTCAAATATCAACGCTAAGATTCACGAACAAAACGAGACAAATCTCAATATCACGTTGCGATTGTTACTAAATCTCAAAGATCAACATCCATCTGATTACCTCACAGCAACACAGGCCTGCCAAGAACCATTTTACTAGCCTCTAGATCGGTAGCAGCTACGAATTCCCACTCAGGGCTAGCGCCATATTCAAGTACTCGGTGCCGCTATTTCTGTCCAACGCGAGGCAACTTCTTTTTGTAGAGGCGGCCCTAAAAGACTAAAGGTTCTAATTAACATCATCACTATTATCTAGAAGCGACGTCGCCAGCCGCTGTCGTAGGAGGACATAGTCGAGATAGTAAATCCCACGCTTGCTCGGCTATCTTAGTATCCCGTCGATCCATCCTTGGCCGAGTATTTGCGCGCTATGGTGGCGGGTAAGCTCACGAAGCGGACATCTCCGTTCAAATCGCTTTTTTTATATCTAACTTGGTACACTTCTCTGAGGTTGAGGTTGCAATGTGAGTGGAATCTTTGGACTTTGATACACATTCATACCGCCAGATGTTCTTAGCTCTTTTGGTATCTCGTCGTAGGTCCGAGGATCAGCACCATAATGATCGAGATAATGATAAGTCTCAGCTCCTGTTCCCATCTTCCGAGATACCCTGGGAGATTGCCATATCCAATGCTACTTTGGAAGATAGATAAAAGCCAAGAGGCATGAATCGACGTGTTGATTGATATACCGTATTAACTCACCACCAAGCTATTTTTTTACAGTCTCGCTTATGCACCTGCTGAGGGGAGACATCTGATTAGTCTAGACAGCTAAAGAGGAGTCAGTTAAATAAGGACTTAGAACCCTAGCATTAAAGGTGGACTTCTTATATACTCCCTAAGTGCTGAAGCACCTAATCGCCTGATGCGAATAGCCTTACGCGAGACCGTGTGGAAAAATAGCTTAGTGGTGAGTTAATACGGTATATGCCTTTTATGACTACTGTCTTAGCTTTACGGACTCATTAGATACTAGCTTTTATAATGATTGCTCAAGTTGTAAATTCGGAATCCCCTTTAGTCATAGATGCAGCTCGATACTTTGGGACTAGAAAATGGTAATTGGTGCTCCTCAATACCACCTATCAGTCTTCACCAACCTTCCAGCCCACGTCAACCCGGCACGTCCACTATACCTCCGGGAAGCATTCCACTCGGAACAAGTAAGGGAATTGGAGCCGTTGTCCAAGGGAGGTTCGACAGAGTTGAAGTTTTACAGAGTAGACCAACGATAAACTTTATAACAACTGACATAGACAAAGTGAAACTTGCCAGCGTAGTCAAAGGGGATAGGGACATCATCAACGATGGGGTTTTGAGTCCCAACCTAAAAGGCAAATACATCATGGCGAACATGTCCCAGCCACAAAGTCGTCAAATGTCATACTGCAAATACGCCTAAGAACGAGATGACATAGCAACTCTTCGCCACTGCCACGCTGAATTGAATGTTTTTGCAAGATTCCAACAGAAAGGTTAGAGGTGGGTGCCTGTGTGAACTAAGAAGCGGACATAGAGTTAGCTAGGTGGCTATCTTAGATTAAAATACATTCGAGAAGAAAAGTTGGTTTGGTAGGTTGTGGGCAGGGGACATTTTGGCGTGGACGAATCATCATGGTGGCAAGGGGAATAGACTGGTCGGGAAATTTATCACTATTACTAGATAGGCTGAGATAGGCTGAGGAGTCGCTGAGTATGTTTGCTGGCCTGGAAGCTTTCGGAAAGATAAAGTGAGTGGCGAAGAGATGGGATACTAATTGGGGCTTACATTGTCTCTGGCGCTTGGGAGAGCAGGGCTGGAAGAGGGGTGGGTCATGAATGTCTTTCGGGCGTTGAAGGTCTGCTTATATCATTAAACATTCAAATTCTTTAATAGGCATATACGGAGTAGATGTATAATCATGATAAACCTTTCTGACTTTGGGCTTCGAGGCCTGCGGTTCAATTTTCACTTGAAGTCATTACCGCCGAGATCAACGAAGTAAATATTGTAATATGAAGGAGTTATGTTGCCAAATAATTAGCTGTCATTTTGAGTAGGTATGAAGAGAAACTTCGAACAAACCAAGTTGAATTAATATGACTGAACAACACGACGTTAAGGTTTCGACACTTGAAATTGAGGAGGGATAAACGATACTCCGTACAAACATGAAGAGTGCCAAGAGGTCAATAAACACTGTCCAATAGCGCTGATATCCGAGATATGGGATATTGCTTCGGCAACTTGCCCTAATGAAGCCGAAAGATTTGGAGACTCGGCAGGCATATCTCGTTCATCGTGAGATAAGCGAGGCAAACAGGCAAGATCTAGGCTTCACGAGTTATTGACGGTGAAGACCCAGATTCTCAGGAGTGGGGTCTCTAGTGCTCGTTGCTCGATCTTTCCATATGTCGAGATATTAGGAGTATCTATCGTGATTTGTGAGCCGTTGCGATGTCGGCAAAAAGACAAAAGAATGGTTCGCGCTCGATTTGTCAAGTAGTGGATAATTCGCGTGTCCCAGCAGATGCAAGTCCGTTTCTTCCGCCTCATAATAATGAGGGGTAAAGAAGCGCAGTAAGATGCGAAGCTTCATTAGGCTGTTCGTCGTGTCATGTGTTCCTTAAAGGAACTTCCTTTAGGATGCGACGGGATTTAAGCTTTACCAAGCCTAAGGGTAAGTGCAAGGGAGAACTCCTCGGGTGAGATCCGAAAAGAGACCCCAACCCCAACTTACTATTTACCCCACCTATGATCGACCCAACGAATCTTGGAATTACAGTAGAACCAACAAAACACCACTCTCATTGATGCAGTACAGTGCTCTCCTTATCCATTCATAGATTAAGGTATTTCTCCTAGATTTCTCCGCGTAGATCCGTCCTCGCGCGATTGATTTACCGAGGCGTCGGCGCGTTGCGCACATAATAGAAAAATCCTTTAACGTGGCTCAATTAGTCGCTGTCGGTCGTGCCCGGACTAGGCCCTTGATCTAGTAGCACAGAGCAATAATAGGCGCCACAAATCACGACACCGCTCTAGCCCATACCAGGCCAGACCCATGAGGGGGGGATGTCACCATGTCGAGGACTTCCGTGGGTAGAGGTAGTCTGGAAAAAATGGGATCCCCGATCCGATCCCGTTTATATAGTCGGTGTTTCCCCTCTATTGATCATGACTGATTACTTGAGTGAAACCGTTCAATCCGATGACCTTGATATTGTTCCCTGTGCCACGGTGACAACAGTGAGTCCAGCTGGACAGTCACACCTCTCCTACCAGACTCCCGAATAACACCCCATTTCTTCACTCTTCGACCGAAACAGTTCTAGACAACATGGAGAACACAGTCTCAGAAAAGAAGATTGAGCCACAGGTCACGGTAGTTGATATAGAAGAAGGCGTTCCCAGATCCCAAAAGTGCAAGACTCGGGTAAGCCGCTTTGGCTCAGTACTGCGGAAGTCGTTCCAACGTAGTGATAAATCCGAAGCATCACCATGGCCAAAGCTTGTCAGAAGAACATTGTATCTTCTGACAGTTACACTGTGTCTTGCTGTAATCGGATACGTGTAAGTAGTACATCAACTCCCAACTTTTATCGGCATGGCTCTTATCTCAATAGTATCTACCACGCTCTCCTCCTCGCCCTAGTCCGGCGCATCAGTCCACCAGCACCTCCGACCAACGGGCTGACCGAGATTGTCACTTCTTGGGTAGAGCCAGGAACCGTCACACCGGCGCCCCCATCATGGCTTCCACAATTCAGCCGAGATGTTCAACCCAAAGCCATCCACTCCCATAATGACTACTGGCGCCGGGTTCCTCTTTTCGATGCACTTGCTTTGGGCATCACGGGCGTAGAAGCCGACTGCCATCTCATCAATGGTGAGCTCTATGTTGGACACAGGGTCGTCGACTTGCGCAATAGTCGAACTTTTCGTTCTCTATACCTCGATCCGTTAACTTCCATCTTGACGAATCAGAACGCTGCCAATGGTGTTGCTCCAGATTCTACCATCAATGGCGTCTGGGACGTTAACAACACCCAAGGGATCGTTCTTATGACAGACCTAAAAACCGAAGGTTTCGCAACTTTGGCTGCTGTGCAAAAACAGCTCGAACCTTTGCGTCAGAAAGGGTGGCTCACGTACTGGAACGGGACGGCGATTGTACCTGGCCCAATCACACATGTGGGGACAGGAAATACGCCTTTTGCAGCAGTCCTGAACTCCAGCTACGGAAATTCCTCTTACCGCTCTGTCTTTTTCGATGCGCCGCTAGATAATTTGTCATCAAATCTGTACAACACCTCGAATTCCTATTATTCCAGTGTTTCCATAAACAAGGTGTTCTCTGGGAAGCGGAAAATTGCCCGCGGTGGGCTTTCAAAGACTCAGGTGGCGACTGTTAAATCTCAGATCGAGAAAGCTAGTAGTCTAGGGCTGGTATCTAGGTATTGGGATCTTCCTGCGTGGCCTGTGGAAAAGCGTATGACTGTCTGGGAACAGCTTGAGAGCTTAGGCGTTGGAATGTTGAACGTGGATGCAATCGAAGAGGCTACGAGATGGAATTGGAAATGGTGCCACGTTTTGGGATTGACTTTGTGCTAGAATTCGAGAGCATTAAATGGTGCGTGTTATACCCAGATTTAGATCGGCGTTTTGGGCGTTGGATCTTGCATGACTTATGGATGTATGAATTTGATGAGGCGCATGGGTTTTTGGTCCTAAAATAACTGATTAACCTCTATTTCAATCTGTGCGTTCTTTGCCGTCCCTTTAACAGTAAATGTAAGGTAATGACGCTCAGCGTCTTTTGATCACAAATCTCCAAAGATTCTTCTCTCAAGCTCTTCACTTTCAGTGCCCAACTGCTCGATATTCTCCCTACTTAGAAGACCCTGCTCGGAAATATAGTGGTCGATGTATTTCGCGGGCACCCATTCAAAGTATGCATTCTTCACCTTCACGTGGTATCCCAGCTTCTGGTTCTTCTCGAGTGCAACGATGGCTGAGGTAGGCCATGCATCCATCACCTCGGCTTCATCATTGTACTCGACCTTCAAATGTCCAGCGTCAAAACCAGACCCCGTGATCTTGTCGGTCTCGAACAAGGCGACAACACTGCACTTCGGATTCAAGGTTTTGGCTACTATCGCGGCGGAAAGACTTCCAATTTTATTGCTCACATCCCCGTTTGGAATGACCTTGTCTCCGCCGAAGATGAGGTAATCCGCGTCAGCGACAACAGTGGAAACGCTCGCGTCTGAAACTATCTCGACCTCGAGGTTGGTGTTTGCTCCTGTTTGCTCCTCAAATGTCTTCAAAAAAGTGTTGACAAAGGCGACACCCTCGAACTTGGGACGTGATTCGAGGACAGAGAGCTTGACAGATAGATTCTGCAAGGCTAGCCTCTCGACCATGGTAGCTAGACTTTGAGTGATGGTCCCAGATGAAGATAAGGTTACTATTTTAGTAACCGCTTCATTGTCATGTCGGCTCTCCACGAGTTCGGCGAACTGAACAGCGAGACCTTCGAGAGTCTGTTTCTTTGCCTCAATGGTAGCCTTGATGGCCGCCTCCGTACCACTTCTAAAAAGTGGCAATAGGACGCCATAAACAGCATCAGGCGAGGTAAGATACATTTGTCTAATATTTTCCAGAGTCCTGAACAAAACCGCCTCGATAGCAGCACCCATACCCGGCCGCCCATTCTTCGCCAGGTGCCAAGCTCGCCATCTCAGCTCTTTCCAGAATTCTTCGCATGTACTTGGGCTGGCAAGATCCCCGCTTTGCACAGCCTTCAATAGGAGCTCGAGTGCTTTTAATGCGAGAGCTTTAGCTCCACTCTCATGATCATAGTGCAAGACGGCCAGATCCTTCTCAGTCTCCGGGCTGACCAAAATTCTTGACAGCCCTATCTCCAACTGCGGAACATGGTCCATAGAGTCTAACTCTTCTGGCTTGATGAAATGGTATTCCGTGTGCTCCCAGTCGAACTTGATGGGTTTGGCACCATCTTTCAACTGCCAAGCAAAGGGGTGGATGGTCCATTCTGTCTTGAGCGCTTCGTCGACCAGGTTGAATGGTTTCCCTTTCCTAAGAAGGAAGATGTCGGCATCTGACAAAGTGGTCTCTTCTAGGATTTCTCGTTTTGCTGCATCTTCTGGACTGGGGTCCGTGGGGTCAATTGAGCCTGAGCAGACGGCCCATTTGCCACTGGTGTCAGGTGACTTGTCAGTACTTCTCGACTTTGCAATGGGAAGTATAGGACAGAATAGTATTGGAATGACTTACGGATATGTAGAAACTTGTTGGCTGCGCTTGAAGAGAGCGAATGTGAATCCCGATGGGGATTCTGGAGGGGTGCAAATGAACGAAGATACAACTGCTCGTTGCCGTAAATGAGATACCATACTGAGATGGAATCTTCGCGCGTGGCTCACATTGATGCGAGATACCAGTAGTTTTAGAGAACGCAGGCGACGCATAAGGAATGATTTGATGATCAGATGTTTGGACGTCATCCACAAATGAACATCTGATAGCGAACAACTGGAAGATCACATGATCGAACAGTCTTGGTAACATTATGTAAGCAACCCCCTTTGTTGCCTGCCAGGTCCTACCTTTTATGTTCTCTCTTCTCGCATTCTTTTCTGGTACTTGATTTTCCTGACTGTGAACAATTGAAGCAAAAGAAGCGGTCTGGTTGTAAAGCATCAACAACACAGATTGCTTTGATTTTAGAAAAAATGTCTGCAAGTCAAATTGTCTGGTCTAAGATATGATTATATTCCCTTGGATTTTTACTAGGTGGCTTCTCTGTACTTACTTTTTACTACATATGTTTATTATTCTCAAAACTATACCACGGTAATCTAAGTTTAAAGCTATACCTGTTATAATCACCGAATGGTTTTGATTCTTGGGTCCTAAAACCATCCGCTGTTACTCAGTCACCTTTTTCGGGGCACTAAATTCAAAATCCCACGTCAGAAACATTTTAAAAAATGTCAAAAGCCACACTAATACAGTGTCTAGCAATTTTTCTCTTTTTTTGACAGGATGTGATTAAAATTTGGATATAATAAAAACGCACAACTAACAAAACTTGACTTCTTGAGGCTAAAAACTCCAGCTTCTATCATCGCGATGTCTTCTTTTGGAATAAGACTGGATGGCCACAGCCATGGGAAAGTTTATTACGCCGGCGATATACTAACCGGAGTTGTCCATCTGACTGGACCTTTTCGAAACGACCATAGCGTTGTCATATGCGTTGAATTTCGAGGGATAAGTCATTCATCCAGCGCCTTGCACCCTGGCACGGACTATGGAAAACTGTGCAGCCTCAAAAAAATTCTTGGGGAGGGGGGTTACTCTCTGCAAAACCAGGAGCAACGCATATGGGATTTCAAATTCATTATCCCGCAATACTCACTCAACCAGAGCAAATATCCGAGCTCGAAAAGCTGGGATTCCCCATTACATCTATTACCACCGACTTGGAGAGCTCCCAATACTACTGGCTCTGATTTCGTCAGATATGCAGTCCTAGCCAAAGTAGAATACGCTGCCTCTGCTTCTTCCTTTTGGCGGGGACAAGTAACCGAACAAAGTGTGCCAATTTATCTCCGCAGAAGCACCCCAACAATCAATTATCCAGCTCAAGTCATCGAAAAAGTCGTGCAAATCACCATGCCACAACCGGAGAACGGAACCAGGAGCTCTTGTACGCAGTTCTCACTCTTGAGCTTCTTCAGAAGGTCTCTGGCAAACATCAATGTCAGAGAGTACGCCACACTACGACTTCATGTACCTGTAGATATCAGAATTGGCGAGCCGCAGACAATCTTCTTGGAACAGTCTGGTGGAGTTGAGCGCGGGTTCACCAATCCAATGCCACAGATTCGGCTTCTGAGCATAGAGCACCGCGTCCAGTCGACAATTTGGGTTCGAATACGAGACACCCCGGAATCCAGCCACAAGTCTATAGCATCTGACCTTGTCAGCGGCCTAGTACCTCGTTTTACTCCCGTCGCAACTCGAAGATTCACAGCAAATATGATGGGACGGGTATTGGCAGAAGGAGAGATATTGGATTTGGGAAAAGAAATGGGTGATTTGGTTTTGGACAAGGGCCTCTCACGCAGCTTTGAGTCCTTTGCAATGAGCCTGAGGTACGAGTCAAAGACGACTGTAAGATTTGAAGTTGGCGGAAAGGAGCAAAGTGTCGTGTTCAAGTATTTCGGCATAAGAGTTATGTAGATAAATAAAAACCCCGTCGCGAATATCGCAAAGAAAGTGGAATTAATACAGTCATTGGATTATCTCAACTCTATAGAAATTAAGACTGGCACTATCAATATTCTAAGAGCTAGCGAAAAGAGAAATACGTCAAGACCATTAAAATTCAAACAAAATTCCAAGAAAACTGTTCCCTGGACACGGACCGGACTGTTCCTCTTTCTCTAAGCAGAAAAACTCCCAAACACCTGTCTTTTGGACAAGCGAAGATAATACCGGGTTTTTGAGAACATTTCTTCGCGTTCCCACTCGCAAATTATAAATAGCAAGTCATTTCTCCTGTGTGAACCTGTTGATCTCAATCGTCGCAATAGTACTCAATGACGGTCCGGTGCCCCATTCGAAACAAGAATCCCCCACTCATCCCCACTATCCTGACAACTCTGCCCCTCAAAGCACTCAGCCGGATTCGCAATCACCTGCTTCTCATCCACCTCATTAAACTGCAAATTCCACCGATCCGCTGGGACAGCTTGCCACGTTGGAGTAAATCTATTATCATCGCCCCAGGTCCAAAACTGAGCCTTCTGCGTCTCATCATCGTCATCCACACACGGCTGTATAGTGATAAAGGCATTCGCGGCGTCTGTGCTCTCTAGTGCTAGACAGGCCGTCGAGTTGTTAGACAGCGGGAGCTTCACAGGATATACGGTTGTGATATTGTCGCTGTCGGGAATTGGGTAGGCGGTGAGGTAGGTAGAGTTGCAGGGAGTAATATCTACGTGTATTTCCGTGACGTTGGTGTCGGGGTAGACGACGAGGAGTGAGGCGTTGCCACCTGCTTCTAGCATGCCGAGCTCACCCTCGAAACTATAATCGGAGGTATAGTACCAAATGTTGCCGTCACCTTGGACGGGACCACAGGATATCGACGCAGCGCGTGAAAGGGCCGCGAAGGGGAGGAGCAAGGGCAAGAGTGAGGAACGCATTGCTAAATGGAAAGGGAAATGGAAATGAGTGGAATAGGAATGATGGATTTGAGAAAGAGTGAAATGGGATATATCCTTGTACTAGCCTCGAGTTACGGCTGTGCGGGGAATTAACGATCGACATGGCGCTAGATTCAGGCACTTGCCGATCTCTACGTCGAACTCCCTGTTTGAAGCCAGTTTCCTATTCTGAGCAGCTCATGCGATCCCAAAGCAGTTAGGCTAGGGGGTATGCACCATAAGAGGCAACTCCACTTCGTACAGACGTACCTCCCGTATACAATCACATGGGCTTAAGCCTAGAAACTAAAAGCTGATAACAAGTACAGAAACGACTAGAGCATTTGTTAGTCCCTGCAATAAGTAAGCAACAGTGATTGCATATATCAAGAGAGAAAATTGCCACTTAGCAACAGGGTACGTGAAAATCACATATTATTCCTTTTAAAATTGTTCGTCTCCTGTGGATAGAAAGCATCAATCTCGCAAAGGGTATCATGCATCGCATTCGTATTCGACATTAGAACCCCTGGCTCTATCATACATAAATACACATCTCATCCATCATCCTCCTTCAATCATCCATCGGCTTGTCCGTCAAACTAACGCCCATACGTCCGCCATCACTCCCTACACTGTTCCTTTTCGACTGATCCACGCTCATGCGCCCAAGACCTACGGGCTTACGACCCCGAGCCGCACCAGCAGGCGCTGCTCTGCCCAGACTGTTGCGCTTCTCAACTCCAATTTCACCTAAGCCGTCATCCATGCCAGGGATATAGGTAGCACTAGTGTGAGGAGTGTCTGAAGCGCCGTTTGTGACATTTTGCAGAGGAGCTGCTGCTTCTTTAGTGGGTTCAGTTGTGGTTGGTGTGCCCTGCTCGCTCGGAACCTCGAGACTCATTCTCGCTGCCGCTGTTTGTGTTATACCTCTGGTATTCCTCGGATGGTCAGAGGAAGTGGGTGAAGCGATCGGAAAGCGAGTCTCTGGTCCACCAGAGCTGCGATCTCTGCGATGGCCGCGAGGAGATGGGGCGGGGCTTGTGGCTCTATTCCGCCCAGCTGCTGCGATGGCACGAGCACGGGCTTCCATGTTGGCTTTCCTGTTGCTCTCATCGCTGCTAACAGCACGTGGTCGGGTGTCCACACTGATGCTGTGGGTGAGCGAGGAGGCGCGCTTAAGTTCGGAGAAGATGGCGACTTTGTGGGCAAAAAGGTCGCGAATTAATCGGTAGGAGTATTTCTCCTCCATGGTCATTGAGGTTTCCGTCTTGGGGCGGAGAATGCAAGGACCTAAGGCGCTGGCAAGAGCTGCGACATAGGTTTCATCAGCAGATGTCAGTTCGATGAGTCTGGTGAAATGTGTCATTAGTGCGTCAAGTGTCGCAATATTAGCAAGACGTAGTTGGCTGAGGGTATTCTGGATCACAGAGATCCGTGCGGAATCGGTAGACTCGGATGCTGGAGTCGAGTAAATGGTTTTCATAATTTCGTAAACGTGTGAAGATACTAGGGAATCTATACCTGGTTAGCTAATACTGGGAGAGAGACGGGACAAACATACCTGGAAGTTCTAGCAAATACAATTTCAAAACGCTTGCAATGATGGGAATTTCATACGGCTCCAATGTTTCAAGATTAAAAGGCTTTCCGGTGTTGAGTGCATCTCGTACCCTGTGGGTCTGGGCAAGTGGGACTTCAACAAGCCAGACGCTTCTACGAGCCTCATCTCCTTCGAGGTCAGGGTAGCGGTTATCGAGGAATGTGAGAATCGTGGTGATAATAACAGGAACGCGCTTTCTGTCAGCACGTGCTCGTGCTTCAAGATCAACACCAAAGGTCTGCTCATCGGCGGAGTTGTAGTAGTTCTCGTAAACTACAACCTTAGGCGCGAACCCACCAGTGCGGTAATTCTCCAGCAGGTATCGGAGATCTCCATTTGGCTGAACGGTCTCTTGATAGAGCATCATGTTGTCCACGGTTGACTGCAGGCTTGGGATGACGTTGCTGATAGTGCCTGAGAAATCCAAGATAATGGTCTTCATGGCCTTTAGTCTGTCAAGCTCACAGCGCTCGAGGTACTTCAAGTGTTCGATGATAGCTTCTTCCAACTGGCATCGGTACAAATCCAACCTTCGGACTCCAGCCTTGTATCTCTCGTCAGCCTCACCTGCCTCCCTTCGAAGACGGTCGCCGGGGGTCTCGTTAGGGTGTTGGTTGTTCAACGGATTCCATCCTGCCAGGTACTCGCTGACGCTACCCACAACAGGAGAATCAATGCTGTCCGTGTTTGAGGCCATTGAGAATGTACGACCCAAAGCGACTTTCTTCTCGGGGATCCCAGTCAATTGGAATGATTTTGGCTTCCATTGATAGAACATCTTGGAGCTGTTAGCAAAGATATTGCCAACACTGCCTGGCTGTCTGAGGAATCCATGTGTAATCAAATCCTGTCCAATCCGCTCTGCGTGGCTGACGCTGGTTGCACCCATGTAATGTTGCAAGTATTCCACGATATCTGCACCCGACGAAGTATTTTGGTATGTGCCGAGAATAGGAACCTTCGTCTCTCCAAGTTTGACTGTTTGCAGAATATGTGTCAGGATTTTCTTGACTTGTTCGGGTTGGTAGACCACATCGGCGATTTCGATTGGTTCTTCCTCTTCGGCTTCTTTATCCTGAACTTTGATCTCAGGAATCTTTCCCTTCGGACTAGTCTCAGGGTCTTGGAAAGCCAGCTTATTCTCCTCCTCGATATCTTCTACTAGCCGGCATTTGTTAAAGTAGTGACTGCGTAGCTTCTTGACCGACTCTGCCTGCTTGTCGTGTAGCTTTATCCGAGCTTGCAAGTCGTCTTGGGAATTTTGGATTCGTGATTCATGAGCATCGCACCATCTCGTGAAGGGTGCCACAACGAGGTCTCGGATGCCTTGTGCAATCTTGCGGTGATTCTTGGCGGCCTCTTCCATCTCTGTCCGCACCCCGTCATATGCCTATGAACTGTTAGCGTTTGCCCACCTTGCCCCAATAATAGTTGCTACCTTTCGCACACTTGCTCCATCGTCGCGGGAGAAGCCACCAGGTATTCTGTCCGTCGCAGGTCCAATCTCACCCAGGCGCATTCCATAGACCTCTTCTGCCTCAGCTCGCATACGCGCAATTGTCAGGATTTGCTGATTCTCTGCCACGCCTTGCTGTAGCTTGCCAAATAGTACGCCGAGTCCTGCGTGAATCAATCAGCACTCATATCTACAGGTTCTCCCATTTTCTGCCAACTTACCTCCAGCATAGTCGCCAGACGACCAGAAGGAATCTGCGAAGCCAGGCATGATTGACATGTATATGTGTCCGTATGTAGGTTCGAGGAGTGATGATGTCGTAGACTCGTGATTGGCAGAAGTCGTGAGACAGGTAGATTAAGAGGCCTTCGTTACGAGTGACTAGCTGCTGGCTGGTCTTTGTTGTTTTCCTCTCCTTCTCTCCTTCCTTCAGCTGGGATCCGTGCAGCTTATTTGGGCCCCTGAGAAAAATAGACTATGCGAGAAAAGGGGTGCTGGGACGCGCGTGGGTGTATTTAACGTAGACTGCAGGCGCAGAAAAGGAGCGAAATTTGAAGATGAAGGCATTCACAGTTTGGACATATAAAGGGATCGTTTTTTCTTTCTTTGCCAGCAAGGAATTCAGAATTGCAAGGTGACGCGCGACGATCGGTCGTCCCTGCCCTGCCCCGTTCGCTGTCGGCAGGCAAAATCTAAAAATACCGTAAATAGCTAGCGCGCCAAGTGTCAGAATACGGGGTGGTTACGGTGTATAGAAATAGTCACGTGGTGTATGATTGACTAATCAACGAGGGGCAGCTTTCAACGTCTAACCATCGAGCAAGTGAGTATATCTTCATCCAAGCATGGGTTATTATTACACAGAAGAGGATCCCCTCTTACCAAGAGATACGCGAGCACCAGAGATCCATGGCTCTCGCCCTCAAAGCATCAAGGAGGGTCACGTACCCGCAGAGACTACCAACCAGCTTTCCAATAAAGCTGACGAGCTCTATATTAGCCGACCAAACTACATCAATCATTCTATCTTCATGATCATATTTCTATGCATATTCTCCCTGGGCCTTTGGAGCGTTCCGAACTTCAAAGATATCTTTGGGGACATAAGGCCCGGACCTCAAACCATAGAGCAGCGGGTCAACAAGATCTTGACTGATACTCCTCTTATTGGTATATCTGCATTTTCCCAATGTTTTATATGCCTCCAAATCTAATACTTTTTAGATGGTCACAATGATCTAGCAATATTAATAAGATTTTTACATAATAATCAAATCTACGATGAAAACTTCACCAAGCCTTTTGAAGAGGGCGGGATGTATGCTCAGGTGGATTTACCACGTTTAAAGGAAGGGAAGAATGGAGGAGCCTTCTGGAGCGCTTTTGTTCCATGTCCCAGCAATGGGTCAGATTTCTCTGATGAGAACTATGCTGAAGGTATTACCCTTCTCACATGTCTCGGACATTTACGGGATTACTAACATTGAGACACAATTTACTCCCTTGTTTATCTGCTAATTCTTATCAGCCGTTGCCTTCACTCTCTCCCAAATAGACGTTCTCACTCGTCTCCGCGCCGCCTACCCCGCTCACTTCTCACTCCCCCCAAACAGCAGCACCGCTCTCTCAGCCTTCGAAGCCGGCCAACTCATCTCCCCACTCGCAATAGAAGGCCTGCACCAAATCGGCAACTCCATCTCCAACCTCCGGCACTACCACTCCCTTGGCGTTCGCTACGCAACACTCACCCACAATTGCCACAACATCTACGCCGACGCCGCCATTGTCGAAGACGCCAATGGGCACTCTGTAGCATCAAATCCGCTTCACGGAGGCGTAAGCAAGGCTGGTAAAGCGCTGATCCATGAGATGAACCGCATAGGAATGATCGTCGACCTCGCACACGTAAGCCAGGATACCATGCGGGACGTTCTAGGTGGCTCTCCAGACTGGGACGCAGTCTCGCGCCGCCTATCTACTCGCACTCGTCCGCCCACGCCATTTGTCCTCACCCGCGCAACGTGCCAGATGATATCTTACAACTTGTAAAAAAGAAGAAGAGTCTCGTGATGGTCAATTTTAGCCCTGATTTCGTTTCGTGTACTGCGAATGATTCGCCGTCTGGAATCCCGGATTTCTATCCCCAGAACTCGACGTTGAAGCAGGTGGTGAGACATATTATGCATATCGGCGAGGAGATTGGGTATGATTACGTGGGGTTGGGCAGTGATTTTGATGGTATTCCTAGTACCCCCGAAGGACTGGAGGATGTGAGTAAGTTCCCGGATTTGGTGGCTGAGCTTTTGAAGCAGGGCGTTAGTGATGGGGATGCGGGGAAGATTGTGGGTGGGAATCTATTAAGGGTTTGGGGGGCGGTAGACCAGGTTGCGGAGGAGTTGCAGAAGAAAGGGGAGAAGCCGTTGGAGGATAAATTACCAAATTTGTTGCCGGAGGGGATTGGTGCTTGGAGGGAGTTGTGAGTAAAGATGTATAGCAGCAAATGAAGTTGTCCCGGAACATTAGTTCAAGCAATGCTAATCTAAAATTCTGTCTAGCTACTTACTCAGTCATCTTGCGGATACCTCAAACCATTTGTCTTTCTAATACTATCCATAACACTCATCATCCTAATCGACTCTTTCAAAGGTATAACCAGACTCTCCTTCCTTCCACTTCTCAAATCCTCAGCTATAGCGTCTGCTTCAAAATAAAACCCCTTCGCCACCCCTTCTTTCGGAAAGTCTATCCTCTTCTCATCCTGGCCCTTCAATCTCACAACCAAGAACGCCGGGTTACTAGCCGCTCTCCCCCCGATAGAAATAGATCCCTTCTCTCCCTCAATACGGCAGAACTCCGTCGCTCCCTGGAACCGATTCGTGCTAGTGAGGATCGCCTGACATCCCACATCCTTGTAATTCAAAATCACGGTACTCGTCTCGTCCACGCCATTCTTGATCGTCATGCTACTAGTCATCTCCGGGCTCGGGGATCCAGCTGCAATGTGCTGCGGATGGGAGTCTAGAATCAAAGTCGCCCACGTGAGGGTATAGATTCCAATATCAAGCAGCACGCCTGCACCAAGCGCCGGATCCGCTGTACGTGCATTGGCGGGGAGGCTCGAGAAGGGCATGTCCAAGGCGAAGTCGACGAAGACACGGCCTAGAGATCCCAAGACCTGGTCTTCATGGAGCAGCTTTTGCAGAGCAGCCACAAGCGGATTGAAGCGCGTCCAGACTCCTATAACAAAAAAATGTCAGATCAATCATTGCTTGATTACAAAATTGTATTTGTATTGTATGAGAAGAATGGGATGGGTGGGATTTTAAAGTTATCGTACCTTCCATGAGATATACGCCTTTCTTTCTCGCAGCCTCAACCAAGACCTGCGTATCCCGCGCGTTCATCGTCATTGGTTTCTCACACAACACATGTTTCCCAGCCGCAATAGCATCCAATGCATTCTGTAAATGGAAAACATGGGGCGTCCCAATATACACAACATCTACCTCGGGATCGCTGTACACCCCTGCGTAAGATGCGTAGACAGCTGGCTTTTCCCCTGGGCAATGAGACGAGGCGAAGTTCGCGCCCTTATCGATGCTGGACGATCCAATGGCGCGGATCAGGTGTTTTGTTGGTGGGGAGGCCCGCGGGACCATGAGATCTTGCACAAACCAGGACGAGATGAGTCCGCATCCTGAAAGGGTTTTTGTTAGTGTTATTTCCAAAACCTGGGCTGCTCAAGCATACCAACGATACCCCATCTCAGGGTTGGAACCTCAATTGACCCCATTGTAGAATGTGAGGTGTCAACAAATGACCTGATTCTTTTGTTTTTTTTAATATACCGGATGTTCAAAATATATTACTGGTGCAGGAAGTTGTGTTAGTAGCCAGGAAGAAAAATGCAATTAGGGTAGAAGTGAGAGCTCAAAATTGCTACTTTTTGTATCCAGAGGAGTAATTAACATCTTTATGATGGAAATGATCTTAAATCCAAGAATGGTAAGAGGGGTCCCGCCCCACATTATCCGCATCGGTGCGGTCTCCCCCACAGTTCATCTTTTTGGAGACTCCGGGACTCCGCGAACCGCAAAAGCAGAGGGTGCATGACGGTGAACTAGTGGACGCTAGCAATATCTTGACTCAATAATACTTCGTGTACTTCTGTTTCATCAAATATGTACGAGGCTAAAGGGATTCATATTTCATTGTCACCGATACTTAGAAATATTGATATTTGTAATCGTGGGTATGTACGAAGTATGCATGTCACCATGTCGAAGAATGCCTTGTAGAAAAGGCATTACGGATTCGACAAGCCACGTGAACCACTCTTCAACTAGAGACTAGGTAAGCTCTTGTGGAATATTGACACTTAACAGTTTGTGAGAAATTAAGATTGCAAGTCAGATTGGGCTGCCATTAATGAACAGGTTTTTAGTACAGTATTAATTATTTTAGTCCCATCACAAAAGAACTTTTACAACCACACTTAACAATCTTTTCACAAAACAAGAGGTCGTGGTAATATTTTTGGTTGAATAGAATAGTTCATCGCCTGGATGAACCTAGCCCTCAATCTCTGTTACTTGCTTTTTATTGGCAATATGGGCATCCACGGACTCCAAAACCTTGTCGGGATTCACAATCTTTGCATCCTCCCCATCAAAAACAACCGCAATTTCCTCAAGACTGTAGCCCCTCGTCTCAGGATACGTGAACCACACTGTGATGCAGATAAAGACCAGGATGACAACATATACAATGTAGTATTTCCAGGCAATGGCGGCAAGCGCAATCGGATTGACGAACAGATTGAAGAAGAGCGCAAAATAGGTTGCTGCGTGGGTGAGGACAATACCGCGAGATCGAAGCTGGTAAGGCCAGATTTCAACGGGGTAGGACGCGATGAGCGGCGTGAAAGCTATGTCGTAGAAGAAATAATAGACGAAGAGCATAGGCACCACAGCAATACCGACACCAGAATGTTTGGTTTCTGCGTAGCTGCCTGCCAAGCCAGTAATGATAATATAGCAGATGAGCATACCGACGGAGGAGGTGATGAACAAAAATCTCCGACCCAGTTTGTCGACCAGTCCCGCAGCTGTCACAGCTGCTATGAGGTTGAACACTTGAAGGAAGCCATTGATGAGTGTCTGATTGGTGGTGGATGCAATTCCAACAGTTTTCAGCACCGAGACAAGGTAGTAGGAGACAATACCAACACCGTTCCACTGGGCAAAGATTCCGAGTGTTAATCCAACGAAAGTTCGGTGTCGATTGCCCTTGGTTCGGAGCATGTCCATATAGCTTGCCTGCTCGTGGAACTCTTTTTCGAGCCTCAGAGCCGATTCGATCTCTGCAACTTCAAACGCTACGAGTGGTGAGTTCTCATCACCACCAGCATGGTGTTTGACCAGGATAGCACGAGCTTCTTCAGTTCGACCCCGGGCAATGAGGAAACGCGGGGACTCTGGGGCAGCGATAGCGATGGAGACGATAAGGATTGGAATCGCGGATTGTAGGAGAGAAGGTATCCGCCATGCCCAGCTGCTGTCCATATTCCGCGTACCGAATGTGACCCAGGCCGAAAGAGTCGAACCAACATAGTACAGGGTTTGGAAAATAGCTGTGACGATACCACGATGGGTTGGATAGGCCGTCTCGCCCACGAGCATGGGTATCGCGCCGAAAAAGGCAGAACTCATACCGACAAATAATCGAGATACAATAAACATCTCTCTGCTACGCGCGCCCGTTTGTAGACCGGTTCCGAGAAATATGAAGCAGCAGCCAAGGTAAACGCTGTATTTTCGACCCCATCTCTGAGCGACGATGGACATGAATGGATAGGCTGCAAAGCCGCCAATTGCTTGTGTGGCATTGATAAGACCTAGATAAGCTCCTTTTGGGTGATGCATGAATGTTTGCCATGGCGTCAGAGCCTGAAGACCATTCATCATTGAGTTGTCATACTACAAGAGGTTAGCTGCTATGATTCCAGCTTGTATTGTGATCGGATAGGTCCTACCCCAATTGTGCTCGAGAAGAGCATGCACCCAAACAGCATGAGGTTGAGCTTCAGCAAATGAGGGGTTTTGTACCACGGTTTGGTCATTACGGGAAGCACCTGTAAAGACGGTGAGCACTGAGTCAACAACCTAGAGAGGATAGGAAGGACTTACGGATGCCAAATCGACCCCGACCACATTTGTATCTCCAGAGACACCCATATTGAAGTTATTGGGTTGAACGAGAAGGTTGAATGTTCTGCAGCCTCGGTTATGCCCAATCGTTCTTGATAGACCGGCAACTGAATGAAACTCGACCTGATACCCTGAGAAGGGTTTGTGGATGGGAAATGCCCCTGACTTATATGTAAAACATAGGAGCTATGAAGGTTGACGTGAAAGCCATCGTAGTCTCCTAGAAAAGATGTGTGGGGAACTCCACGTGCCTTTTCTACTACGAGACACTTTTCTGGGGGTTGAGATTGCGGAGACCGGGTTCACGGGACACCTTCCTGGGGTGCATTTTGCGGGGTGGCTCTCCCCATTGTATTGGCCGAACAGCTCCGGCGCGCAATCTGGATACGGATTTGGGTCTGGGCTGCGCGCCACAATGCGATATTCCGCGGCGCTACCACCATGCTACTATATCGAGTATATGTTCTCGGTAAAGCGTCCGATACTCCCCGGCGCTATGCAATAATACTTCGTAAACAAGCAGCGCGTTAGACGCGTACTCGTGACCTATTGACCTAAAAACCAAGCAAGACCTTTCAGCTCAAGTCTTTGGTGCCTGCCTCAAGAAAGTACACTAATCGCGGAGTATGTCTTAGATTTCAATGTTCCAGAATGCTATCGGCAACGAGAACCGGCAAAGGCTGTGATGGCCATGTGCAAATGGAACATAATCAACTTAATATACTGGCCCGAATGCGGTCTAAAAAACGCACGTGCGCTTTAAGCTTTCTTTGCGATGATACAAATCTAAGTTGGTTATAATTCGAGGCTAAACTATATAGAAACATTACTATGATATCAGAGCCACTTAGTATTATAAGAAAGCTATATTTTTCAAAATTGTTTCGAGAGTTTACAGCTGTTGCATAATAGAGTAAACGGTAATGTCAAATTCATATAATTAACTTTACTTCTGACATGTCTGATTCGGTCTGATTAAATAAATAGCATAATAACTTATCGGTCTCACATTTCAATGGTAAAAACATGAACTCTTTATAGCTTCTTATTGTAACTCTAAGGTATTTTCCAACAGTTCATATCTACAGTGCAAACTTAAACCAGGAGCTGTTCGTCAACTCTCTACTTTTCCAGTTTAGAAAATCCTGCCTGCATGATCATTCCAAAGATCTCCAAGTCCTTCTTGGCATCGGCTGCTGTGGTCTTGTGGGCTTTGCCTTCCGTTGCCATTGCATACAGTTCAAAAAGTTCTAATGTGTAGGCATCCTCATACGTTTTCCTAATAATACTCTCCTTGTATGTACCGTCAACATTCTCGGAAATGTGGAGCGTGACTGGAAGCCCTTTTACGTAAGGTGTATCATACTGTACACGAATAGTCTTTTTTGGCGTGTATATTTCGATATGCGCGTCGAATCGTGGAACTTGGTCCATACCAGATTCGTAAGAAACTGCAAAACCTTCATATTGAAAAAGAACACTGTTTTACGATCAGCTTGCTATAGGTGTACCAGTAGAAAGGTCTACTTACTTCCAGAATGGAAAATTATATGCCACGCCCCTCACTGAAGTTGGCATACCCAAAACCTCTCGCATGGCTGACAAGTCGTGAGTTCCGAGACCACCTAGAATGCGCCAGAAGCGTTTTGATTGCTCCGTTTGCGTGACACCACACTCCTTTTCCAATGCTTGAGTCATGAGTTCCGTACCACGAGTTGTCATATCTTGGGTATCCTCAGGCTTGAAGTCAGAGAACTTCTTGGGAAAAGTCCCAGATTGATCGACAAAGGTTGAGTTTGGTCCGATGATGTCTGTTTTGTAAGCTTTTTGTATTTAAAACATGGTGGAATGTCTCTCACCTCGTACTCGAGCATAGAGTATCTTGTCAACCCCCCCAACCTCCTCGATAGCATCCAAAAACGCTGCAGCGTAGCGTCTCATATAGCCTACAAAAACTTTGCCTTTTGACTTTTGCTCGGCTGCAATGATTGCATCTCCATCGCGAACATTGACACTAGCAGGCTTTTCCAGCATCACGTGTTTATCGTGCTCCAGTGCAATGATGGTATGAGCTGCATGGTATTCATTGGAGTTGGCAATGAAAACAACATCGACATCTGGAGATGCGCATAACTCCTTTATATCACGTGTTGTTCCCGGTGTTTTGCCAGCAACTTTTGTTTTGCAATGTTGCAAAGCATTGGAAGACACATCGCACAGATATGTAACTTGAAAGTAATCCGACATATGTCCCAGAGTTGGGATATGTATCGTTTGACAGACTTCTCCGCATCCAACAATTCCTACGCCCAGAATCTTCGTGGGAACTGGCTTGGAAGAAGCCATGGTAAATGATGTGGGAATGGTGTGGTTATATTCGTGGACAAGCAAGATGGCAAAAAAGAAGAAGACGAGAATGAAGTCACCAACTATGTGTGTTTCGTGGTGGTTGTGTCGGGTTTAAGTATAAGATGTTTTGAGGGTGAGTTGCAAGAAGGATTCATGACAAGTTTGAATGGCTTACTTCACGCGGACAAAATGATACCAGATGAGAAGGAATCTACTTTTCTGATTTGGACTCCTGCATTCCCCGGTTGAAATGCCTAGATCCATACATAGAAGTGATGGTCATGTGATTGAAATTCGGCTCCTGACGCCGCTAAATTCGGGATCACTAGAAAATGGGGGAATGGGGAGCCTCCATCAAGTGTCAATACTCCGCGACTCCGCGGCGCTCCACCAACCAGGCGAGCCAGGTAACCACACACACTCGCATTGCTGCCAATACCAAGTACCTTAGAGGAAGCATATGGAGACTCCGCAAATCGCTATTACTATTACCTAGCTCGCTCGACCCTTCAGAAGCGCGCTAAGCCGTTTGGCGACTCACGCTTTGAGACAACGTTAAGTTGTGGAGCACCAGTATCTCTGGAGAACCATGTCAAGCCACAATGGTCCTCCCGCAAAGAGGCAGTTGTATCCCTTTCCTACCACTAATGATAATGGAATTACCAGTACAGGAGCTCATGTGGCTGCCCCCAGACCCCACGCTCTATTGAGTTCGGAGGTGGCGGCCCATCCATCAAAAGCTCTCCAAGACGATATCCAACCTTGCCAGGATGACTTAGACCTATCCCCCAATGCTGTGCCTCGGAAAGTAAAGCGGGCAAGAACTGAGGTTACTCGATCTTCAATGTCGTATCCACGGAAAAGAGCTGTCAGGGCTTGCCAGCTTTGTCGTACAAGGAAGACGAAATGTAACAATATCCGTCCAATATGTGGTGCTTGCAACCAAATAGACGCAACATGCATCTATGAAGATAGCTCGGATCATTCATCGTAGGTGTGCTCCAAGCTGTGGTAGCTTCGATCCCTGACTGTTTCTCCAGATTTGACCCCGCGAGCCTGATGATGCTGGATCGCCTAAACCAAATCATTGATATTCTGCACACCTCTGCAGTGCCTGGCGCTCTTCTGCAACAGCAATCATCAGAAGCCTTCAATACAAGCCATCATGGACAAGATGAGAGTATCTGGGATGAAGTTTCTTCCATTTCCGCGGGCTTTCAAAGAGCTCAAGAGTCTCAGATGAAGGACAATGAATACACCCCAGCTATAAGCCAACATATTTCCTCGCAAAACGCGACGATATCTGTAGGAGATCTATCATCGACAGATTACTTGCGTATTCCTCCTTGCGCGACAAGCACCAGCGGTATCTTACAGTGGCCAGTCTTTGAAGCTGAATTCCCACTCAACTGTCTAAATACTAGCTTTGTTCCATCATATGATGAACAAGCCGAGCACTCAGAAATAAACAGCGTTCGGTCCTCTGCCGCTGGATTTGGTATTCAGGAAGAAGAAATTGAGGGTTTGGTTGAAGACTTCCTTACATTTGTTCACATCAAGAATCCAATCCTACACCCTGACACCTTGCGGTCGTATGCACGGAAAGTGGCAGAGAATGGTCCCCAATGGGATTCTAAATCTTGCTTAGTGGTAAGTCGCAAATTTCATCCCCCCCTCTGCTTCGTAACAGTTCTCCCACTTCTATTGACTCTGGTTATGGTGGCAAGTCTCCGGCGTATGCTAACCATGATAAAAGTATCTTACATGCGCGCTGGGCTGCCTCGCTCAAGCTTTTGAGCTCAAAGGGTTTAGTCCTCTAGACCCATCAACCACACAGAAGCGCAACTCTGCTAGCCATGATAATCATAAGCTGCGCCGTGCGGCAGCTTACTATAATATCGCTCGAAAGCGGATAGGTCTGCTAGTACCATCTTTAATAACCGCTCACTGCGTCTTCTTTTCGGGAGTTTATCTGATGTATAATATGCAGCCGCTTCAGGCGTGGTATAACTTCTACCAGGCCGCTACTCTAACACACATGTGTCTCAAGTCAAGCGCATCTACAGATGAAAAAACTATCAGGCTAGAGCAGTGTCTTTATTGGTCATGCTTCAAATCCGAATGGTGAGTCAAATCCTAGCACCGCTGCTGGAGTATCATTGTAACAGCAACAGCGAGATGGGAGGAGAGCTATCGTTAGCTGTCTCAGCACTTGGTACTCTTGAATACCCCCATCTGTTCCCAACTCCGCCGAGCGTGCCTAGTTTGCCAACTGATCGCACGTCCCCTCATGCAGACACTGTCAGTGATTCATGCTCACCTGCTGTGTCGACCCCATACTCCCGACGAACAGACTCTTTGATCACGTATAATGAGGATCAAAGCTGGTATTACTATCTCACCGAGATTGCCCTGCGTCGTATCGGGAACCGCGTTTTGAACACCTTTTACAAAGATGGTTTCATGTCGTGGCTCAATCTATCCCCGCAAGCCATTTCTGGGATGATTAATATAGCCAAACAATTTGACGACGAGATCCTTCAAAGGTAACAACAGAGTTAATTTACAGTCTACACCAAATAATACTTTACTAACATGGTCCCAGAATAGACGGACTTCCGGATTCTCTGCGGTCTGATCACGCAGACATGAGCGCAAGCTCGCCTGGAGAACTTGCTCATGTCGTACGAGCACGAGTTGTTGAGATCCAAAACTGGTTGTGCCGGCCATTCCTATTCTATGCTATTCATAACCCGGCACATGACATTCTTCAAGAAGCGATTCGACCCTTTGTAGACAGAGCATTGCGATATGCTGTTCGTGTCATAGTGAGTGTCGCCCATCGGCATCGCCACCACGGGACCTGGTACGCGCTTCGCAGCGGTAAGTTCAACAAACATCACGGCCTGCAATTCAAGAGGCTTAAAGTCTGACTCAAGCCTAGGGACCACCGCCTGTTGTCTCATCATAGCCGCAGTACGATGTGGCCATATCACTCCCCCCGTAGAATGGGAATCCTTGATCTGCAGACACATATCGACTCTAAAGTATTGGGAATCAGAAGCAGCTGATCTTGCTAATGCGAGGTTGATTTTGGAGCGCCTGCTTAATAACTCAAGGACAGACCGAAGTTGAATGCGAGCATCTCATACCCCGCCCCGCTACAGTTTTACAAACGAAACTAGACATGCTAAGCAAGTAGTGGGGGCCCAGGATCCCAGCGCGGAGTGCCGGAAAAACGTGATGGGGACTACTAGTATTGCCCCACCTATATCCGCTTTAAGAGCCACCCCTCAATGAGACTAAGCCCCACAAGCCTCACTCCTCTACCAACAGTGTTCCTTGATTCAACAATATATATTCGAGAAAAGGTCACCACGTTGAAGTTGAGATTCCAAAGTTTGCATCTTTTCTATTTGTCAACTAGCGAAAAAACATGGCATCTATTGATGTTGAAGACGTCCTGTCGAAGTTGACTACGAGAGAGAAAGTGGAGCTTCTATCTGGTTCGTAAAACGATACTCCTCTAATCGCATCCAACATTTGAATAACCGTCTCACAGGGACCGACTTTTGGCATACTAAGGCATTCCCCAAATACGGAGTACCCTCACTGCGGCTATCAGATGGCCCAAATGGTGTTCGCGGGCAGCGAAACTTCTGTGGAACACCTGGAGCAGTGCGTGTTAACATTCCATTTGTTTTGCAATCTTACTGAAAATGACATAAGGTACTCCCCTGTGGCACAGCTCTTGGAGCGACATGGGATCAAGATCTTCTGTTCCGAGCCGGCAAATTGATGAGCGATGAGGGCAAGGCGAAGGGAGCACACGTGATCCTAGGGCCATGCATCAACATGCAACGAGGACCACTTGGTGGACGGGGATTTGAGTCAATCTCTGAAGACCCTGTTCTGTCCGGGCTTATCGCAGCCGCGCTGACTGCTGGGATACAAAGCGAAGGCTTGGTGGCTTGCATCAAACACTTCGTTTGCAATGATCAGGAACACAAAAGAAATACATATGATGCATTGATAACAGAGCGAGCCTTACGAGAGATCTACTTGCGACCTTTCCAAATAGCCGCGAGGGACTCGAAGCCGGGATGTTTTATGACTTCTTATAACAAAGTCAACGGCGTACATGTAAGTGAGAACAAGAAATTGTTACAAACAACTCTCAGGGATGAGTGGGGCTTCGATGGCGTCGTAATGAGTGACTGGTACTGCCCTATTTCACCTTAAATCTCACTACGAATAGATTAACTAATAGACACCAGGTTTGGTACTTACTCAACATCTGCAGCCGTAAATGCTGGGATGGATTTGGAGATGCCGGGTCCAACACGCTTCAGGGGTAACGCTTTAGGACACGCGATTTCGTGTGGCAAGGTCTCACTCGAAGTTTTGGATGACCGAGCCCGAGCAATGTTGAGTCTAGTAAATCGATGTGCTGCTTCAGGTGTCAAAGAAAGGGCAGAAGAGATAGAGCTCAATACCTCAGAGACCAGCTCGTTACTCCGCAAACTTGCCACCGACAGCACCGTGTTGCTGAAGAACGACAACAATCTCTTGCCCCTGTCAAAGTCCAAAACGGTAAGCTGATCAAATCTAAACTAAGACTCCCTTGATCTAATTCGGAGAAGATCGTGGTCATTGGACCCAATGCTAAGGTGTCTACGTTCTGTGGGGGTGGATCATCGGCCCTGGCACCATACTACGCGATCACTCCCTACGAGGGTATTGTCTCGAAGACAAATTGCAAAGAAGTTCCGTTTACAGTTGGAGCTTATTCACATAAGGAACTGCCGCTTTTAGGTCCCAGCCTGAGAACCGCAGACGGGCAAATTGGCGTCAGCTTCAGCGCTTATCTTGAACCACCGACTGTCGGCAACAGCCGGGAACGAGTTGACTACAAAATTGTGAAGAAGACTGATATGTTCATGTTTGACTACGTGTGCCCGAAAGATACAAAAGGTATCTGGTATGCAGACATTGAAGGGTCTCTGACCCCTGATATGGATGGCGACTTCGAGTTAGGTCTGTGTGTTTATGGAACGGCCAAATTATACGTGGACGGGAATTTGATCATCGATAATGAGTCAAAGCAAAGGCAAGGGACGGTGTTTTTTGGTAACGGTACTCTGGAAGAAATCGGTGAAATTTCAGTGAAAAAGGGACAAACGTACCACCTTAAAGTTGAGTACGCCAGCGCGGCAACAAATAAACTCGGAGGCGGCGGTGTTATACGATTTGGCGGTGGAGGCGTTCGGATTGGCGGAGCTTACAAAATCGACCCAATGGAAGAAATTAGCCGTGCCGTTGAGTTGGCAAAGAAGGCAGACCAAGTAGTCGTTTGCGCCGGTCTCAACGTAAGTTACGTTCTCATTCTCCTTTTACATCCCCTTTCATTTGACAAAGCTAAAATGTTGTACCTCCTTAGGCGGATTGGGAAGGTGAAGGCAATGATCGTCAAGACATGTTGCTCCCAGGGCATCTCAACACGCTTATATCTAGAGTCGCAAAGAGCAATCCTAACACGGCCATTGTCATCCAAGCAGGAAGTCCAGTGGAGATGCCGTGGATAGATGACGTCGCGTCCGTAATCCATGCCTGGTACGGCGGCAACGAGTGCGGAAATGCAATCGCGGACGTCCTCTTCGGCGATGTGAACCCCAGCGGCAAATTGTCTCTCAGCTTCCCTCGCCGTGTCAAAGACAACCCGACTTATTTGAATTTCCGTAGCGAGCGAGGCCGTACACTGTACGGCGAAGATGTTTATGTAGGCTACCGGTATTATGAGGCTGTGGACCAAGGGGTCCTCTTCCCGTTCGGCCATGGTCTGAGCTACACGACGTTCTCTTTTTCGGATTTGCACGTCACCAATGATCCAGCAACGGGTGTTCTGCGAGTATCTTGCTCGATTAAAAATACGGGCAGCGTATCGGGCGCCGAGGTCGCGCAGGTATATATCACACAACACAATCCGTCAATTCGCCGACCCGTCAAGGAATTGGTAGGTTTCAAAAAGGTTTTCTTACAGCCTGGCGAGGAGCAGGTCGTGACAATCGAGATGCAAACTAAGTATGCCGCGAGCTTTTGGGATGAACACCGAGATAAGTGGATTGTAGAAAAGGATAAGTATGATATTCTGGTTGGTAACTCTAGTGCTTTGGCCGCAGACTCTGGAGATGGGACTGTCTTGAAGGGAGGTTTCGAGGTGGATAAGACTTGGTGGTGGAAAGGTTTATAGACCTATAGATATCTTATTGAATCTTGAGAAAATACCTACAATTACCGGGTCGTACGAAAATTCGAGAGAAGGCTGAGATGATCATCTTGTAACCATATTTGTTCCCTGGAGGTCATGGTCATTCGTCAATTTCAGAGTTTTGTGAATTATCCATCTCTCAAATTTGTATGGAACAAGCTTTAACAATTACCCAGTGCATTGTTGAAGGCTCGGATTCAAGAACGGCCGGGAAGCAGGTTAAAAATAGGCACGGGAGGAAGAGCAAGGATCTCAAAGAGGCTAAAGCCAATCCACGGTAGGTAGGTAGTGATTCTACTAGAATCTCACCAACTCCTTCATTACATATCAGGTTCTTTTTATCTCTCATCAACAAATAAAATGACTTTCAAAGCTCTCTCACCAGAACCTTTTCTACAGCGTCCACTTTCTCAAGCAGCACGGGGCTGGCAATCGAAGTTACATCCCCTCCGCAGTAACAACGGCCGGAATCTCATTCACTCGCAATTTAGCATCTCAGATTGGCTCGTGATAGGTTCCTGCTTACAAGCTCTCATCATCCTCGTTTCTCCCTACTCGGTTGCCCACTCTTTGGCTCCTACGTTTGCTCTCGCAGCATACAAGATCATGAAGACGGTCTGTATCACGTGTCGCTTACATGCGAATCCTCATATGGACGGCGTCCGGATTGGTAGGACCACGGCCATCTTTCCGGCATCAGATGGGAGCTTTGATCGGAATAAGGGGGATACGTTTGGAGGTGAGGGCATTTGCGTGTTCCTACTATCGACGAAATGTAACCAGTATGTACAATCCACTCTGCAAGCCTCGAGGTTCCGAGTCGCCATTAATGATTGGCAACAGTCCGTTGGGTATGATGTACCCACCATTCAAGACTTTGTTAGACCATGGACGAGACATGTTCATAGAGCTTGATAAGAACCCAGCAGACTATGGCTTCCTCGGTCATTCTACATACGACAGCACTGAAGATATCACCAAACCCGTCAGCATGTCTATACTTTACTTCCGTTCCCTAGAACACGTTTACAAGTTCGCCCACTCGAAGATCCATCGTGCAGGTTGGGACTGGTTCACGAAGATGGGTGCAAATATAGATCAGGTATCGATTGGACACGAGGTTTACGATGTCCCGAAAGGGAAATGGGAAAACATCTATGTTAATGCTAAGCCCTACGGCTTTGGTATGTATTGCTGTCTCCTGTTGCTAGATATCTGGAATGCCCCTGCTAATATTTAGTAGCTGCAACATCCCATGCCATAAAGACAGATGGTGTCGAGAGACAATGGGTATGTCCACTGATTGACGCCAAGAAAATGGGAGGAAAACAGAGAATGGAGCCAATTAAAGGCTGAAGGTGGTAACACTGTAAGACCATAACGTTTACGCCATATCCTATGACCTACTCGCAACCATGTAAAGGGCATTTAGACTCTGTAACCACAGCTTCTTGATACCTCAAAGCAATTGATGCTCTTGAACTGACAGCCAGGTTCAAGTCTAGTCACGTGGGTGGGCGAGTAAACCGCCGTATTGAGGTGCCAATGTCTGTCTCCCTGAACAGAACGTCATTTGTACCCGACGTTCGCTAAATCCTCTTTAGATCTTCGAGAGGAATACTTGATTCGATCTGAGCTGGGCTGTCAATGAGCTAGGATTTTCTGTGCAACGTTTCCTGCAGCCGATGTAGGTAGCTGACGATCCACATCCTCTCCCCCTTGATCGACAAAAGTATCGGCAAAACATAGGTCACAGCTTGCCTCAAGATCTTTCGCTATGGTGTATGATTCCAAGACCTTACTAAATGGACAAGATGTGAAAAATACCTTCAAGCCGTCCTCACCGAGTCTAAGATAGCGTTTAGCCAAGACCAATCTGGCATACATGGCACACATGGAGATGAGAATCAAGCCCAATCAATACCAGAGGGGTAAAAGCAATCGAGATCCCTTATTGGATTGTGTAACAGGAGATAGATCTTCTCCGAGTACCTCTCAAGATGACATCGGGCGTCAACCCCGCAATGCAATACGACCCCGCATTGCTTATTACAACAAGTCTCTACGGCATAAAAAGAGTGACATATCTGCTACGACGCAGCTACTGATCATTTCATATTTGGCAAGTGTAACTGAATCTATTTTTGTGTGGCGATACAGTCAACTTCTTTTGCTCGCGCTTGTCTGGGACTTTTGTTTGCACATTGCTCGCTTATAACCTCCGCTATTTCTTCGATACGTTCATCCTCAATTTGATCTGGCCGAGATGGCATCACCTGAAATCCCAAAAACTTGCAAGGCAGGATGTGTCTCCAATAACGGGCCCGACTTTACTATTTCCATTGAAGACGTCCCAGTACCTGAACCTGGTCAGTCATGATCATCTGTATTCATCTCTCATGTAGCTTATATCAGCAGGACCCAATGAGCTCTTACTTCGTCTGAACGCAACGGGAGTCTGCTACTCTGACCTGCACTACATGATGGAAGACCTAGACATGCCGACTATGCGGCAATCTGCTATACTCTCCCCGGGTCATGAAGGAGCGGGAGTCGTTGTGAAAGTTGGACGCGATGTGAAGAGTTGGAAGGTGGGTGATAGAGGTGGAGTGAAGCCGATATGGGACGTCTGCGGAGATTGTGAGTTATGTTGGGACGGGACGCACGAGACATATTGTTCGAAGGCTGTCTTCACTGGTTTGGCTGTTCCTGGTAAGTTGAGGATTCTCTAATCGCGAATTGAAACATAGGAAATGAGAGAGGGAATTGAGCGTGGTAATATTGACTGGTTTGTAGGCACATATCAGCACTACATCACATCCCCGGCAAAATACACGACGAGGATTCCAGACAATGTTGATGACTTTACAGCTGGACCAATTATGTGCAGTGGCTCTACGATTCATACCAGTGTGAGCTCTCAAGCACCCTTCTCAATTACATGAATTGACGTCTCTTTAGCTTGTGGCTTCTCAGCTGAAAGCTGGTAATTGGGCTGTGTTTCCTGGAGGGGGAGGTGGAGTAGGCCACATGTGAGTTCACCTATAGCTTCAAATGAAATCCTGCAGTCTGACGATCTAGGGGCATACAACTTGCGCGAGCAATGGGTATGAGAGTCATTGCCATCGATGGGGGAGAACAGAAGCGCGCTCTGTGTCTTGACACTCTCGGCGCTGAGGCTTTCATCGATTTTACGCAGGTCAAAGACGTTGCCGCCGAGGTAGTCCGCATCACCGACGGAAAGGGTGCCCACGGTATCTTTGTAACTGCTGGTAACAAAGCTGCGTATGAGAGTGCGCCGAGAATGGCGAGAATTGGGGGCAAGGTCATGTGTATCGGACTCGGTAAGTTGGGCCTGCGGATTTTTCTCAGCGAGTATACCATAACTGATGACTTCGAAGCTCCTAGTGGGACTGCAACTGTTTGTGCTGAGCCAGGCTGGTTCATCTTCAAGAATCTCCACGTTATTGGAACGATGGTGGGCTCGACGAAAGATACTGATGCAGCGCTGGATTTCGCTGCTCGAGTAAGTGGATTCTCATTCAAATCTCGACTTGACAGCAGTCACAGCACTAATGTGGTCCAGGGGTTATTGAAACCTATATATGAGAAATTCCCGATTAGCAAGCTCCCAGATGCAGTTCAGAAATTGAGGGATGGAAAGGTAGCTGGTAGATGTGTTGTGGATTTCAATTCATAGCCAGCAGACGAATTTCGTATTTGTTTTCGCAAGTGAGTTCTACATGATGGGAGGATGAAAGTCCAGAGCTTTTAATTCATGATGATTTCGAATAGACGGGGTTATCAAGCACTTGTAAACCTCGTTGTCTTCGTGGGGTATTGGGGTACCGAAGACGTTCCCCGAGGCTATAATTCCAAACTCCGTATCTTCATACCCCGCCCCCGCCCGCGCTCCCGCGTTTCTTGGCACCTCATGCACCCTACCACCTTTACAACTTGAACCCCAGCGCCCAGCCTTTCATCCTTGTTTTTCACTGTTAAGTATTTCCGTGGAATCACACGACATCTGTTACCTTCTCTGATGGATTATTACTAATGTCGTTGTTGCCCTCCCACAAGCTCCCAGTAGGGCGGGGTCCGTCTGGGCGTACTTAAATATGCTTAATACGAGAGCTGTTCCCAGCTTCCGTCTCCTCTTTCTTTATTATTATCCGGACTTTCCGACCAAATCTCAATATCAGTAACCATGCCTTCAGCTACAAACGGCTCCAACGGGTCCGCACAGAAAGTCACCTTCGACACTTTTCAGAATGTAATTAATGGCAAGCTGGTATCGAGTTCCCAGGTGCGCCATGGAATTAATCCCGCCACCAAGAAAGCGCTCCCAGATGTACCAGTTGCAACACAGCAGGATGTGGACGCAGCTGTGAAGGCAGCAAGGGACGCCTTCCCTGGGTGGTCGAAAACAAGTATCGAAGATAGACGAGCTGCAATGCTTAAATTCGCCGAGGCTTTCAAAGCCCAAGCAGAGGACTTTGCGAAATTGTTGACAACAGAACAAGGAAAGCCTGTAGGTGCTGTCGATATCTTACCTACGGAGGATTGAGCTAATCTTGGCGCAGCTTCAATTTGGCCGCTTAGAGGTTGACGGCGCGTATCATTGGTTAACTTCCATAGCCAACCTAGACATGCCCGAAGAGATTCTTGAGGATAATGAAGACCGCAAGGTTATTGTTCGATACACTCCCCTCGGCGTCGCTGTTGCCATTGTTCCGTGGAATTTCCCTGTCCAGCTCGCCATGGGAAAGATTGCAGGAGCTCTTTTGACTGGCAATACCCTCATCTTCAAGCCGTCGCCTTTCACTCCTTATTGCGGTCTTAAGATTGCGGAGCTTGCTCAGTCATACTTTCCTCCGGGGGTCTTCCAGGCTTTGAGCGGAGATGACATTCTTGGTCCATGGCTTACCGCTCATCCTGGTGTTGACAAGATCACCTTCACTGGTTCGACTCCTACTGGGAAGAGGGTTATGGAGATGGCTAGTAAGACGCTGAAGAGAGTTACTCTTGAACTGTAGGATTCTATACCCGTATGGTATCACAAAGACACTGACATATTGAAGGGGAGGAAACGATGCAGCAATCATCTGCAAGTCTGTAGACATCAAAACCGTCGCGCCCCAAATTGCGACACTAGCTTTCTTGAACTCCGGTCAGGTAAGATCATTTGATTTTGTCGCACACAAACGCATGCTAATGTTTTTAGATTTGTCTCTGCCTCAAACGCGTTTACATCCACTCTTCAATATACGATGAATTTCGTGATGCTATGGTTGCCCACACCCGCACCTTGAAAGTGGGCGAAGGTACCGAAGAGGGCGTGTTTCTCGGCCCTGTCCAAAACTCAATGCAGTACGAGATAGTCCAGACATTCTTCGACGACGTCGAGAAGCAAGGACACAAGGTGGCGGTTGGTGGAAGGACCGCAGACTCGCACGGTTATTTCATCAACCCTACCATTATTGACAACCCGAAAGATGACTCCAAGATTGTCACCGAAGAACCATTTGGTATTTGACATTTTTTCACTCTCCACATCCATGTTCAGCAACACAAGCTAACACAACATCTATAGGGCCAATTGTACCTATTTTGAAATGGACAGATGAAGAAGAGGTCATTGCGCGTGCAAACAACACCAAGATGGGTCTCGGTGCCTCAGTCTGGTCATCAGATCTCACCGAAGCCGAGCGGATCGCGAAGCACCTTGAGGCTGGAAGCGTCTGGGTGAACACACATATGGATTCGTCGCCGATCGTCCCATTCGGAGGGCAGAAGGAGAGTGGCATTGGACATGAATGGGGTGCTAGTGGCCTGAAGCATTTCTGCAACTCGCAGGCCCTGTTCTTTAAGAAGAAGGTTTGAAGCCGCTTTTCACTCTTTGGGAAAGGCTGACTGCTGAGACTTGTCTTTAGGTAAGATTACACAAGTTATGAATGTATGAACGATTGTAAGCTAAGGTTGGTCTGCATGAAACTTGTTTTGCCAGTGTTATAACCTATTTGATTGCCTGGTCGTATTGTAAGTGATATAATTCTCCTCTCGTCATAACCGCGTTTTGATTTTTGAGGCTTTCGGTATGCCTTTTGCGCTATAATTGTTGGGCCTTGACTCTTCTCCCCCAGAAAGCATATTGACTCATCTTCTCTTCCTTCAACATAAGATGTAGCGCCCTTCCAATCTTCCAAAGGTGATATTTTTGAATACTACGAATTTGAGACTTGCAACCCATGTTCTTCACAAAATAGTTGGTCGACAGGCACAAATTTGAAATGTTAGTCTTAGCACCGCTATAGAACCTACATGGATAGCCAATATTTTCGCCGCTAATGTACATGAAGAAATGTAACAATGCCCGCTATACTTAGGATAGCCTTCCGTAAGCAAGACATATAACATAACCTTTGAATTCCAAGTCGAATTTTCAAGCCATTGATCAAAAAGTTATAATAGGTGTTGAAAAGTTATAATAGGTGTTGAAGTATTAAACAACCAAAATCCACTTAGTAAGCAAAGCACGCGATCATAAATCTGAGACCCTTACAAACGATGCGAAAGGTGAGTCACAAATAGTCACAGTTGGAAAGCCGATAAATTTTCAACTTCACTTACTGTAACAATGCCTCATAGCATCTCAATGACTTCTTAAATAAAACCACAGCCCATGCAACATGTCACCACTTTCGCAATCCGAAAAAGACCAGCTAATTGCTCAAATCTCACACTCGCTTTCGAAAACACCTTATGCATGTAGTTCTCTTACACAGCTCACAAACGGAACTACAAACTTTGTCTTCCGTGGCGTTCTTACTCAACCCGAGCCCGTACTCCTACCCCTGGATCCCCAACATGGCGGCATCGACAATGCAGAAACAGCAATAGCAACTGCCGCTACGAGGACCAAAACCGTCATCATCAAACACTCCACCGCTTTCGCGGCGCTCAACAAGGATCTCCCAATCGACGTGTCACGCTGTGTAATATAATCACCCTTCTTATACCGCACAGAATTATAACTACTCCGAGTAATAGGAATCAAACGGACTGATTGATCTTGCTTGCTGACTTTATACCTTTACGGAGTAACTAGGTAGTCGAAGAACGCATGCTCAATGCCCTGTCCAGCTGGAACTTCCAGCACACGACCTCTACCTCTAGAATCAAAATTCCGCGTCTCCATATCTTTATTAGGCAGACGGACGCAAACACCCAAATTCTAGAAGATATTCCCGGTGCCGTGGATCTAAAGGCCCTACTCATCGCGCCCAGCGCTAACAGCAATCTCTCCCTCTCCCAGTCCCGCGCGACGTCCATCGGCCGCGCTCTAGGATCCTGGCTCCGCGCATACCACACATGGATTTCAGCACCCTCGCATGCTGATCTCCGTGCAGAGATTGGGGCTAATGAGCCTATGCGAAAACTAAAGTATTTAATAAGTTATAACACTTTCATCGGGGTGATTGAACAGTTTCCGGAAATAACATGTACAGAGGTTGATAAGAAGACCTTGGAAGATGTTAAAGATGTGGCAACGGAGGAGTTTGAGCGAACGGCGACGGGTGAGGAATGTGAGGAATGGGGTATCATCCATGGTGATTTCTGGACTGGAAAGTAAGTTTGTCTTACTCTTTCCCGCTCATATTTTCCGCGTGTACGTCTGTTTTTAACAAAGATGGAAATACCAGCGTTCTACTCTCCGAAAAACAGCAGGTGGAACAGGAGACTAATCTCTCTATCGTTGACTGGGAGTTCACCCAATTCGGCCACAGAGCATATGACATCGGGCAGATGATAGGCGACCTGCTTGAGAGAAACCATTTCATGCAGGTCAACGGTGCCGTCTGGGTACTGGGAGGATTCATCGATGGCTACGGCGCTGTAAGCGAAGATATGGCGTTCCGGATCGCTGTTCATACAGGTGTGCAGTTGATTACTTGGGTGACGCGGGGTCCACCCCTTCATATGCGTCCCGCATGGGCTACGCGGAAGAGGGTGGTAGGCATAGTGGAACTGGGCATAACGTTCATCTTGAAGGGATGGAACAAGGACAGGAAGTGGCTTAAGAGCAGCGTGCTTGCAGACTTGGTTGCAGATAAATAGATGGTGATTTTAGATGGTAGCGTAGAAAATATGGATGAGAAAAGGGGGGCGGATAAGATGACTTGAACGCTCAAAAGAGATACATTGAAGATTTGAGCTCAGGAAGAAACCAGAAAGCGTCGTCAATCACTCATGCCTTACTAGAGGAACCATTCGTTCTGCATAATTGGGGGAGCACTTTTAATTCACCATCTTCAGAGCAAGGATAACATAGATCTGAAATCAACAACCAAAAGTCTTCACTCCAACTGGAATTAGTGGGAAAAAGTTCATTTATCACTATCTATAATTAATCCGAAGTCCTAAAACGCCTCATACAATCTCGTATCTCAAGCACGATCCATAATCGGCTGTCTCTGTACCAAAGATCTCGGCACCAGCCTCGGAAGCGGCACAGCTGCCGTACAATCGATCATACCCGTGCTCCCCCCCGCAATACCCAAAAGACTCAACTTCGTCATCGCCGGGGTAAACGCGCCATTCCATTTAGCCTGAGCGCCCACGAAACTCTGGAAAGTAGCACTAGTCTGGGGGTCGGCCGCAAGACTCGCATCACTTGCGAATACGAAGACACCGGCGGGCTTGCTGGAAGTATCAGCGTAGAAGTCTACGTCCCATTCACCGGGTGTGTCGTCCTGGGGAGCACCGGCTTGGGTCTCGTCGACGTGGAATTGCTTGCTGGAAGAATGGGCACCGATGAGAGCGATGAGTTCAGCGGCGTCGATACCCTTGTTTGCGAAGAGCGTGATGAGGTCTGCGGATGGCGCGTTGACATCGGGAAGTAGGCCTTCCACATTGGCGGTGCTGGAGTCGGTGCGGCCGACGAAGGTTTGAACCCTGGGACCCAGAGGACAGGTGACGATTGCAACCGAGGAGGCGAACTGGATCATGTCTGCTGCTGTGACGGAGGAGTCGATGGCTTGGTACTTCTTGGTGAGAGCGAGAAGTTTGGGGCCGATGTCTTGGAGCCCATTATTTTCGGAGCGAGTGAGTTCTTCTGGGGCAAGAATGAGAGAGCCGTCGCAGCCGCCGGTGACGGAAGTGTTCCAGGAGGCACAGTCGTGGAATGCAGCTCGGATGGCTGCCCGAGCATCGTCGTTGCAGAGGAGATCGGTGGTATTTAGGAACGTTGTGCTAAGTTCGGTGGCTACTTGAGTCCAGACAGCAGGACATAGAGCTAATTGACGAGGCTTGATAATATCAATGTCTGGGAGGTTGCGCTTAATAGCGTCAAATGCTTTGTTGCCATACTCCACAAAGTCGAGGGCGCTTGCCAGAGAGGCTCCTGTGGCCACAATGATGATGTTCCTTAAGATATACATGGTTGAAGCTTCAAGTTGACTAGACCTTTGAGAATACCTGAGACAGGCAGAAAGAGAAAACAATGTTGAAATAGAAGTCCTTGACCCCTAGATCTTTCGGGGGGAAACGAGGCTCTTTAACTTTTAGGAGCACCACTCTTTTGCTTTCCTTTCCAACCTGCAACTTATCATCACACCAACATATCGTATCGAAACCCATGTTCCTAAAAACAAAATATTGCTACTGGTTCACCTGTAAGACTTCCGCTGCAAGATAGAAAGAGCGTTCTCTGAGCACCGTCAGATGGATACGGATAAGCGAGAACAAGGGAAGTACTGGTCTGCCACAAACTTCCAGGAATATGCATCCAATTTCGGATTCAAAGATCGGTTTTCTGTCTTTAGTCATGGTGCCATGGTGGTGGCGAACCTCATTCGAGAATCACACGAGGCATTGTCATGCTGATGCATATAGGTAGCTTCAGGGGACCTGACGGTGGTATTTTGGGGATGGCTTGCTAAGATGCTATAAGCTTGCATGTAGGCAGCATATTGGCGCGGTACGTATGCGGTGTCACTCTACCGAATAGAGGATTTTAGCGCACTGCGAACTCTGCCTTCGTACTTTAGAATTTTGGACTTATGCAGGGTTCGTTAAGCAGAGGAATGGGAAACTGCCCTACTCCGTAGTTGTAGAACAATGTGCTTCTAAGTTGAACATCAAGACAAGGCCTTTTCATTCTAGATTTTGAGGAGGCGCGTCTTCCCTGCAGTACGTCTAAAAGCTTCCGGTCCTGGTACGACCTTATGCCTGAGAATTGACTCGCTGCCGTACACGAATGATGCGGCGTGATATTGGCTTACGGAGTATACGTGAACATACTAGCGGAAAATCCGACGCAGAGTAAAAGTGGGATAATAGTTTATGACTGAGCATGCTGTCGATCAATACTCGATATGAACTTTGAATCGCTGCCACGTACCGTAAGAGGAAAGAAGGGCTCATGCGGCGCGAGCTGTGCAGTTGCATCGGGCAAGTAACTTTGTCAACAGACGCCCTGACCCAAAATTGCGTAGGTTTACTCAGGGACTTTGAGTTTTTGGCATTGGAGAGTATTATACTTACTGCAGTACCCTCATACTCCGTGCGGAGGAATAGTCTCTCCCAGCTCGGGTCTGCATGCAAGACACATATATTGGCGTTGTTGGTGACGAAGGTACATCTTATCTTTGCACCTCCTCCCTACAGTAGGCTATGGCGGCTTTTTATCGATCTTTTTGGACACATAAACTTTTCCTATTATAATTATTTATGCTATTCTGGAGTATGCTACACGAGCACGAGACGCGGAGGTTAAGCATTACAGACTAAGCGGCCCTAAGTCACATGACTGTAAAAGCTCTGGCGATACCCCTAGGTCCCCCTTACGGAGTAAGTAGGCTAGCCCAGCATATAAATGATAACTAATCGCCGACGTTAGCTACTGCGCATGCTTGCATATTAGCTCTGCATTATAATAAGTAAGCCAAGGCAAAGCTAACCAAGAGACTTTTAACCAGCTCAAAGCCTTTATAGTCATGTGACTTACCCCAGAAAACAAACCTTCTGACTAGATATTTGGGTCGGTAAACCTTATTTAGAGAATCACTTAAATAGTAGTCCTTACCGATTATTATTAGAACTATTATATTGCGATGTAAAAATTAAGTAGAAAATTGATGTGTCCAGAAAATAGATAAAAGCCCGCCATACTAGGCGTCCATTGCTTAGCCTGTACGCAGTGTAAGCCACAAGTCATAGCTATTTATACAAACCGTTTGCAAACCCGCATGACAAGATTGGTCTGCATTAAATCGATGTCAAGTCCGACGGGTGGTGAATTGTATAAGAGACGATTTGGTAGAGTCACGAGTTATACATGCCTTGGTACCGCCCAACAATATATTGAGTGGCTGTAATGCATCGGCTGGTAGCATTATGAATACTCTTTGATGATGAATTGTTGAAGGTTGATTGGAGAAGAGGCTGCCTAGACCGCCACAACATCCTCCGCGCGGCCGGTGCAACGTCGATGTACCGCGGAATTATATGGTAACGCAAATATCAGCATCGCACTGCATAGATGCAAACGATGGCCCCTGCTCGCCTCGCATAGAAGTCCTTGGTTCGACGTAACCCCCACAACGTCTCGCTATTAAACGGAAGTATGCCTGTCCTTTCGAATGTTCCCGACTTAGATTTTATGCATGAAAGTGCTAGGATTTCAGCCATACTTCGGTTGGCAAGGAGGTTTAGGGTTAGACAAACGGGTCGAAACCTTAATTCGAGCATCCGAGCCAACTCGTGCAGTGCAAACATGCAGCAAGCATGAGAGATGCGAAATAATATTGCAATAACTTGCATCTTGCATCTTGCATGCCAATCTTATTGAAAATCGGCATGTAGGTTTAATTAGCAGGATAACTTGGATATGATGAAAGAACGATGATACTCCTCGGGTGATTTTAGAGCCCTGACTTGGTTCTAGACCTTTCCAATGGCTTGCCCCTTCGGCTTGAGATCGCTGATTGTTTCGCTATTAGGCAAAGACGAGAAGAAACAGAAGGGTATGATGATACGCAAATCATGCTATATCAACGAACTGAAGATTGCCCGCTCCATAAACGAATGCATGCAGAATGGTGGACGTTGTCCAAGTCTAGACCCAGATCAAAGAAGTATGCTGCTGGCTTTTACCACGCGCGAAAAAGAGCCCCCTGACTTGTATTATACGGTGGGGTTGGTACTGTATGGCCATGCGGCTGCGCAAGTCTAGAGAAGTTGAACAGAGACGATTGTAGGAATATGTTATTGAGAAATTCAAAAGTGTTATTGAGGCTGAGTTTAAGTTGCGGCTTCCTGACGAGGTAGTGACGATCGCAATAGGATCGACAGGAATCCTAGGAGCGATCTGATTAATCATCACATAAGAACAGGGGAGAATCTTACAAGCCATTTACAAACCAACGATGCAAGAACTGTTAGCATTGCACCAACTCATTCAGCGACTGGAGAAACATACTCTTCGTCGCTTTTCTCCAATTCCATATTTGAGCTCTAATGCTGAAATCTGTTGGGGAAAGGATCTTTGCTCAGAATTACTTTTAAAATCGGAACAACTGGGCCTCGTTCTATGCTGTTAGCTGGGAATCGAACTTGAAGTCGTCGTCATCTTTGAAAGCACTTGAGGCCGAGCCTTTAGTTGAGTTTGAAGCCGAATTGACGTCTGAGTCCGAACTCGACTCGCAGAAGCCTGATTTGGCAAATCGAGAGCTAGGAGGATGAGTTGCGCAAGCGTGTCTTCAGTCAACGAGTCAACACTCGAGGTTGTTGAGTTCCGAGCAGATATTTGAGGTGTACCAGGTGCATGCAGAAAGGGAGAAGGCTACAGTGGACTCTGAAGGAAGGTAGTCCATGAAATTACAGCAGCGTATCCACCGGAGCTCTGTTAAGAATGGACGAAGACATGCAGTGGATCTCTCCCGTGCTCGAAAGGGGTAAAGTAGTCTTCGAAGAAATTTGATTGTAATAGGCGAACGGTGTTGCGCATACAGTAGTAGATTTGTTGTGTGATTTACAAGAAAGAGCGCGTGTAGGGCAAGTTGACCCTTGAGATGATGAAGTAGCAAACGAAAACGAGAGCGAGCACTACATCTGTATTTCACGTGAGAAATTTTTAATTTAACGCCAACGGAGCCCAGAGAAATGTTTCTAATGCCCGCTTTCTTTTACACCTGAAGTCCAAGTTCCCTTCAACAAGACCTTGCGGTGTTTTGAAGACAATTAATAAGACCTTGTACGCAGTGATTCAATTCCAACGATCCAGATGTGATTGCATACCGGTTTTTACCTTTCAACAAACCTTCAGGTTCTGCTGCCTTTTTCATGGGGTAGTATTGAGGGTCAACCTGCATGTAGATATTGTTGAATGAACTCAACTGGTCTTCCAGAAAGGCGAAGTCAAGCTGGGGAGAGAACGGACGCCTTGCGGAGTCGAGTTCGGAAAGCCCAACTTGCACTGAATTGGAAGTCGTTGGCGCGAAGTCAGATGATGGTGATTGGCTGTGTACCAAAATGCTTGAGTCAACAGTTGGTGATTTAGCAGTGGAAGCTAATTCGGTCGATGTTTGAGGCTCGCAAATCCTGTTATTTCCGCCCCCGTGAAGAATGTTCATGGAGCTTTGTAGCGGCATGAGTTTGATAGTCTTAGCGGATGAATGGTGTTGATCTCGGAAGATGTCCACGGGTATGGCTTCGCTGTGATTGGGACCGAGGACGGTCATGCCATTGGAGACTATAGCGTTGTTTTCCGAGCTTTGGATTTCGCGTAAACCGTCAAGTGCTGACTCTGCAGCACTATCTCGAGAAGAGGAACCGCGCTTAAATCTCTGCTTGTTCCTAGGACAAATATCAGGATCGCACTGTTGTTTGTCAATGATTTGCCTAGGAAGCATTATTGGGGTGACCTGACCTTGACTTTCTGCTGCCTGTGATCATCGCAAGCATATCCTCTATTCGATGCGACTTTCCGTCGCTCCTCACTTCCATATCGTCGTTTCTTGCCTCTATTGGAATCTTTCGATACAGAATCCCAAGGAACGACCTTGAGACCATTACCTCCACCATGTGGAGCATCTTGGACTTGAGGTTTGGGCCTGAGAATTTTGGTAACACTGCCGGAGGCTGGAGTCTCCTGATATATATGCCGTCGTGTAGAGGCTTGATTCTCAGGTGGCCCCACACTGGTGGACGTTTCAGACGCTACGAGCAGCCCCGTTGATGGTATGGTCTTCAAGACCAAATCGTGATCATTGGGTGGTTGCGAAGTACCATTAGCTACTATGGCTAGAACCGAATCACGACTCTTTCTCTGTTCCTCGCACAGGAACTTCATTGTGGCAGCCTGCATCTTCTTTTCAACACTCTTCTCTTTTGGGAAATGGTAACTCAAAGCAATCGCAAGCTCTTTGGAACTGACGGGGGGATCCCACTCGAGGGTATTGTCGTCATTGAAAAATATAGTATAATCCAAAAGTTCTGAGACCGAAGCTTCTCGTGTACCACGTGTGGAGGATTCCGGAATTGACATTCTGAGCTGTTTCAAATGAGCAGGCGGAAATTTTATGCGGGGAGATCAGAGTTATATATGTCAGTTAGTGAGGCTGAGATCGGTGTCTCGAAACGGCAAGAGTGCGTTGCCCGATGCTGTGGAACCAGACTTGACCGGCTCACCGACAACGAATAGGATTGCGAGTAGTGTCCCGAAACGCATTGATGAAAGTATTTCTTGGTCGGGGGGTCTCGGAGTAGTGGTTCTTCTCCGAAGTCCACCGTTCTGAATCCTACCGGCTTTCTCGCCTTAGAAGGGTACTGGCAAGCCGAGTTGAGCTGAATGGGTAACTCACGTCTTGATTGACATCCTGCGTTTCGTGTGTGGAAATGAGAACATGCGCCGAGCAATTGCATGTAGTATAAAATTTTAAACCGCTACAAGCTAAAGCAAATCAAGAAAATCGCTAACTTGGCCTCACTCAACCATCAGCAGCCTTGAAGAAATAAAACCAGGGGGCCGGACACTAAGGATCCTACAAAACTGCAGAGCGCCTTGCTCCCAATGGTGTTTGTTGTCTAGATTTGGTCTAAGTACGTAGAGGGTGTATGGAATATCTTGAAAAACCAGAGGCAGAAGGGAAGTCGCAGACTAAAATAACCCTACAAACACTTCTCTGTTTATGGAGAAGCGAGGATATACAGAAACTGCTGCTACATTTTAATCGATGCGTGAAAAAAGAGAACAGAACAGTCGCTCCAGCTTTTCAGATAAAGATATGCACATGTATTCAAGCCTCGGTCATATGATAAGTGAAGCAGGGCGCGAGAAAGACTAGCTCACTTGAAACGAATGGGTCAGGTCCGAAGACTTATAGCACGGTTTCCAATTAACCAAAAAATTATATACAGGCCCTGCCTCTCCTTCGCTTTCCAACCTCAATAATCAATCCACCCCAAGCTGTGTATGCATACACGCGGCCTAAAACAATTAAAAAACGCCACCCCCATCACAAAGAGTACAGAAGCAATGCAATTAACACCCCCCTATGCTATACGTAACTTAAAACCGATTCCCACTATCTCTCCTTCGCTCACCCTGATGCCCCGGAACAGGTGGCCCTCCCTCACCATCAAATAAGTCCTCCAAGTACGCACTCGGGGCCCTCTGCTCGCCCCCATAGCCCGAATTCAAATTCAGCGTGCTCGAACTCGCCATATGTCTGCTACCTCTCAAAGACGGACTACCAGGGGGACTGGGTCCTATGCTCCGTGCACGAGTATAGCCCCCAGTTTGTGGGCCAAGATTGGAGAGTGAGATACCGGGTCCTCCACCGCCGCCGAGCGAGACGTGAGATGGTGTCTGTGCAGCGCCTGCTGCGTAGTAGCCTGCGGGAAGATAGGTGGAGGCTCTGTTGCCTGGTGTGCTGTGCGCAGCGCCCGCGGTGGGGGAGAAGAACAGGGATGTGCTACTTGCGCCGTGCGGTGCGGTGGGTGTTTTTGTATCCCTCTTTCCCCTTTTACCACCACCCCCAATGCCGGAAAGCGAGAGAGTAGAATCGCGGTCATGGTAGTTTTTGTAGACGCCAGGAACGGGAGCTTGGAACAGAGCTTTCGTGTCGGACATATTCTGCTGCAGGGAAGCGCGCTTAACGGAGCGATGCAGAGACCAGGCTACGAGGCCCCGCCAGAGCAACACGGATATGGCCATGAAGCCGAGGATGGCACCGACGGCGATGAAGACAGTACCCTCGGGGAGAGTAGAGGTTTGCATGTAGGGCGCATTGGCAGTTGGTGGGACGGAGGGCGCGACGATCTTGTATTGGCCGGAGAGGGTGGGGAGACCTGAGGGGAGGGCGCCGCTGTCTGTGGAGGTGCTATCGCCGGTGATCGATGGTATTGAACTAGTTGCGGTGTCTGAATCCGTCGAACCACCTGTAATAACTGCGGTCGTGGGTTGTGAGGTAGATCCCCCAGTTGTCGCATCTGTCGTCGCCGCGCTGCCTGTAGCAGTTCCAGTATTCGATGCTGTGTCCGCAGTAGTTGAATCTGCAGCTGTTAAGGCTGATGAGAGGTTTGGCAGTGCTGTAGTATCAGCCAATGTCCCTACGGCCAGGAATGAGATGACGACGGCTGCTGAGAGCAGAGGTGTTCTTTGTAAAAGCTTCATTTTGTGTGTATCCTCAGGTTGAGGTTGTTTCGGGTCACGTATTCCTCGAGTGGTGTGGTTGTTTGTATGTCCTAGCGAGGTGAGAACTGAATCCTTCCCTGTCGGTAGTTATCCCCACGACGACCAAAGTATAGTCCTTAGCTATTGAGCGTATGTATGGTATCGTTCGTTGTCTTTCGTCGTCGTTGATGGTAATGGGGTCGTAGTGTCGCGATCAACATCAAGAAATAAGGCTCCTGTCTCCCAACCAACAGCGGTTGTCCTAATATTCCTTTTCCCGGTGTCCAAGTAAGCAAGTAACCCAAGTAAAGATGGTGTGAATAATAGAATTCAGGTGCCAAACGAAGAGAACAAGTGAAGTTAATGAACGAGCGTGTGATGTAGCATGTACTTGAATATTCCTTGGCTGATTATGATTCGATTCTTCACTTCTCCCGCTCGTGTTGGTCGTCGATCTCGACGCTTTTCCAGTTCCTGCACTCTTACCCAAACTAGCTTAGCCTCCGCCTCCATCCTAAAATAGTAGTGTAGTCCTGGGCAACGAAGGCGGTGAGCCCCAAAACCTCGATTCTGCCACCAGAAAATAATTCTAGAGCCTGGTAAGCCGCAACATCAAACCCCACCAAACGTCCATCTTTATCATTAAAGCAACCATGGGTACCGCAAAGAGAACTCGCAAATTCGGCGCTGTAAGATAACTATTGCATGATTCCAAGTACTAGAACTAACGATCGTTCGCATAGGTCAAGCGAGTAATCGGCCAAAACCACGCTGCGCTCAAGAAAAACCAATCCAAAGGCGAAGAGGAATCCAAGAAACAGGAGAAAGGCAGTGAGATTGTGCGGGAAATTCCCCAAGTGTCGTCGGCGCTCTTCTTCCAATACAATCAAGCTTTGGTACCGCCTTACTCGGTGTTGGTCGATACGGTATGTTTGGAAATTTGATGTAGGAGTTATTATGCTTGCATGCTGATGAATGATTGCAGAATTTCCTCAGTCATACCGTGCAGAGGAAACTACCGCTGTTGGAGACGTTGATGGATACGTTTTATGCGAAATGTGTAAGTTGGAGGAGGAGGACTTTGCTCGAGTTCGAGCTCGTCCTGGAAGAACGGATATGCTAATTCATTGCCAGATCCCCATAATTACTTCGTGCGTGATGGCAGAGCTTGAAAAGCTAGGTATGTGGTTTCCAGATCCTCTTCGTTATCAAGCACAACTAACATCTCGATCCAACAGGCCCACGCTACCGTATCGCCCTCCGAATAGCACGCGACGAAAGAGTAACCAACCCTCTATTTCCCCCTCACCCCCAGACAATATACTAATACGTTGCTGCTGTAGTGGGAACGATTGCAGTGCGATCATAAGGGTACATATGCAGATGACTGTATTGTCGATCGGGTGATGAAGAGTAGGATATATATCGTTGCTACAGTAAGTTGGATTGCAAAAGTGCTTTGAATATGATGCTGATGTATGGATATAGAACGATAGAGATCTCAAACGTAGAGTACGCAAGATCCCGGGTGTTCCTATAGTCAGTGTCGCGAGGGGCAAATATGCAGTGGAGAGACTTCCTGATGCTCCCGAGAAGTAGGGTACACGAATGGACGTGCTGGGGTAGGGGTGATAGTTTATGGCATTTGACTGGAGTTTCTGAGGAGTTTGGTAATCTATTGTGGTTTGGGGTGGGATGGCGTTCATGGGCTGTCAAAATTGATTATACTTCTACCTGAGGAGGGATACGAGGTTTAAATAGAGCAGATACGCAAAAGGAAATGGCAAGTTTATAGGCAGAGCTTCAGCCACTAAAACACATGCATTCAGACCTCGTTCGTTTGTGACGAGTAGCTTTGAATTCAACGTCTTGACCCTTAAGAGTTGAGGTTGATATTATGAGGCCTTTAGAGCACTGCTGACCAAATTTAAAGATCAATGCGGTCATAATATAGAGGCATTTTATTCGCCGAGTCAATGCTACTTTCAGCAATCCTTCCTTTCCGAAGCGACCCAGGTATGATATTCAATACATTGAAAGTCGATACAAATAGTACACTTTCAATCCCAACTCCAATCCGTTGTACCATGACATGCACAAACTGCAGCTTTTGCCCCCCTAAGCCTTCTTATTCGCACTTGGTCCCATCTCCTTCTCGAACGCCCCATACGAAACCTGCAGACTAGAAATGGCGTTCAACCCCACAGCTAGCAGTGCAAGCATGACGAAGGAGACTAGTATACCCATAAAAATACCTACACCATCCATCATTAGCAGGTCATTCTTTACCTCTTCTCAGGGACCAGAGCGGACACAGGAACATACCAGGAGTAAAAAACTGGTACTTCTCAAAAAGCGGCTGTGTATTATTCGTCGTAGTATTCGTTGGGTACCGCACCATCAACTGCCTCTTCAAATCCATGTGTACGGGATCCTGGAACTTCGCCTCATACAACATGTCATCATGCGAACTCGTTGAAGGCGTCGTTATGTAGATCACTGTATATTTCTCGGTCTCAGAAATCAGGGAGAGGAGTTTGTTATGGGGCGTAAGATCTGTAGTTTGTCAGTACAATTGAAGGGGGGTGTGAAGGGGGGGGGGGACGTACCGAAATGAGAAGCGCTGTCGATGGTGGAGACTACGACTTGAACATCCACACCATCCTTATCCTGTGCTCCGCAGTGATTCTTCAGATATTTGAGAAGGTCATCTACACGAGCACTGCTCAATCCCACGACCTCACTAGCCCATCGCCCCTTCACGCTCTCATCCGCAGTGTTGCCAAGAAGCGGAGAATGGATTTTGAATTCTGCGCTGGTGACGCCGGGCTGGGATATAATGGCATAAAGACTGGAACTGCATTCTCCTAATATAGTTTTCGCGGTGTCCAGGGCCTGGGCTGAGGTCTGGAGATGTGCGGTTGGGAGGGAGGATTGCAATCTACGTTCGATTAGCTTGGAGGGCCTTGGACTTGAATTGGGAGGGGAATGGGAACGCACGGCGAGGAAGAGAATATGAGAAATGGGCTCGTATCTCTGAATGCAGACGCCGAGGCGACGCAAGCTGCAAGGGCAGCTATTGTTGTGGGGAGACGCATCGTTGCTTTTTTATTGCTTGATGCAGTGACGAGGTTGAGAGAGCTTGATAGCAGATGCCGCGCAGCCTTGAGCTCATGCCAAGAGCGGGGACTTCCGCTCCGCTCTGCTGTCCCGAAAAGCTTCCCCGCCAAAAATAAATAAATTATTCCTGCATCTGAGCACTTCAACTCTTGGAACCACCCAACAAAGCAAACAGCAAAAATGCCTATAATAGAACCCAAAATCTTCCTCCCACCCCGCCCAAAACGCACACTTTTGTCCGCCGGTCCACCTTCCAAGAAACGCAAAACAGTACACAAAATAGATGAGATCAGTTTCGACAATGATGCGAGGGCTGATTATCTGACGGGGTTTCATAAGAGGAAAGTTGCGAGAGCGACTAAGGCTAGAGAGGAGGCCGAGAAGAAGGAGAAGGAGGAGAGGGTTAGGATTAGAGCTCAGGTAAGTTTGCCGTTTTACTGGACGAGTAGAGTAGGAATGTATGCTGATTTATGGGGTGGTTTAGTTGCGAGAGGAGAGGAAACAGGAGCTGGAGGAACATGTTGAGGCTGTTAATCGCGCCTTGAAGGAAGTAAGGGATCCGGGCGTGGAATGGGAGGAGAGTGATGGTGATACGTGGGAGGGGATAGCTGATGATGTAGTGGAGGTGGAGGTTGTGGATCGCGAAGAGGAGTATGTGGACGAGGATCGGTATACGACTGTTACTGTGGAAGCGGTTGATATATCCAAGGAAGGATTTACGAAGACTGTTGTGGAGGATGGCAGTGACGAGGAGAAGCAGGCCCCGAAGGTGGTGGAGGAAGAGAAGACCAAGAAAGTGTGGCCCAAGAAAGCCCCGAAGAAGAAATTCAGGTATGAGAGTAAAGCGGAGAGGAAGTTTACACGGGGCAAGCAAAAGGCTGGGAATAAAGCAAAGGCAGATGCTCGTCGGGGAACTTGATCGATACACGAATACATTGCATACCAATTTATAACGAGCAATGGTATTGTGTGTGACCTCGTTGATATGGACCATCAACTGAACCTTCAAAGCAATCCCACAAGAAAACAGTGTACCACCGCCAACGCATACGAGGCTTAACTGGAATTGCACTTGTCCTGTTCAACTCCTCCAGGCCTTTCCATCATTCTATGCTTCGCGAAAATGCAGTCTCACATAATATTCCCACCACACGCACAAGAAAGAAATGTAGGCTTAAATGTTGCCAATTTCGGCCTGGAAATCCTCCAACTCCTTTTGTGTGGCTGCGTATTTCTTGGACATCTCCTCGTACTTGGACTCCCAGGTGTCGCGGTCTTGCTCAAGAGCTTGAACCTTGCGTTCGAAATGGCCGGCCTTGACATCAGTTTGACGGAGCCTAAGAAAATGTTAGTTTGTAGCTCAATATTCAGTATCGACCGCAGCAAATCCCGAGAATGCATAATAAAGACACTGACTTGTCGTTTGTTTCACGGAGGTTCTTATCAGCCTCCTCGGCCTCATCCTCCAAGAGCTGCAGTCTACGCTGGAGAGCCTCGTTCTGTGTAAGATGGCCACTTCCATCATCGGCTGCCGACTTCAGCTCCTTGATCTTGACCTCTTGTGCCTCAACTTCGGTCTCTAACTGGGTGTTCTTGTGTTGCAGGGAGGTGATTTCATGCTCTTTTTGGAGGTTCTCCTGCTCGAGTGTCTTGACTTGCTTCTGGAGCTCTTCGACTTTGGCGGCGGAGTCATCGGCCTCGACACGGAGCGAGTTCATCTTCTGTTGGAGGGAGATATATCAGCATCTTGTGGTGCGGATAGTGGCAGCTTCGTTGGATGCTGACCCCAAAATGGCGGGGTTGTGTTTGGGGGATAACCTACCTCCTTAATGCGATCCATCTTGACAGTTGTGAATTGAAAAGATCTGGGTAGGGTTCAAAGTGAAGGGGCAAATATTGGTCGTAAATTCGTGATGCGGTGTTTGAGGGTCTAGGTGCGCGGTGTGGTGTGGAGGAGGTTATTGCTGATGGTGGCAGATTTCTGTTTGTATGGGGCAACGATTTGCGGTGGAGAGTACCAGTGAATAGTGCAGGGGTGTTCCTTCCCAACGTTGCTGTAGAAACAGACTCCCCTTGTACAACCATGGATAACTTCACTTCTTCTTATCAACGACGTACCAATGTAACACTACTTCATCATCCATCGATCGATTGATTAATTATTGCTGCGAACATTCACGACAATCACCATGTTTGCTGCACGCGACCAAGAGAATTTGGTTCATGGCCACCAAACCGTTGCAGCTTCTAAGCCTTTGAACCAGGGTGCGAAAGGACTACAACCAAAGACGCCAGGAAACAAATATCCCAAGACGCCTCTTAAGATCCCTCTCAACGATGAAAATGCACCTGTTGGATTTGGAGGAAAGACTGGAAAAGGAAAGGGATTGGAGACGGGTGGAAAGAACAATGCATTTGTAACTCCTATGGGTATGTAAACAGCAGTTGTGTTGCAGTCATGAATGAACGCTGATGCACTTTAGGCCCCCGAGCTCGAGCTCCTCTCGGACAGAAGACTACCAACGCCAAAGCCAAGGTCTTTCAAACACCTGCAGGACCTGCTCCAGAAAAAGAAATCGAAAAGACCCAACCCAAACAAACCAGCGCCCGCCGCCCCAAGAGGGTTACACATGCCGAGACTGTCAAATTGGAGGTACATGGTGATGAAAGTCCACTTGCAGAGAGAGATGTTGAATACTGCCCACCAAAGCCAAAGGATCTCCCCTATGAATCGGATGTTTTCCCCGCAGGTTGCCTGAACGTGAACGCTATTAAACCTGGCAACCTCATGAAAGGTCGATATCAACAATATCACAACAAAGTCGATGCACAAGGACGAACCAGACTAGAACGCGAACTGGAGGAAAGCTATGCCAAATCCGCAAATGATACCGATGAACGTATTCTGAAGATGCTCGAGGAAGACTGGACAGTTGGTGATGTCCCTGAGACATTCCGTAATGTACGCAAGAATCCCGCCCTGCAAAAGCCTAAATCTATCGTTAAGGCTGTCGACCAGAGAAAGAAGCCGGCTACAAACCTCAATAAACCTCCTGGTACTATCGCGTCCCGTAAAGCAGCCTCAGCTCTATCCGTCGCACCAAAAGCCATGGCTGCACCTCCCGAGACCACGAAGCCGCAATTGAACACCACCTTCGGATTCCTCGCTCGCCAGAAGCCTCCACCACTTCCTATATACAACCACCCTACCATACGCAACAGTGTCGCGGAAGCTGCATCAAGAAGCACACTTGGCTTTTCAAAAGGACGATCTGCTTCCGGGGAATTGAGGAAGCGAGAGCACGGCATGACCCGGAGTATTAGCAATTTGACTCAGGGATCAGATGCTACGATCACCCCTGCGCGGTTCGCGCAGAAGGAGGAAAAGGAGAACGATGAGTGGAAGAGCAAGCTTTCTTTCTTGTCCGCATTTGAGGTTGATGATGATGAGTTGGAGCCGGGATTGAGAGGTGCACTGCCAGAGTGTTTGAGGAAGGACGATGAGGATGATGAAGAGTTTGTTATGACTTTGGGCGGGGCCACCGAGTAGTGTATCGGATTGTATAGAGGCATGGCGTTTATGGTGCAATGATTACTCGATTATGGGTAAAGACAGGAAAGGGATACTTATGGATGGTTTATTACTGTATGTATAATTGTTCAGTGTTCAGTGTCTAGAATGCACTCACGTTCCTTTATCGATTTGTCTTTTTCACCTTCTCTCTTTCTCTTTCCCGTCTTCTACAGTAAGCCCCTCATCACCGTCTCAGCTCGAATCTCCACCCCTCACCATATCCTCACCCCCACTACCACCTCACCCAAATATCCCCCATATTTCATCTCTCTCCACTTGGCTGAATTCGTCGGAAAACCCTCCTATCCCCACAATACCATAAACCTCCTCACCTCTCATCTCCTCTCCTTCTGCGCCCCTCTATACAACTCACCATCCTCAATTCCCCTCCACTCTCTTCGTCTAGTTGCAACCGTGCTCGCTCCCGCATTAGCAGGGAAGTTGAAGTGGAGGGAAGTGAAGGGTACATACTACACCCTAACAAATAACGGGTCATTAGATTGAAATCTACGGCTGGTGGGGGGGGGGGGGGGGGAAAGGTAAGTGTAAGCAGGCTGAGGACCGAGATGAATGTGGGGAAATGCATTGTGGCTTTTGTAGTCTTTATGGGAATGGTTGGACTTGGCCTAGATGTGCTCGAAGGTGAGATGGTAGCTCAAATAATCAACAGCCTTAATACCTAACATCAAATCATAGACGCCTAATTGATGGGACTTGCGAAACCTACTTTGAAGTTCCTGTCGGCTTCTACGAGCGTTGAGATATGCGGGGACCCGCATATTAACAAAAGCCTGAAGTAACACAATTGAAGGGAGCATACTTTTGGGTGCTTTGAAACAGGATTGTGCATGGTACTGATGAAACAATGAACTGGCTGCAAAGGTCTGGGTAACAGCAAAACCGGGATTTATGCTAGCTACTAGTCATACATCAGATTTCCTGGCAAGTGTATCTGGGAATGGTTTCTTCCAGAAATTTATTCGATAGTTCAGCAAACTCGACAGTACAAAGACTCCATTGGTGTCACACTTCAATCATTTCGAATGAGCAGGAAATGCTACCAGTCACTAGACTATTAGTAACTCTTCCGCACTATAACACTATTCCTCAACCCGTTCAATGAGACTGCCGAATGGAACTGCTGATTTATTTGGTGGACCCTTAAACTCTACCCTCTTTTTCTCTTTGCTAATTAAGGCGACCAGCAAAGTCAAACACACATACTACAACGTATAGTATTTCACAATTAAGAAACAACATCTCACGTGGTGATATAAATATGCATGTGCTTCTTCCGCCTGGGACCCCCCTTGAGAAATGGGAATGAAGTCTATCGACCGTTCGGACAGATGTGCTAACCTGCCCTGCTTTGGGGTGATCTTGTCGTTGTTAGCGAGAGGGAATAAGCGTGGCCCTAAGAAGCATAGGTAGGTAGGTAGTCATTCGCCATTTGAATTATGTTCCCCAAACAAGCAACGAAGAATGTTAGGATGATCTAAATAAAAAAGAGGTAGAAACTTGAAAGACTAGAGGTAATTATCCAAGCTAAGCTAGAGGAGAAGAAAAGAGGTAATAGTCACGTGACCATAATATTAGCAACACCAGAAGGAGCGGACGAGCCGGCTGGATAATTGATCTGAGCATAGTGGGGCCTACTCCATCTCAGTGTTTGAAATATGAAAAATGACGAGATATGAAAAATGAATAGGCAGTTGCCATCAGGTAGTCGAAATGCATATCAAGCAACGCACGTGTTGGGGGCACAATTGCCATTGTACGTCAAAGCCGAAGATGGATTATAAAGTGGCATCATCAGCTGCAAATAATTTGGTTGAAAACAAGGGGATATAGGAGACAATAATCAGGAGGCTACCAATACTTCTATATAAACTCTTGTCGCGTCGAAAAGTTGAAAATAGAAAGCGTGAGAGGTTCGTGATATCTGCGCGTAATCGACACAATATCCTTGCTATCTGGTATAGAAGATTGCTTAAGCATAGCAAGATTTATGAATTAATTTGGAAAACATAGAGAAGAAATCCTCATTAGATTCAACTTACTGTGAAATTTTTGCGCAAGGGCCAGATTGTGCATTCATTCATCCATCTCATTATTGTGCTCTCCTTCAATTACATAGTCTTCCTAAACCGGTTTAGCCGGCATCGTGGATCTTTAGCCAGATGGAACTTCAACATTCCCATTCACAACATCAACCTCCTGGCCAACACCACCACCATCCATCTCTACTCTCTTGTCTTGTCGAAACAGCTTCCATACACCAGATCTGCCACCCATTGACCATCTGCGATAGCTCTCCTGCTCTTCGTGCCGCCATCCCCGCTAAGAGCGCATTCACATCTGTCCCCTCTGCAGCAGTCGCGTCCATATTTCTCTCCCTCGCTCTTGCGCGTTCCTGGCCATCGTCGCCCTTCTCTTTAGATGTATGCCGTCGCTCGCTAATACTCACACAAGAGATGTTGGTTGGCCGGCGGAGGGTGAGGTAGTTCGAATCTTGTTCCACGATGTCTCGCGCGTCAGGGGCGAGTTTCGCGCAATTTTTCCCATCCGCACCGCGGGCTGCCAAGGACAAAGCAAAGGAACGAGAGAAGGGGAAATCGCATACACTGGGGTCGCCGGGCATCAAGCCTGTTGCTGACAGTTTTGCGGCCTCTCTACAGCCACGCGCTGGCAATGCTAGCTCCATCCCATCTGCTGTCGAGAGCAACCCCTCAACAGATACCACTGCCCCCCAGGCAGAAGATAACGAATCTCTACAAGGCGATCTCCTGAATGGTGTTGGCTCGGCCAGCTCGCATGCCAGCACTACATCTTCTGTCTTTAGCGCTCCTACTGCCCAGTCCAACATGACGGCCTTCAGCAGCTCGCGGAATATCAGCAGCCTGACTCCGTTGACGAACACCGATTCATCTCCAAATCGCATGTCCAGCCCACACCAACCAAAAACAAGCGACCCATCCAGCGTGCTTACTACCGAAAAAGTTCAAAATGATGCCCCACGAGCGCAACCTGCCTTGGCAGATCATAATCCCCCACCTGCGCGAATATTCGCTCGCGATCCTAATAGAAGTATAAAGGGCAATATATGTACATACGACCCCGATAAGCACACAACGAGTGACAAGAAGAAGAAGGGAAAAGTAAATTATAAGGATTTTGGCTTGGTATGTATACAATCTGCGGGGGGCGTCATCTTGCTTGTGTGAATGTCTAGCTAATAGCTTTGCAGGATGAAGATGACGCCCCCCCAGCGGATCCGCGATTGGCCAAAGGTGGCAGACTTGGTTACATTAATACCAATTTCCACAATCCAAAGTCACAGTTGCTACATGCGCCAAAATTACTCCCCAAGTACCGATACGAGCCAAAAACCTCTTTGGGTCCCGGGCCGCCTACGCAGATTGTTGTGACTGGATTTGATCCACTGTACAATTTTGCGAATTTGACGACCTACTTTCAAAGCTTTGGAGAAATCGCCGAGAGCAGCAACAAACTTCATCCGGAGACTGGCAGTTGTCTAGGCTTTGGTACATTCCGCTACAGAGATAAGAGCTCGAGGGGAGGAATGACCATTTCTGCAGTTCAAGCAGCAAAAATCGCTGTTGTTAAGGGCAACAACAATCGCATTGGCAACCATAACATTAAGGTTGCATTTGACCCAGAGGGGAATAAGAGCAGGCGAATGCTGGAAAATGCCTTGAAGGAGTCCAAACCAGAGCCCCAGCCTACAGTCGCCAAAGCAGCAGCGCCTGCAGTTACAAAGCCACCAGAAGTTGTGAAGACATCCGGGCCGCCACCAACGGCCCCGAAAGGACCAGCAGCACACGTGGCAAGATCTGCTATGCGTACGCCATTCTCGCCCACTACGCCTGCAGTACCACCTACGAAACCTAGAGCCCAACAAGTTCTCGATAACGATGAGCCACTCTCTTTGAAACTCGAATGCGAACCCTATCTCTTCATTTCGAAAGAATCTGTACCGATTCTCGCTGCTACTGTACCGCATTTGAGGAAGCGCCTAAGATTCTTCGGAGATTTTGACATACAATTCGATCGTTATGGCTACTATGTCATTTTCCCGAATAGTCCTTGGGGAAGAACGGATTGTGAAAAGTGTTACAAGGCCACAAATGGCACACCCCTATTCACCTACGAGATGATGATGAAGATGTACTTGCATGGTACAAATGGCGCACGATCATCCACACGTCACGTTTCTGATTCCATTCAGAAGCGCAGCCGCAGCCACAGTCCATCTCGCAGAGAACTTGAAGCGAGAGATAAGCAAGATGACGAGGCGCGTCGGAAGGAGGAAGATGCTGATATGGAAGAAGAGCGAAAGGAGCGCACCAAGAATTTTGACCCGTCAAAGGAGGCGATCGAAGTTATTCGAAGGGAATTGAAAGATCAGCTGTTGAAGAATATTCAGACAAAGATTGCATCACCAATATTGCATTCTTTTATGGATCCCGCCAACCATGTCTCAAAGAGACGCAAATTCAACATTGCGGATCCAAAGGACTTGAAACTTCCACTCATCCACGAGGATGATGATCAAGATCCTAGTCCAATCGGAACTCCAAATTCTCGCATGGACAATTTGGACCGCCGTACCCTAGGATCCAAAGTCAACTTGGCTGCGTTGGGACGAATCCGCATGGCGAAAGGTGGGCTGAAGAAGAATGCTGGGTTCAAGGACCCCTTTGCAAGAGCACGGCCCCAAGTGAAGAAAGCTGTTGTTCGGCCATTAGCTCATCGCTGGATTGAGGAGGACGATTCAGATGATGATACAGAAGATCGTTCTCGGGCTGTCTATACCGAAGAGCCAGATTCGAGACCCCGTAGTAGAATGAGCTCAGATGACGAAACCTCTGATGACGAGGACAGCGATGCGCTTGCTTCTGGGCGTGGCAATCACGAATCTGCATCGGTCGACACTCGTGATGAGGATTCGGCCAGTGAGGCCAATTTTGTTGTAGGGGAGCCCATCGCTGCAACCAAGAAACGGAAACTCGAGCTACATGTCGAAGCTGCTCTCAAACGCCAAAAGAAGACAGATGAGGAACTCTTCGGTATTGATGCAGATAAGATCGAACAAGCATTCCCGCTCTCTGCTTCCACTGTTGACGAGGATACTCCCATGCCAGATATCGACGGAGTCATCAGACCCGAAGATGATGCAGATGCTCTTGCACAAAGTAAGAAGAAGGCTGCCAAGGCCAAGAAGAAGTCCAAGAAACAGATCTTCGAAGAACGGGAGGCCCTCAAAAGGCAACAAGAAGGAGTATACCTGGACGAGCTGCTTAGGGAGCCTAGTGTCGATCGTGGCGTGGACGATGAGGATGATATCATGGAAAGTGCCCCTATCGAGACCTCTGTTGAGTGGGGCATGTCAGCAGAGTCGCCCCGACCCACCGTTGACGACGACTTTAAATACATTCTAGATGTTGACGGTCTCCAAAATATGCTTAAGGACGATGAAGATGGACCTTCTGCCTCGATCGCCTTCATGGAGTCCAAACCTGCAAGATTGGCCAGTGTAGCCAGCGTGGATGCCTGGACCTGGCTGCAAGAGGATATTAAAGCTCTCAACCGGGATGGCTTCAAGGGTCTCGTTTCAACCAACACCGACGTTGAAGGCTACTACGTCCCTAACAAAACCGGGTCTGCCCGTACCGAAGGGACTAAGAAGATTCTTAATTCCGTTAAATCTCTTTACTTGCCCCATCGAATCAAAGTCCAGAAAGCTCGAGAGGAACGTGAGGCACAGGCCACTAAAGCCGGTAGGGACTTTGTGGCCGAGGCAGCGGAAGCAGCCAAGGTCACCGCTGAGAAACTGCTCGCCAAAGGCAACTCTCGAGCTAGTCGTGTCAATAATCGTCGCCTCGTGGCTGATATTTCGCTTCAGAAGCAAGCGCTGGGTGAGGATTCAGATGTTTTGCGGTTCAATCAACTCAAGAAACGCAAGAAGCCTGTCAAGTTTGCACGATCCGCCATCCACAACTGGGGTTTATATGCCATGGAGAACATCCCGGTTAATGACATGATCATTGAGTATGTCGGTGAGAAGGTCCGCCAGCAAGTTGCCGATCTTCGAGAAATCAGTTATCTCAAGAGTGGCATCGGAAGCAGTTATCTCTTCCGTATCGATGAAAATACGGTGGTTGATGCGACCAAGAAAGGTGGAATTGCCAGGTTCATCAATCACAGCTGCATGCCCAACTGCACGGCCAAGATCATTACGGTGGAAAAGAGTAAGCGAATCGTCATCTATGCACTGCGCGATATCAAGATGAGTAAGTCCTAATCCTCATACCTACATTCCGAAAGCACTGTTAACCATTCGATAGACGAAGAACTCACCTACGATTACAAATTCGAGCGTGAGATTGGGAGTACGGACCGTATTCCCTGCCTCTGTGGCACAGTCGCTTGTAAAGGATTCCTCAACTAATATATCTCTTTACGCATGGGACTTGATTCGCAGACTTTTTATTTTCACGTTTTGGCGTTTGCATACCTGGCGAAACTGGATTCTTTTGTATTTTCTCAACGCGAACTGCATGCATTTCAGATGGGGTGGTTTGGTATTGGCGGATGGGCTTGGGCAAAAAACAACTTGTACTCTCAACCCAATGGCGTTGATGACTCTGATCTTTGGGACAATGTGATGGCACGCGCTGCCATTTGACCGACAGAAATGGAGAGGAGCTAGGAATTTTTACTTGTATGAATAAGAGGCCTTAGTATTTGTGGGTCAGTAGTGGGCTGCTGACGCTGAGAGTGGGACGATTTAATAGTTCTGCTATTTGTGGACGAAAGAAAAGATCTTTTCGTGGCGCATGATCGTGGCTTTCTTGATGTGATTTCTTTCTTGTCATTCCAGGATTCCCTTGCATCTCTTGCTCTCTTCTAATCTTGACGACGTAGTAAGATTGCCTGTCCGCTCAAGTACCACCCACTCCTCTTTCGTCGCCCGACTTAAGCTCTCCAAACCAGACGTAATATCCAACCATTAAATGCAAAACCTTCAATTTTTCCCTTCCGAAACGCCATATCTCAACAGGGTATCATGCAACCACGCCTCTCCCCATCCCCACCTCACATGCTCCTCCCACCTCCAACCTTTTCCCCTCCATCGAGTCCCACATACCGCGGCTGTATTCCCATTCTCAAACTAAGTGATTCGGCAGCAAGAAATTCGCAATCCCCTCCTTGACCCTATACTCATGCCCACAATTTCCACACCGCAACATCCCCTCACTAATCTGCGTCTCCAGCAACAGCGTGTGTAGTTCCCCCATCATCTTCTCGTCTGCCTCGAGCTCTTCTTTCGTGGGGGCTTGGGCGGGGAGTGTTGGGAATCCTAGCTATTCATCGATAACATTCTTCGTTAGCTTTTCCCCCTCTCTCTTTCCCTTCTTCTGTTTTTGTGCGGGGCTTGGAAATGGTTTGGGGGGGAGGGAATGGGAGATGGGAGATGGGAGGAAAGAGGGGGAGGGGAATTTACCTCGGAGGCAGTAGTCATCAGAGCAGCCCAATCAACTCTGGGCAGAATATTGTATATCAGCGCCGGATTCGCTTCGATTGTGTCTGATACCAGCTCGCAGTCTTTGGGGTGGAGGGGGAAGGAAGCGGTGCTGGATTTGCAGGCTTTGACGGCGCAGGTGAGGAAGTTTAGGGTTAGGACTTTCATTGTCGCGTCGCGGGTAGTTTTAATTATTCGCTTTCGGTGTAAGGAGTTGTGTGTCTTGGAATTGGAGAACTGTGAGCGAGGATGTGGTGCAGGATTTGTTTGGGGGTTTTGTAGCAGTTGGTGGTTGTTTAGAAAGATTTTTGGATGTCGAGGTGCCGTTCAGATTAGATTAGATGTCGGCGTTAAGATCTTCCGGGAACAGGTGGTGCTGCCTCTCCCCTTTTTAATCTCAACTCTAGCTCGCTTGATTGACCAACCGATCAACTCCTGTTTGAAAAATGTGTCCTCTTCATACATTGAAGTTACGACTTGATACAGTCTTTGTCGCGCAGTTCCTGTTCTGTCTACAACAGTGGACTGCAAGTTCTGGGAGAGGATAAGAATGTATGTTCGTCAAGGCAAGTAGGGAGTAAGTAATGGAGTCAATTAATGTTAGGGCAGAGACAGGAGTCTTGGATACGGGGTAGAGAGTGAGTTAATAGCAGATTCTGTAATGATGGATTGCAGTGGATGGGAGGTGGAAGGCGGAAGATTGGGAAAGTGATTAGAGTAGATGTGAGATGGTGTAGTAGAACTATAACACTATCTCCTAGAAGACTACGGAGACGGGGTATCTTGGAACGGAAGCGCAGAGAATGGGAAGCAGGATTGAAAAATTCGTAACTGTATATTCATGCCATGCTTTTCTCCGTGAACTTGCTGCTTCTTCCCTTTTTGCTATTCATCCGAATATAAACCGCAACGCAACCCAAAATGACTGCCAAAAAGAGACCCTTTTGCAGGATGCTGAAGCCCTCGACCTGAGTAGTATCAACCTCGGCCTCGCCAACGACAGGGATCGCTGCAATGGTGGTAGCAGCAGCAGCCGGGGGAGCAGTCTCGGGCTCGCTCATCCCCGGTTGAAATTCGGCATATCCGTATTCGTCATCTGTAAGCGCGAACAGACAGACGAATCAGCAAGTCCAATTGACAATGAAAAGCGACAGCGAGGCTAGGAGAGTACTTTATAGCTCGACGTGGATACCTTCTTCTGGCACTGGCAACTCTCCGCTCTTTGTGATCTTGACGGGTTTGATGGGCTTGTCGCCTTGTCCCTTGGGTACTCCCTCGATCGCCTTGACGATTTCGTAGCCCTCGAGGACCTCGCCGAATACGACGTGCTTGCCGTCGAGATGACTATTTCATAGTTAGCAGTGTTTGAATAGAAACTGAAGTTGTTACTGACCCTGGGGTCGATGTGGTGATGAAGAATTGAGAGCCATTGGTGTCCTTTCCGGCGTTGGCCATGCTGAGAAGACCGGTCTTGGAGTGCTTCAACTTGAAGTTCTCATCTGGGAACTTGTTGCCGTAGACTATACAATATCAGTATAAATCCAATTGCACTACTTGATTGCACGTACTCGACTTTCCTCCAGTGCCATCACCCTTTGTGAAATCACCTCCCTGAATCATAAAGTTTGAGATAACACGGTGGAAGGTAGATCCCTCGTATCCAAAGTCGTTCTCGCCAGTAGCCAATGCTCTGAAGTTCTCGGCGGTCTTTGGGACAGTCTTGCCATAAAGACCCATTACAATGCGACCCAGATGTTCGTCGCCATGGCTAATATCGAAGTACACCTTGTGGGTGATCTTGGGGCCTTTGACAGCTTGGGCCGTCTGGGCGAAGAAGACAAATGTAACGGTGAGGATGAGTAGTACAGAGACTACGAACCGGTGGATGGTGAACATCTTGACGGCAATTCGTGGATTTTCGAGGGTTTGTGGTGTTATTGTAGAAGGTTTGTAGAACCTCAATTGAAGGGGGGAAGTTGACGCTCTGGTCGTTTCGGATAGGTGTTGATTACAACTAGCGCCACGGTCACATGTTCACGAGGTCCGTGCGATGTTTCAACGACATCTGTAGAGTTTGGCGGAGAAACAGCTCTAGCAGAGTATTTGCAGCTTCAATTGCTTCCTTTCTGTCACGATGGTAAGATATAGCTCCTCGTTGTACCTCTGGATATGCACTGATGTTCACAGGTCTTCATACTAGGGATTAATTTCCCGGAAAACCGGTTAATCAAGGTTCGCAGCTTCTGCACGCCATTCCAACCTCAACCTAACATTTTCTCCAGAAATCCCTACAAACATTCTATGGCATCGGCCACCAACACTCCTCCCGTATCTTGGCAAAACACTCCATCATCCCCACTCAGAGACTCGGTGGCATTTCCGCGAAGACAATTTCTGCCATCACAGCCGAGCTCTCGGGCATGACGATCGAGACGGACCTGCGGAGGAAGATGCAAGATAACATCCGTCGCTTGAGGGACATGGGTAGTTATAGGGGGAGGCGGCATGCTATGGGTCTACCGGTGAGAGGGCAGAGGACGAGGAGTCAGGTACGTTTGGCATATTTGTGGGCATGTTTGACCGTGCTAACCATGGTAGATCTTGACGGCGAGAAAGTTGAATAGAGTGGAAAGACACAACTAGAGAGAGCTCGGAGGGACGATTGTAAAACATGGAAGGCTGCATTCTTGGCGTCAGATGTGGGATGTAAAGTACAAATGGACATCAATAGAAAGATTACCCTCCAGGCAGTGCGCCATTGTGATGTAGTATTGTCCTCGATGTTACCTATTGATGCGCGTGTTGTTGTCTATCCCTACTGCTAATGATGTCTATTTGTTCGCCTGATTCTCGTGTTGGCCTCTTGCGTTACAGCTTTATCTATCTTTCGATTTCCCCCTGCACAGCTGTTATGAATTTGAGTATTCCAGTTGCTGAAGACGCAAGTTGGCCTTCTTGACTATTGATGTGATCACATGATAAATCCCCGTCTAGTGAAGTTGGAAGTAACGCATGCTACACTGCACTGGTCCTCATAGAAGGTATCGATGCATTAATGTAAATATGTAGAATACGCATCACCTTGTGCGATAGATGCAGACACATCCCACACGCATAAGATTCCAAATCCCAAGAACGCCACTGTTAAATTTATTGCCATTGCCCCAATATCACACTGCGTAAATTCACACCCTCAGATGTTTTCACACAGGCATCATCCTCGAGCCTCCCATTTCCCGCGCTTAGACACTTTGGTCGCCAGCCTCTTTGTCACCTGCGTCTGCATTTGCTGTTTCAACGAACCCGAAGGCGGAGTCTTCCCAATGTTCTTGTTCGCCCTGCACACCGCGACAAGTTCAGGAGCTCGATTTAGCGCCCTTGCCTTTGAATTTGCCATAATTTTCGATTTCGTTGCCAATTCGGGTTCGTATTCCTCGTCATCATCAGCATCTTTCCACTCCGGCCATGCCTCATCATCCACGTTGCGCTTTCGCTTCCTCTTGATAGCCGTTCCCTGTCCGACTTTCTTCGCAGCAGGGTCTCTCTCTCTCTTCAGCGGCATCTCTATAACCAGCTTGTCGTTCCGTCCTGCATCAGACTCAACCTTTGTCTCAGAAGCACCCGCATCCTCATCCCTATCCACTATCCCCCTCAGCTCCTGCCTCTTCCTGAGCAAAAATTCCCTCTCCTCCCCCACCTCTAGCCCAACCCTCTCCCTCTCCTTCACCGCAAACTCGCTCAGTATAAACGGACACTCCCAAATCCCTGGATCGGGGGCTGTCCCAGTTTCAGCTTTGATGCGTGCGGCCTCGGCTTTTTGAATGCGGACGATGGAGCCGTAAATGCGGACTTGGTCGAGCAGCCAGCATTGTTGGCGTAGAGAGTCGATGGTTTCTTGCTCGGGGGAGGGTGATGAGGGGTGAATGCGCTGGAGGGTGTCAAATGTTGTTTGTAAGGGGGAGCAAATAGGCGCTTCTTCAGCTTGGCACTCGAGGACGAGAGGTATAGCCTTGGTCTGAGGAGTTGGTGAGGGTATGTCAACTTCGTTCTTCGTACTTAGTGCTGGAGAGTTGGCTGCGCTGGTCATCGGGCTGCTGAGAATTTCTTCGAACTTGCGTCTTAGGCAATTCCATGCTTGCGCCATGGTTGGGTCTGCAAAGGGAAGTTTGGTATATTGTTGTCGAGGCGATGATAAATGGGCTGTTTGATGTTGAGAGTTGGCGGGTTGGTCGATGTTGAAATTGGATTGCCTTGCTGACTTGTGAAAACTGTTGTCTATTCACTGTGAGTCGATGCGGTCAGCTCCGCCTTCATTCGTTAGAGAGTCTATCGGGTGCTTTGAAGCAGACGTTGTTCAAAGCTGCACTGCGCGAGTCTCCAAAGCTTTGCGTGTTCTTTCTCCTTGCTAAATTGATTGTTTGCCGGATGCTAGGGTGGGAGGGCAAGTTCCTGGTTGAAAGGCCAGGTTATCTTTTGACCCGACATACAATTCAATGCAGCAATTCATATAAGTAAAGTATCCTGGAAGCCGAGGTGGCCCCGTTTAAAGCTGGCAGTATATGAATTGAAGTAAGCACGAACTTGAAAGAAATTGGAACTGCTAGATACTCCAGAAGGCTTTATGGGTGCGGTTATCGATGCAGCTGATGCATTCAACGTGAACGAAGATGCCAAGTTGCTTGATCCTATTGGAAGCGAGTCAGTCTTGACGCGAAATAGAGAGCGCCGGTTAGTTCCCACAAAGCGCGATTATCAATACGCTTAACCTTCTAACAATCACACAGTCTTGATGCTGCTGCCTCTGAAAGAAAGTTGAAGGGAGATGAGGCTAAAGTTTGGATCCTTCTGCACAATTCCAAGAAAGCAAATAGCGCCATGAACGTATCAGACGATTGTATATGGCTGCCTGAGACTTGGGATCTCACGTATTGCCCAGAATGTCGGGTTGCAATCAGAGAAGCCTCAAACTTCGGGGTGTGTGCATTGCGACGAGATATACGATGTCATAGAAAACTGGGATGATGCTTGCGTCGAGTACCTTGATGTAGGGAAGATGACATAGCTTAGATTCTGACAAGCAAATAAAATCAGGGTGACTGACGTATCAAACAAGGGCAACGAAGAACATTCAGTGGGTACTAGTGGAATCCTAAACTGTACTTTCTTCTTGTTGATTATTGAATAATTATTCCGAGAAAGCTTGACTAGTGTAAATATCACTATGGTTTCAATCGTCTCTCGCATATGTACTCCGCTTCCTCAGGGCTGGACCATAGTACCGCAAAGCAATGGTAGCGGGGATCCCAATAAATGTTGCAATAAATGCCAGCAGGCTGTTACCCCAGCCATAACCAAGATTATTATATCTAGTTCAAATACCCCGTTAGAACACTGAAATGGAGTATAGATGCTGGAGCCAGATGGTAGTTGAAGAACTTACAGACTTGGTGCAATTAGAGGCAATGCGAAAGCTAAAATACTTCGTAGGACGATGACAGCGGCCATGGCGCTTGCTGCATACTTTTGGTATGTGTCGATTATATAGCCCATAACGCAAAGTATTTCGAGGACAGTTCCTCCACCATAAATGGCCGCGCCAATGTTCCTATAAATATGGGTCAGCATATACCGGTTGCTCGACGGCGTAAAAATTGTTTGCTTCTACCCTCTTGTTCGAAGTTCGAAATCCGAATCGATCACCTATACTCAACATATGGAAGAGAGGGAAGGGGACCAAAGTGCTAAACGAGATAAGAGTACTCACGGCATAATCCAGTGAACGTTGGGTCGGGCACTCCATCCGTACCAGAATAACCCCACCGGTATGATACAAGCTCCGAAGATGAGAATAGGAAGACGAAATTCTGGAAGGCCTTGTCCACCATTTTTTGCGCACAGCTTCGCATAATATCGATCGGCAATTCGCGTCCCAACTTGCGAAGCTAGACCCATTCCGATAAATAATGAAATGTAGTTAAGTGACCCAATAGAAATAGATTCCTTGTAAGTATCCGTCCAGACATTCGGGAAGGTGGCAATCAGGAGATAGAGTATACCCCATAGGTATGCACAATACAAACTCCAGACTTGAACAATAGGTTGAGTTCCGAGCAGCTTGAAGGGTCTAATGGCACTAATACGTAGTAGCTCTGGCATAGATACGCTGTCGTGTTCGGTGTATAAATCTGGGTTTTGCGTGCTTTTTTGCAACCGTTTACATTTTCTCTGCAAAAGAACTGGAGCATATGTCTCGCGGAAATATGGGAGTCCAACAATTTGTACCGCAGCGCCAGCTATCGAAACAACGTAGAAACACCATCTCCATGATGTATACTGGACCAAGAAACCACCCGCGATAGGACCAACGACAACCCCAACAAGAGGTGCGAGCACGTAAACTGCAATGGCTTGGCCTCTTTCTTGGGGTCGAAATAAATCCGCATTGATTCCACTTCCAATCTGTATCTCAATTATTAGAATTTGAAATTCTTTTGCAGATTCATAGAGAACTTACAGCAAATGGACCCGCTCCACCCAAGCCAGCAAGGAAACGGAAAGCTATCAGTTGGTTCGGAGTCTTCGCGGCACCACAAAGAGTATTGAATGTAATGTAGAACAGATTACATGATTGAAGAACTATCGATCTCCCAAAAACTTCCGACAGTGGGGCTGTAAAAAGGGGTACGATCGCAGTGCCTAACAAGAATACTGATAGAGCCAAGACGACAAGGACGGTCGATTCGAAGTGAAGTTCTTGTTGGATAGTATACAATGCTGGGGCCATGGTAGCTGAGCTTATTGAAGACAAGAAATTGAATAATGACATTGGGAGAAGGGACGTCCATTTCCGACGTGTCGGCCAATTCTTGGGATTTTCTGGATCATCAGGGCCATCCCACGTTACCTATTTTGTTTAAGTATTAATTGATTTGATGTACCTAGGACGGGGTGGAGTTCTTGGCCGGAGGATATATGCTCACCAGGTTGGGATCTAATGAAGCCGCTTGTACGGCAGGACGAGGAGTCGGCTGAGCAAGCTCAACAGTATTGGTACTTCCAGTTGATACCGTATTGATGTGTACATTCTTGTTGGCCATAATACTTCGGCAAGGGCTCCAGGGCTAGAGAGAAAAGGTGGTGGATGGTGTTGGCCACGAAGATTAACCAACCGCCGTAAAGATGTCGACGCGTTGATCAAATAAAGGGCATGTAGCGATTGACGATTGTGATAATGTATCGATGCCCCTTTTTACTTTTTTTAGAAAATGTCTTCTGGCAGTTGGAAGCTTCTCGAATACATTGAGTTCGAAGTGCGGCACGGGAGAGGTTGCTGTTGCAAAGAGAGGGAAATAAACAAACCGGTATTTTTATTACCGGCTCCGATCCGCCCTGCCCCTGCATACTCGCATTTTATATACTCACATTCTTTTAAAGTTCTGACTGTCCCACTCTTTCACTCCATAAATATATACTCCGCACCACTTACAGCGAGAAGCTTAGATCCAACGAGTACAGGGCCTCCAGAGGCCCAGCTCACTCTAAGATTGGTTTTGTTTTGTATTTATAAGGATTTATACTAGGGTAAAGAGCGAATTGGAGCTATAGGATTCTATGTATCTATGCTAAGTAGTGAACTTATAGTGTAACAGCCAGACTTAAAAGACTGCGTACCGTTGATGCCTGAATGCTGATGAGACGCGAAGCCCTCAAATAAGCCTCCCTCCTACGCATAAGAACACAACCACCGGACCACAACACAATTACAATATTATTGGAATTGATCGAATAGATACATAAGAAGCCTATAGATAAGACCTACTTTTTAGAATCGATTTTACTTAGTTCGTCCTTCCGCTTGCAATCTAGAGACTAGAGCTGAGATTTATAGCTTGGCGCTTCAGTTATTCTAGCCCTTTATCTCCAAAGAGCAAGTCTGACTAGCGCATTCCAAAAGTTATGACATGAGAGAGTCAATTTGTTTCATTCGATACAGCCCAATGTACTCCTCAGCCCTATGGATTTAAAGTAGTTTTAGAGAACAGAAAAAAAGACATGTGGATACTGCATTCAATCCCTTTCCATCGACCCTGGCAGGTGTGCTGGACACTCTATTTCTATGCTTGACCCAAAATTGACGAATTTTAGCAATTTGTCTTGCAAAGGTCCTCAACCTGCCTTCAAAAGAAGATGGGAAGTTTTCTCCTGTTCAGAAGGATTTTATAGGGACCCATGGGCTGTAATACTTTACTTTCAAGTCAATGCAAAGCCTGAACATTCTTCAATTCACAATCCACAGGTGGCAAGAGAATGCTCATATTATTGCTTGGACAAAGCAAGCTCCTGGAAGGGGTAGGTTTTAACGAGTTTAGATGCTCAATTTTATACCCACATATGGTGTGAATTCAAGGAGTCATCATAAGCTTTCTCAAAGAACTTCGAAGCGGCGAGCAATATTTAAAGGCCTTATCCTCATATACCAGCGAACAGACAAACAAGCATCGACTCCAGCTACGACATGGCCTCCTCAATTCAAGGTTCCATGTGCGATCTGACTGCAAGCTCCCAGCGCTACACCATCCCGACCATACTCACTCGAGCAACCTCCCTTCTGACCCGCGCGCTCTCTCTCGTCGCCCTTTATGTCGCCCTCGGCTTCGCCCAGCTCATCAACTGCTTCTTCTTCGCAATTATCTTCTTCTTCATCCTAGCTCCCAGCTACTTCTGGTCAATCATCTTCCCAAAAGTACAGGAAGAGGACACCATGATAGACAGACAAGACGTGGTTAGGGATTCCATGCCGAGGCGCCGGGACACGGATGATATTTCAGTCTTCAATCTTGATGGAAACCATAGGGCTGGACAGCCTTCTGAGGTGAACAATGACTTCTCCATCTGGCTGCAGTACAAAAAGCCTGATATGGGGAAAGACCCGAGATCTGGAGAAGAGAGTCATAGTGGATCATGGTTGGAAGGGCTGGAGGAAGACGCCGTCGAATAAGAATCGGAGGATGAGCCAGTGCCATGCACACAAAAATTAAAGAGAAATCACCAATCAAGCGCCGATATGTTCTGATTTTGAGACGATACTTTGCCCTAGATGGAAGGGTCTAGGGTAACGAACACTAAGCATCGATGAAGGGAGCATCTTGACAATACGCACAAGAATAAAATAGAAGTCCGACATTTGGTTTGGAAAAAAATGACATGTAATGGTCTTGGTATAAAATGAAACTCAGTAGTTCCCGCATTGTCTCCAAGTGTTGGTTGTTGAATAGGGGGTGCGAAGTGATCCCACGTGATTCGCGTCCTACACTTGATTATGAAAGCGTGACTTCGCACAGCCCACGATGACATTTCCCTCCCCTCCCTTTATATATCCTGCTTCCTGCCACTTCCTCTCCACAAACAAACCACAGTTCTATTATTCAATCAATATGGCGACCACGACTCCAGCCCCAGGCGAGACCAGCTTGAAATCCCTCCTATCGACACTCGTCACGAGTCTCGACCCCGAGACCTTCGTCTTCATTACCGTTCCACCTAAGCATGAATATCCATCAACTCTACTCACCCATATGCTCTTCAAAGAAGCCGAAGGGCTGACCATGATAACAACAAAAGCATCCGCTGAAGCCCATGGCCTGGATTACATCTTTCCATGTGGCATGGTCACCTTGGACGTGCACTCAAGTCTTGAGGCCGTTGGATTTATGGCTGCGATAACGAGGAAATTGACTGAAAGGGGAATTGGATGCAATCCTGTTAGCGGATATTTTCACGACCACTTGTTCGTGCCGGTCGGACGGGAGGAAGAAACTTTGGAAGTGCTAAGTGAGATGGCTGCTGCCGCCAAAGCGGATGTATAGAATGAAATGGATGGAGTTGCAAGGTATTTGAGGCCTCAATTTATGGTAGAATGTCACTAAAATCATTACAGACATCCAATCCGAAAAGGGGCATTGCTTTTCATATGACTCGTTCATGAACAAGGGCTTCGCCTCCCAAACGACCCCTCACCATCCAAAATTGACTGGAAATATGCACCTTACTTGAAACTCAGTACTAGCGCAAAGCGACCCAACCGGAATAATATAGAAACATTGTTTTTTTCATCGCCTGCCCTCGTATATGCGCAATGTCCAAGTTGGAGATTCCTAGCAGATCTTTGTAATTCTTTCGAGGATTCTCCACTTGTTTCAACTTTCTGCAAAATTTCAGATTACAGTGTCATCCAACGGCTTTTGCGCCCAGACAATATGGCTAGAACAAGCCGGTCAGTTCTTCAGCTTTCGAAGATGAAAGCTACAGACTCACAAATCATGCAATGCGTGTGTACGCTTGTTGCAAAGTGCCTTTCTCACCGATGGTAGGAAAGCCAAAACTTCTTCAGGGGACCAACCCCGTGCGTTTGTAAAGGCTCGAAGTGAAATTCCCTCTAGCCCTTCGAGGAACATGGACAGATCACAGGCTCCAATCTCTTTCTAGGGGGAAGAGGTCAACGGCGAGATCTGACTATGGACGAGGGAACCATACCATTCTTTTGTCTTTAGGCCACATTCCCACTGGAATTGGAATCAGTCGGTGATTGACATTCTCGAATCCTGCGTCCCTAACCCATTGTTCTAGTTTTGGTCCTGGTTCTGGCTCACGACCAAAAACTTTTATTGCTGCAATGACTTCATCTGTCCAGACGTTAGGGGGACTGCCAGGGACAAATGTTCCATCAGTAGAATAGAATTGCATATCGAAGTCCTGGAACTCAACCCATCCTCCCGGCTTCGTGAATTGGAATGCTTGAGCAACGAGACGAGGCCAGTCGACAATAGACCCTGCAAGATACCGGCAATGAATGAAATCAAATGGTCGGGAAAACTCCCACGGCCTTTCAATGTCGTCCACTTCAAAAGAAACATTAGGAGGAACGCTATAATAGGTTAGCCATTTCAAGAGGATGAACTGAGGTACGATCGTACAGGTTTGGTTGGACTGGGCTAAGATCATTTCCAAGAACCTAGAGCTGTTAGTAATTCACAGTTCGCGAAGTACGAAGGGTAGCAGATTTACACTAGCAGATGGATAGGCATCGCCTAGGTAAAGGTAACGTTAGCTCTTGTCTGTACGTGTATTGGGCTGACAAACCGATTTCAATAGCCCAAATTCCAGTGCCAGTCCCAAGATCGAGGATTCTTTGAGGATTAGACCCAATTGGCGCAAGAAAAAGTTGACCATCGCATCTTAACGTCAATAGATGATGAAAGAGATCCAGACGATCGTTCTCAATCTACTACTTTTCAACATCTTACATGCGCTATTAATGGTCACGATACGTACGTCGTCATTCGGGAGAAAGTATTCTTTGGCAGTTAGTTTAGCGTGAGAAGGGGATCTGATTCAAAGATGGTACTTACGTGTATCATCTTGAGCATGATATCGTCGACCATTCTCGTATTTGAAGTTCATGATGCTAGAACTCAGAGAGGCTGTGAAGCTCACTCTTTGGCAATTTTAGTACTGCTCAGCAACTGGACTTGCTGAATCCAACTGGACTTACACTTCATCACCATAAGATGAATCGTCGTCTCTATTGGAGCCCGAATCCTTCTCAAAGTTAGTGCCATAAGAGTGAACGAAGGAGCTAGCTTACGTCTTCTGCCTCGATGCTTTGCTGAGGCTGGTCGGTACTAGTATTTGCTTGCGTTTCTTGCGCTGAGGTCAATTCTTCATGCTGGTTGTGACTGGCGGCTGTACTCTGAGGTCCTTGCTGAGAGTCTGATTGTTGCTGAGCGCTCGCGGGTTCACTGATCTTTCCGCCGCCTGGCTTAAATTCCGGGTTTGGAACGACGACTTCTGGCTTACTCGAATCAAGATGCCGACCATGAGCGGCTTCGTTTTCGGGTTCGCTAGTCGAGGGATTCATTGCTACCCGAAATGCGTTGTGAAGTTGCTTTTGATAACAAACTTGCGACTTGGTGGAGTTTTACGGGAAGCAATCGGAATGGGCCCATCTTTTCATCTCCTTGAAGTGGATTACCCAGACCCCGGATGAAACTACACTACTTTGGACGAATTACAGGGGTTGACCGCTGTCAAGCATCCACAACGGTAGCAAGTGCCCGCTCTGTCCAGTACGACCCTTGAATGCCCCGCTACAAACGTGCAGGGAATGGGGGCACGGTTCCATGTTTTCGGAAACTTTCCCGCTTTGCGCGCTATCTATCTATTTCTCCTATCATCTCAAAAAAGGGTGTTGAAGCTCTTCTCCATCGTTTGCATCTTTCTTCTTTAGTCATTTCATAACCAAATGCCCGCCGTTGATGTCCCTATACACCTCGACATGATGAATTTGGACCACGCGAACCCGACTGTCATCCTAGGAACCGCATTATGTGGACTCGTTGCGTATTTTATAGTCTACAGGCTGTATTTTCACCCACTTGCAAAGTTTCCAGGCCCCAAGCTCGCAGCATTTCATATCTACGAAGGCTATTACGATGTTATTAAGAAAGGGCAATACATATTTGAGATCGGAAAGATGCATCAAAAATATGGTTAGTAACCGCATGCATAGTTTCACAAGTATTTAGCCTCCCTAGTCGCCTGCTGACTCCCGTGTCCACAGGTCCCATTGTGAGAATCGGGCCTAACGAGGTATTTAGCAACCAGCACTTTGCATGTATTGACGATGATCTGAGATTGACAAATGGTAAAACAGGTGCATATTCTGGATGCTGAATACTATGAGGTCCTCTACTCCCAAACAAATAATAAAGTAGATAAATACCAGTGGTTTTATTCCATGCTGGGAAACCCTCAAGCCACCTTCCCCACGATCAATTCGGATGTGCACAAGCTGCGACGAGCCACCCTTGCGCCTTTCTTCTCAATCGCTGCAGTCTCGAAGATAGAGCCGCAAATAAACTTGCTTGTAAGCCGCTTGGCGGATCGCATGGCAACCTGTGCCAAGGAAGATACTGTCATTCCTTTGTTTTACGCTTACAGGTTCGTCTCTTTTTCTCGTGGACTAGTCGCCCTTGAGCTTGATGCGAGAGCATAGGCATCATTAAATTATTGGCTAGTGTTTGTCGGCATATATAAACCTGCAAACTTACTGATTGTGCAGATGTATGACGGTGGATATGATCTCGGAATATGCGTTTGGGAAACAATTAGGTCTTTTGGACCGAAAAGATTGGGGTAAATCATTTTACTCCGCTTGGAGAGCGCTGTGGGAGCTTTCAGGCATCATCCGTCAGATACCTGTGATAATGGACATTTTTGATGCGATGCCTCGTTGGGTACTCCAAATAGTCAATCCGGGAGCGTTGGAGGTGTTGGATATGAAAGACGCCACCGATGCGCAGATGGCAGCGATCTTGGATACGGATCCTAAGGTTTACAGCCAGAGGCCATTCCCGACAGTCATGGTAGGATACTTGCAGCGCTCTCTTTTCCAGCTCTGGCATGTCTCGATGAAGACTACTATGCAACTTTGAGCCGCATGGGTTGAAACAGATTGTTGTTGCTAACTTGCCTTTTTCGCAGTGGGAAGTTGCTCAATCCGATATATTACCACCAGAGGAGAAGACATTCAGAAGGCTTGCGACAGACGCCAATAGTATTCTAGCAGCTGGTTTTGAGACCACGGGGAACGTGCTCACTTTGATGACATATCTCGTACTCCAGCACAAGGATATTCACGAAAGGTTAAAGACTGAATTGAAAGACGCAATCCCCGATGAAAACGAAATCCCTTCGTGGCAGGTCCTCGAGAAACTACCTTTGCTCTCTGGTATTGTAAAGGAGAGTTTTAGGTGAGTTATGCAAAGAGATCTCTCACCAACGTTTAGTACTAAAATATGATGATACAGGATGGCAGTTGGAGCCTTCTCGCGTCTCCCACGTGTCAATCAGAAAGAATCAGTTCAATACAAGGAGTGGACGATCCCGGCTGGAGTAAGCTTTGGATCTGATATTCGCGGTAAATTACTAACTCTCACTCAATAGACTGCTATCGGAATGTCTAATCTTTTTATCTCAATGTCTCCTGATATCTTCCCATCTCCAACAACTTTCGATCCTGATAGGTGGGGAGCGCCAAACTCCCCAGAACGTCGACGCCTTGAGCGACATCTCCATCCTTTTGGGAAAGGTACTGAACTTCCTTCTTGAGTTTATTCGTTAGTTGTGCTAAATAATGTTCCTTAGGATCACGAATGTGTATAGCGCCCAATATGGCGTATGCCGAGCTCTACCTCACTATTGCTACTATTGTCAGACGATTTCCGAATCTAAGAGTATGGGAGACAAGCGAAAGGGATATGGAATACGTGCACGACTATTTCGCAGGGATGGCCAGACATGAGAATGATGGATTGCAGGTCAAAATTGGATGATGTTTTCAAGTGACCAGAGGAAAAATCCACGACACCACCGATAATTAGTTCGAACAGGCTTGGATAAAGGGCTGCTTTCACCTACAAGGTTTGAGCCCCGTCCCTTTGCGGGCAGTCTATGTATGTTTTACATATCTTTTCAAATCGTACTGCAGTTCCAAATTCTTTCACTGCAAAATTTACCAGCTTCGGAATTATTGCCGAAACGAAGAAAGGGTGCATTGGTGCATTGCATTCGCGCCAGACGCATAAGGGTCCGCAAATGATTGCGTGCTGCATAAATTCAGCGCGGTCCAATTATGTACGTTCCTATTGGTACCGTGCTATGCGGAGTACGGGTTCTCCGTTCCGAGCCCCCATTTATTGCTGGGAAACCCTGGTTCTACAACAGAAAGTACAAAATAGAATCGATTGATTGATTGATTGTTCATTGAAGTATAGTAATAAGCTACCGAAAACTTCAGGATAACAACTATGAGTTGCAGCTAGACTGATACCACTTTGAACAACAAGTTAAGTAACAACCCTGAACCCCTTCCACTCCGGTAACGCAGCCCTAATCGTGTCCTTGTAGGCCGGGATGCCTCCCGCCCAATTGGTCTGCTCGAATGCTTTCCCAGGCAGACTGCCTCCCATATACGTACTCCTAGTTGTTGGAAACAGACTCGCATTACTCAGGTCATTGATTTTCTGTTTCCACTCAGCCGAAGCTTCTGGAGTCGGGTCTACGAACTTCAATCCCTCGCGATGGATCTTCTTGATCGCGTCGGCGATCCAGCGTCCTTGGACTTCGACACTGGACGGTCCGTTGGAGAGGAGTGTGGGACCATGGGGGCCGTAGAGATGGAACATGTTGGGGTATCCGCTGATGGTGGTGCCCAGGTAGGTGTTTGCTGCTGATTTCCACTCCTCTTTCAAGGGGGTGCCTTTGACACTCTGAAGTCCCATGTTTGTCATACCTCCAGTGACAATGTCGAAGCCGGTGGCGATGGCAATTACGTCGAATTCATGGAGTGTTCCGTCACTGGTCAGAATTCCCTCTGGTCTGAACTCAGCAATGGACGTCTTATTAATGTCAATAATATCCACATTCGAGCGGTTGAACTGCTCGTAGAAATTCTGCTCCAGACAAGGTCGCTTCACCCCGAAGGCGTGGGGTGGCTCAAGAGGAGCGAGAAGGTCACGCTTTCGTGGATCGCCAATGCGGTCGCGGACGTGCTTGGCCCAGAAGTCATAGGCGCGGCGATTAGCCTTGGGGTCAATCAACATATCCTTGTAGTTCCCAAGCCAGTATCCAAATCCACCGTGGTCCCAGAGCTTGTGGTAGAAGGCTTCTTGCTCTTCGTAATTATCTTCAAAGGTGTTCTTCTCGCTCCAGCTGAACAGGAAACCACCAAAGCATTTCTCGCGAAGCTCGTAGAGACGGGGATAATGTTTCTTGGAGGCTTGTTGTTCCTCATGAGTCAAAGGCTTCTTGCCCATGGGACAGGCAAGGTTGGGCGTTCGCTGAAAGACTTTCAAGGATCCAACTTCCGGTCCCCATTCCTGGGAAATCTGCACCCCAGAAGCACCAGTCCCAATGACAGCACATTTCTTTCCCTTAACATCCACGCCTTCCTCAGGCCAGAAAGAAGAGTGGTGAATGGTGCCTTTGAATGAGTCAATGCCCTTGAAGTCAGGGATGTAGCGTTTGGCGGCGAACCCGGCAGCAACGACGAGGTATTTGGCCTTTGCAGTACGGCCGTCTTCTGTCTTTACAGTCCATTTCCCCTCGGACTCGTCGAACTTAGCGTCAACCACAACACTATCGAAAGCACAGTCTTTCTTGATGTCAAGAACTTTGTCCACGTGAGCGAAGTAGGCTCGAAGATCTTGATAATTGGGATAATTGGTCGTCCATGTCCAGTCTTTAAAGACTTCAGGGATGGAGTACTCGTACCTGAAGGAAATATGTCAGTGAAGTGCCTCACTTATGATGTCAAATGTTTCGTTGGAATAGGGGGAGGCATACTCAGGGACTTCAGAATCAACACGAGCACCAGGGTAATTGTTCCAGCGCCAAGTACCACCCAAGTCGTTGCCCGCCTCGAAGATGACCGTCTTCAGGCCCAGCTTTCGTAGCTCGTGCAAGACAAAAACACCACCAAAGCCAGCACCGACGATCAGAGCGTCAACTTCGAGATTATCCGCATAGTTTCCGGTCGTTCCTCGGCGATGGGCGTATTCTTTGAGTTCTGAATGCATGTTTGTTGAATTTTGAATGATGATGGCTAACGTCATGCAATGTTATGCGGATGGTTTTTTTTATAAGAGAAATCAGCATGTTGCTGGTGTTTATATATGCTCCGATTCATCGAGTAGAGTGTCTTGCAGTGACAACCATTGGTCACTTGATCCAAGTTCGGATCCGCATTACTGAATATGATGTCTATATGCATGACCACGTGTGGGGGACTTGCGGAGATCCTTGGAGGTGGGTTACCGACTGGCGTTGTGTGCGGCACCCATTGTTTGCGGTTCCGCCAGAGTGAGTACCATCAAGAATGCGGGGTAATAATGACAACGTCTGATGGAGATCTGATTTGCTGTTAAAGCCACTGTGCTGCGTAGACCTTGTAAAATCCATATAGGGAAGTTTGCGTTCATCCAAGCCAATTAGCTTTCGAAATCATCATTGCTGTTTTACAACCTAGATACCCCTGAATAATCTTTCGCTACGCAAAACTACCAAGCGGTGACCACATTTTCCAAAAAGACCAAAGAAGTACTATGGCTATCATCAAGGTGTTCAAAAGAGTTCATATCCCAGGGATCATGCCAAGCATCAAACCCAGTGGTTTCCGGATCCGCATTCGAATCACTTCCCAATGAAGCTGCGTCCATTGCAATGATTCTTCCTTTCAACTCCTCTTGGAGAACTTGAGAGGCTAATAATGCAATATCGGACTTCTTTCCCAGATACCACAAGGCTTCAACGCAGACCTCGCACCGTGTTTTAACTTCTTCAAAAGACCCCGCAATAGCTGCCTCGGGAAACATATCGATCAAAGTTGTCCCAGCCTTACTAAAACTTCTTACAAAAACATCAGTCCATGGTTCTGTGAGCAGTGCCCCCTTGTTGACAGCGCTATGGAATTCCTTTGCTTGTGAAAATGATTCGGATGTGCGTGGACAAGAAGCACTACCTAAATCGGACACTGCGTACGCATCTTCACGTCTGATATTTTCAACCAGACCACTTTCCTTCCGTTTCAATTTTTCAGGCCCCGCGGTCATCTCTTGGTCGTCCATATCATCAATCAGATCCGCTAGGAGTAAGCCAGCGAGATGCCAATGACCACAGAGCACAATATACCAGGATTGGATTCGGGGAGGGAGGGATTCGTGCTGTTGGATACAATCATTGAAAAATAGACCGTAAGATTTGTTCCAATAATCTCGAATTGCCAGTGCATCTGAAATGGCACATTCAAGCTTTTGGCTTCCGGTTTGTCGAGTGAGGAGTGTTTGCAAACGCGTTATTTTGCGGTATAGAAGTACTTTGATGGGTGCTGCATCGCAAAGTGCAGATTCGGCGGCCTCATATGAACACGGCCAGCGCAAAACTGTTTGTTTCTGTTGCGGCATGTTCCTGGCAACTTTCTTGAGCAGCAGCTCGTCCCAAAGATTTGTGTCTTGCTCTAGGGCTTGACGGCCTTGACCGATATTAATCTGTACTGTGGAATCGCTAGAATACTGGACAGCAAATTTCACATCAGACTCGTCGTTCTTGTGGGCGTGACTGTGGTGTACATCGCTGTCCTCATCAGAAACAACCAGCGGACGTAAAGTGATAGCTGAAGAAAGTGTGTCAAACATAACACAAAGCCAAAAGAGGAAGTCGAAAGTCTGTCGGTCTTCCGGCTTTAGAATACCTGCGCGAGTGTTGGAGCTTTCAGTGCGTTCGCGGCTCTTCATCCTCTTTCTGGCTCTCGATTCTAGTTTCTCGATCTTACAACGAATGGAATATATCTGGCGAAGAGCAGTTTCCAAGAACACTGGTGGCCCATTGAGATCGAGAACCTTTTCCAGAAGCGTAGGTTCGGGAACGATACTGAGCCCCAAGGAAGCGGTGATACTTGTTTGACCTTGTTCCTGGCTAGTCTCCCGTGCACAATCACCATGATATGTTTCGTGTCGAACTTCCTCCTCTCGATAGATATTGGAAACTCTAGAAGTCTCATCGGTCAACTCCCGCAATTTCTCCTCTGCATCCAATGGCTTCTGTGTAAGAGCAAAAATAACATGAGCAAATATGACACGGAACGACTCGATTTCCGCTGTGTTCTGGAGCGCATTCTTTGCCTCGTGCCACGATGATTCTTGTATAGACCTATCAAACTCAACGGGGGACACTGTGTTTGAATTGGTAGGATTTGAGAATTCTGTTGGAAATTGAGCTGAACTTCGTTCACTAGCATTGGCCCATTGAGTTGCAAAAGCAGTTATCGATTTCTTCAAGGCCATGTCAACAGCCTTGTCCTCAAATGCCGTCAGTCGTCTGGTTCTCAAAGTAGAGAAGACTTTGTCAAGATGACAAACTCGTTCGCAAATTCTGTTCGACCATTCAGTCCCAAGTCGTTTTCCAGGGCCATCATCTAAGCTGCATCCGTTACGGGAGGCTATTGTCTTTTGAGTGATGCTATATGGGCAAGTGCTTTCTGTGAGCCAACAAGAAAGTGCATTTTCCATACCTAAAGTATTACGTTCAGCGATGGTGATCAAACTCCACGCAACTAATTCTACCTATGTACGTACTGAGGCGTAGAAAAGGAAGGGGTGACCTACTATCGTGATAAATTCGCACCAGGCCAGATGAGATAGAAGCTTTGCTGTAGCTTAAAGCAATGCGGTGTTCCAATGAAATGGGAGAGGGCGATCTTAGACTACGATGGTGGGAACTGGTCTGGCAGAGCAACAAGTTTCTTCGCCCATTTGTGCGGTCCGTATCGGGTTTAGGCGATGATGAGGACCCGCTTCTCCTTCGTTTCGGACTTCGTTCTCTTGGGGAAGTGAATTTCTTATGTACTGGCGGGTTGAAGGTATTAGCCGGGGTGGTTAAATTGGGCGAGAAGATGCTGCTATCGTAGCCAGAATCTGTCTTGGCCAGGGGAGAGCAAATGTTTCCACGGTTCGAAAACCCAGTTTCAATCGATCCTGTCTCATAGCCATAAATGAAACTTGTATCAAGGAGTGACTCTGCGCTGGTTGAGTCTGTACTACAGAACTTTTGACCGGGAATTCCAAGAAACGTTTGATCAAAAGGGCAAGAAAGGGGTAGTTCGAAACTCGCGTTTGTTGTATCTCCAGGTTCCGGGTACAGTTTATCATCGAGATTCGTCAAAGCATCCTCCCATGATGTTTCGCGTCCCATATGTTGTTCCGCCATTTGTTGCTGATATTGACTCGAGCCTCGTCGTTCTTTCCCTTTCGCAACGGCCTGATGGCTCGAGTTCAACCATACCAGGGTGCAGGGCTTTCGAGTTTTGGCACAGTTCGAACATGGCGCTGCAGATTGCGGAGTGACGGGTCCTTCGGATAGAATAATGTCGCACGCCCTCTTTCCCTTCCTGCACTGATCACAGCTGCGATATTGGCGTCGCCCGGTCTTTGAAGTTCCAGATGGTAATCGACGCCTATAGGACGTTGTTCCGATGATTGGTTGTGACATATTCAGTAGAAGGTGATGTATGGTGATACAAAGACTGGGGACGATGTTCTTCTAATCCCACGTAGATGTAGAGGTGAGATAGCTCAGGATCAATGCAAAACTAAGATTGCGGGGAACCCATGTAAGGCGCTCGGAATAGCGGGGAAGATGAGGGGCCCCTCAAATGGAAGCAATTGCGGGTCCCCAACCATTTCCAGGCATCTTGATAGGCCCAGTCTTAGGTTTGGTATCTGGGTAGTAGCGAGAGCTGAGGGAATGCGTTGACTAGTGCTTACTGGAAGTGTACCTACATCTCCTATTCGCATACATACAAGCATCCATGTCAGCCTTTCACAAGAATCACAACTCCCGAAACCTTCAGCGAAACCTTCGAGCTTCTTAGGCTCACATGATGCAAAGAATACTGGAATATCATTACGACCTAGGAACAATTCATCACGATTACTGCAAGCCTGCATAAATTCCACCCTCGACCCCAAACCAAAGGCCAAGAACTTTAGCATCCGCGAACGGCAGCACCTGAGAGCAAACTATTCCTGCAATGCCTTTCTCCCTGTCACACCACCACCATAGATTTGGAAGTCCAGCCCATTGTGCAGTGCCCGGAGAACGTCCAGTCGGTCCCCCAGTGAGCATAAAAGTCAGTCCCCAGCCTTGTTCATGACCTGGGGCAGGATAAAGATCAGGGATTGGGTTTGTTAGCCATGGCTTGGCGTCAGGGATGCCATTGCGGGCGAAACTAGGGAGATTTGGGATCTGGTTCTTGAACATCTCGTCGACGGTGGCCTGTTTCAGGATTTGTGCACCAGTAATTAGTGATGTCCCATTATTAAGCAAGACTGCAAGAATTTCTATTGTTTACTTTAGTAACATGTGCTTGGCGTCTTGTAAACATGGAGACTCACGAGCATATTCCTGGGGCTTTGCGAAACATCCCGCACCACCGCTGTTGAAGCATGACTTCACCTGATCCTCGGTCTCAACAATCAAGGGACGTCGCTGGAGATGATCAAAAGCAGATAATTTTCCATCTGGATTCCGAAAGTTCATATGAGCCAATTTGGCTTTCATATCACCCGAGGGAAACATAGAGATGTTCTTGAGGCCGAGTGGCTGCATGATGTTCTTTTGCATGTAGTCATTGAGAGAAAGACCAGTAACTCTTTCAACAAGAACGCCGGCCCAATCAATATTGATCTACGACAATTAGCAACCAGTCTTTATAGACTAAATTGGGAAAAATTGGAAATTACCCCATATTCCCAGGCCTCACCAGGCTGATTGACAAGAGGTTGAAGCATGTCAAACGAATGTCCAGAGAACTCATCATACCCAATCGGCTTGCTATAGTCCCTCAATTTCTCGTTGAAGAATGTATACCCAAATCCTGCAGTGTGGTTGAGTAGCATTCTGAGAGTGATGGGCTTGGATTTCTCGACAAGCTTGCCATCAGATGTGAGAACTTTTACGTCTCTCAGCTCCGAGGATAGCTTTGCAACCTGCGCAGAATCATCTAAAGCCAGTAAACCCTGTTCAACCAATTGCATACATGCTATTCCGGTAATCATCTTTGTACAGGAGGCGATCCAGAAAATGTTGTCAAGAGTCATTTTTTCCGAGCTGCCAACACCACGGTTTCCAGCCGAATGAGCAAACAGCTCTTCTCCATTTTTGTTGACCACAACAACGGTCACTCCGGGAATGTCGCTCACAGGGTTAGCGCACGCTGCGTCGACTGTGGTACGAAGTCCGGAGACTGCTGAAGTTGATAATTTACTCATTATGAATTTCGTTGCGAGGTAGAATTTCGAAGCGAAGGAATACTATAACGAATTTTGTGTGACAAGGAAAGGTCTATTTAGGTGAAGAATACCCCGGCGACTTCTCTCTATATCTTTCCGAGGGGTTGCAAGGTTGATAACAAGTGTCAGAAGCCCCACCCCTTCCCCGCACCCATGCGTCTCGCACTAAGTAGCACCAACCATGACGTGAAATGCGGGTTCCCTCACCTGCGGACCCGCAAGGCGACAGATTAGATCAGATCAATCTCGGTGGCCTACAAAGTATATCTTTCAACGATTGAGAGAATCGAAGCGGGATTCCTGAGCCGCACAATTATTGAAAGGCCAGTTTCTAATGCGGGCCACGAGTACCACCAATCTATAATGCGACTAGCAGTAAAACAAGTGCATTGTGTCATTACCTACCGTTTCCATTACTCCGTGCGGCGTAAAAGTAAGTACAGTAATTCGAACCCCGCTTTTCCTATAGCGAGTATTTAAATAGTAGTGATAACCAAATGATCTGCTGGATCCAAGCTAGGTACCAGGTCCCGGTACTTGATTGGGCCAGACAGGCCAATAAGTTAGTCAGTCAGTCATTAGTTGAGGCTAAGGGAGCAGCTAACACTATACACTATTCAAAGCGTATCATATAAAACCTACGAGGGAATCGAATTACTTCCACGCCGCATGGAGTAATTGCGGTACTCTAAAAGCTCAATGTAAGGTTCCCTCCGTGCGGTAGTTGGCAAGCTCTAAGGCTAGAGTAAAGGGGTTATCCGTGTCCCCCTGCCCTAACGGGAGTGGTGGCCCCCACTCCCTCGGGGATAGTGGGGGAACAACGTGGAACTACCACTGCTAGGCAGGTCAGGAGGACACGACTGAAGGATGCATCGGGATGTATTTCGCAAGGTAGAACTGAAGATCCGTGCTATCTATATGTCGTCTTTATCTATTCTATATCTAATAGCGTAGGAAGTGGACTGGCTGTTAGATACTTTGTATTTATTACTAATAGCAATTTCCCTGTCAACGCGCAATCGATAACACAAAAACTTTCCATTTGTAAAATTGTTATATACATATAAACGCAAATTAAAAGCTATAGTTGTGGTTTTATTTACGTTAACAGCAGCGTCATGATGGCAAAGCGACAACAAGTTAGGTCAGAGCTCGCTTAAGATAGGGGCCAGGACTCTAAAATACAACGGTAAGTTCCAGACAATATTTGACTAGCTGATTACTCATATCTAACGAGATATTCAAAATGGAGATCTATGTACTAAGCGATGTTTGGAAAGATGGCTCAACAGTTTGTGGATACGTGCCGAATTCCAGAAGCTCTAGAACTATTGAGCGACGGCGGCGGCTAGTGACGCCATTCTTCAATTACGCGCGCCGCGGAAGAAAATTCACGAAAAGTTTCTTACAATATATATATATGTCTCTGATGTTGTCTACGCAATTGATTCTCCGGCTCGCCCCTCTTTCTGTCTTTTCCCACGCCTCCTGCTGTTAATCGCGACTCTCTTTTACGCGACACAGAGCAATGCCGCAGAAGCCGGCTTCCGAGCTTCCTCTGACCGAATACCCGGCCGCGAACCCGTCTTCTTTCAGTCCACAATCTCAGCAACCATCTCTGCGAGCAAGAACTTCTCAGTCCACATCCGGTGGAAATCAATCACCTCAATCGACCGAAAAGGCCTCATTTGCAAAGCTGGGCGGACGTAGGCAGCGGAGTGGTGTGACCTCTACCGCACCGCAAGAAGAGCAGGACGATTTAAACAAGTTTGGAAAATTGTACGAGAAAATCCTCACGTATGGTACCGGAACCCGCTATTCGATATACATCTTACCCGTGGCTCTTATCCTTGCCATTCCCGTGATTGTAGGCGCGACGCAAGTATCGGATGACCCGAAGAAAGATCCGAAAATCGGAGGCGTGAGAGTTGTTTGGTTTTTTGCCTGGTTTGAAGCAGTATGGCTTACGCTCTGGGTAATGACATTCGTCGCGAGGATTATTCCAGGCGTATTTAGCTTCTTTGCTGGGGTTGTCAGTTCAGAGACTAGGAAGTATAAAAGGGTATTGGAAAACCTCCAGGGCATGATTACCATCTTTGGATGGGTTGTCATTTCTTTTGTGCTATACGAGGTTCTATTCAGCACCTCTGCTGATGGGAATACGCCTGATGGCTGGACCAGTGTCTTCAAGAAGGTGCTTGGTGCTATTCTTGTCGCGACTATTATTTTCCTTATCGAGAAGGTATTGGTTCAGCTTATTAGCGTCAGCTACCATTCTCGGTCATATAACAATAGGATAGGGGAGTCGAAGAGATACGTATGTCTTCTTGGAATTCTCTTTGAGGCATGTCGGAAGTTATTTCCAATGTTCGGGCCGGAGTTCCGAGATGAAGACAATATCATGCATAATATCATGGGGGCTTTTGTCAAGATAGGTCGTGGCGATTCAGAGCACAGCCACCGCATATTTAATGGCATGGGACGATTCAACAACAAGATGAATTCCGTTTTTGGAGATATCGCCACGGAGCTGAAGGGTAGAAGCGGTCTCCCCGAGCGGTCTGCCGAGTCGATAGTGTCGGAGTCGCTCGGCAAGACGGCAACAGCCCAAGCTCTTGCTCGGAGGCTCTGGCTTTCTTTCGTCGCGGAAGGAAAAGAGGTGTTGCATCTGAGCGACCTCGAAGAGGTGCTAGGCGAGGGGAACCAAGATGTCGCCAAAGAATGCTTCCTCATGCTCGACCCCGACGAGAACGAGGACGTCACTTTAGAAGAAACGGCCCTGCGAGTGAAAGAGATAGCCTCGGATCGGAAGGCTATCGAAAAGAGCATGCATGATGTCAGTCAGGCTATCAAAGCTCTAGACAACGTTCTGGCATCGGTAGCAGTTCTTCTTTCTATCTTTGCGTTGAGTGAGTCAGATGATGGCGAACCCTTGCCCTTTACTTGATTGTGTGCTAAATTTCATCGCCAGTCTGTTTCCTGGATACGGGCTTTCACTCTATTTTGTCGACTGCTAGCACAACGCTTCTATCGTTATCATTCGTATTTTCCGTGACAGCACAGGAGTTCTTGGGGTCATGTATATTCTTATTTGTCAAACATCCTTATGATATCAGCGACCGTGTCGATATTTCGGGACCAGACGGCATCAACTCCCTAGTGGTTGAGCAGATATCGCTGTTATATACCAGCTTCAAAAGGATCAAAGACTTGGAGTTAATCCAGGTAAGCACAGAAACAATAATAGCACAAAAGGAGACTGACGGTAGGTAGGTCCCTAATAGTGTTCTCAACACTTTGTGGATAAACAATATCAGTCGCAGCAAAAGCTTGCTAGAGCGGATAGATATTTATATTTCCTTTGACACGTCATTCGAAGACATGAATGCTTTACGTCTTGAAATGCAAAAATTCGTCAGTGGCCCAGAAAATAAGAGAGAGTGGCAGGAGGATGTAATGTTACGCTGTTTGGGAGTTGGCAGTATGGACAAGTTGCAACTTCAACTCGAAGTCCGGCACAAGGTTCAACTAAACCCCTATCTTCGAGTCTCACTCTATCTAACAGATATGCAATAGTCAAATTGGTCCGTAGAGCACATTCGAGCGGCACGTCATTCGAAATTAATGTGTGCACTCGTGCTCGCGCTCCGAAAAATTCCTATCTTCGCACCAGGTGGAGGCGCGGCTGCACTTGGGGATCCAACAAATCCAGCATACAGCGTTGCTGTATCTGATGAAGTGGCGGTAGCAGCAAGGAAGAAAGCGGCAGTGGATTTAGATGCAGCAAGACTTACGCCATTGAGCAAGCCGAACTCGGGGAATGCACAACTCCCTACAGACAGAGTCGTTGATGAGGCAACGAATACCACACCTAGCCCTGCCACCCAAACCACAGCTGCAGATGCCATGAAGATGGTGCAACTCAACGAGATTCTGCAAGGCCCGGCAGACGACGATGGAAGAGAAGGGCAAGACTTGCAGAGGATTTCAAGTCCATCTGGAATAGCAGCCGAAGCAAACAATATCCAGAGCAGCGAAAGTTTAAGACTTCAAACGACCCAAAGTCCACAGGGTCGGCGACGGGCTGGATCATCCGCACCTCCACAGGTAATTACTACATCTCAACAAGATCCTCAGGCTTTAGAGCTAGTACCCAGCTTTGGCGAAGCTTGATAAACAGACTTCGAGCTTTCGAAGAAAGGAACTTCCACATGCTCGTATAAACAGGTTCACCATGTTCGTTATATAGACTATCTGTAGAGTAATTACATGTTAATTTTGGTAAATAAAATACTTATGTAAGACTCAAGTGATTTGATATAAATATGGAACCATATCGTTAATGGTAGTTGCTAGCAACTAGAGCGTGCTTCAAATTGCTTGCAATTACTACTAGCAAAGTCTGCAGACGATCAAAAGCGTAGTTTCCAATAGAGTTTCAGGTTTTCACCACTCCACATTGACCCCACTACAATCTCATCTTCCACTACTGAGCGAGTTGGGCAGCAGGTGATAAGACCCATAGAAGACATCACGGTCGGTTTAGGGATAGATTGCATCAACACGCGTGGCAAATCCCCATAGATGCGGGCATTGTCTTCAAGCATTAGATGGGGATGGCTGAGATCGAAGCATATTGATATTTGTAAATTCATTGATCGCATCAAGATTATCTATTAAACTCTCCTCAGCGATAGGCTCTAGGTATTGCAGGTGGAGGACCATAGTTCGGCTGCCCCTGTACTGGGGCCGGCGCACTTGGAGCCCCCCACTGCCATCCCTGTGTGCCCTGTGGCTGATATCCCTGCATTGGAGCCGGCTGGTAAATATTTTGACCTGGTGGAGGACCAGGAGTCGACATCCTATGATTGATATAGCCCTTCCCAGTACTGTTGGCAACCTGTTGTCCCGGGGGGGGAGGGAAATATGTTGGGGGAGCGGGAGACATAGGGGATGGTTGGCTGATTGAGCTGTACGAAGCCGTCCTTCCGTGACCATACTGCTGTGCTGGTCCAGTGCTTTGGGGACTTAGCATAGGTGCCCCTATAGTCTGCGGAGAAACAATATATTGTTGGGGGTTGTATCGCTGTTGCGGATTATATGGCTGTTGAGGATTGTATTGGGATATGGGAGTTGAGGTCATGCTCGCGTAACCACTGTCATTGCGCTGGACTTGCGGCTGGGATGACTTGGGAGGCTGTGTATACATTTGCTGCTGTGGTTGGGGCGTATGAGATGCCGATGTGTAATATTGTTGATGCTGGGTTGGTGGAGGATAGTACGCTTGCTGTTGAGGTTGCGGGGTATTTGATGGTGGTGCGTATAATTGTTGTTGCTGAGGTTGGGGGGTGTTATATGATTGCTGTAGAGGTTGCGGTGTGACTGGGAGAGGTGGGTATGTCTGTGGCTGCTGCACTGGAGCAGGAACGTTGCTTTGAGGATGCGGAGATCGTGGAGGTAGAGGTGGGCCGGGGCTCGATGAAGCTTGACTTCCAGAAATATATTGCTGGGGTGGCAGTACTGACGGCCCTGCTAGAGAGCCAGTTGAAAGCGCGGGAGGTGCATACTGAGGCTGAGTTGCTGGCACAGTGACTGACAGACTAGGGTGTTGTTGATGCCCAGTAGATGAAGATCCGTTGGTCTGATAAGAAGTTTGCACATCAGGTGTGGCTGCCTTTAGTTCTGAGGGGCTTTCCGGAATTGAAGGCGCTGTCCCTTCGCGCTTTTCAATTTCCATTTGAAGTAGTTTCGCCTTCAAGAACATTATTTCTTCTTCCATAGTGAGGGCAACCGTTGTAGTTTCAGAGATAGGAATATCTTCCACCTTTCCTGGCGAAGGAAGCTCTTGCCTTATTTCGCCATCTGTGGCTGAAGTCGCTTGGGACTTATCTAGCTGCGAGTATAATGGTAGTGGGGTTGGACAACCAGCTGGATATTCGAATTCGCAATCATCATTTTCCTGGCTAGTTTGTGTAGTGAAAGAAGGCGTCTTTTCGGGTGGATATGAATTCTGCAAAGGTTCTCTTATGGCTGGAATTAGTGAAGGCACTCCAGATTGAGATGAGGGCCCCTGAACGTCCTGGTATGAAGAGGCAGGCTGGAAGTAGCTAATTTGCGCCGGGTTTCCTGGCTGCGGAAAGCTTTGTTGATGCAAGGCTGGTTGGTAAGTGGTCTGTTGCTGGAGTGGCACGGCACCATATGTATATTTCAGGTCTTGCACTAGAGGCTGTGATTGCTGATGCTGGGTCGTTTGAAACTGTTGCTCCGGTTGTTGCGTTTGTACTATTGGGTGAAGAATCTGAGTACCTGGAAGAGGCGTCTGTACTTGGTACGAGATCATTTGTGGCTGTACTTGCATGCCGTGCGATTGTCCCTGCATAACACTGCCCTTGTTTTCTCCCTTTTTCTTCAAATGACTGTCGTGTTTATGCTCCAGCACAGCGCCAGCCCCGTCCAACGCAGCGTGACTTGCTGCATATTCAACTCCTTTTCCTACGGCTTCACCAGCAATCATATCCGCTCCTGGTCCTGCTAGACCCAGTGTCAATCCACTTAGAGTCCCTGCAATTGCCATCGGAGCTATAACATCGCGCTTTCTCGTGTTGTGTGTCGATCCACGAGCTTGAAGCCCCGCCTCGATAATTTCTCTCTTCTTCCGTGCATTATGTATGCGGGGTGCGGACAAACCGAGCCCTATGAGGGAGATTCCTCCGGTTAAAGGAGAAAAAAGAACGGATGTGGCTGTTGATGTTGCCCCTCCAGAGATTTGACGAGTGTAATTCTCCCACTCTCTGTGTAATTGCTCTGTGGAGAGCGTGTTGCATTTATGCTGATATTCGTCGTAGTCGAAAGGCATTGCGTCTTGAATGAGTCGAACGGGATAATGTTGAAGTGGGGGTGTATGGGATATCCACCTGTATTGGAATCTCCAGTATAACAATAATAGGCAATCCTAATGCTGGAATGAAGAGAAGGAACGAGGAAAATGGAGGTGCGGGGCGCGGGGTTTTGAGAGCGCCTTATTGATATTCTAGATTGAGTCCAGCCTCCATATCGGCGGCCGGAGATCATTGGGCGTTATTCACGCGTTCTGCCGCTTTTTGGGTCCTATTTTTGGAATCTGGTGTTCCAGATTCACTGATTCAGCCGCAGCTGAGGTATTCTAGCCATCTGATTTGACACAATACAAGATGGCCTTCGAATCATGTACATGTGTACAGAAGCGGCACGAAATCGTATCACTTGTACGGTTGTAACACTTTTGGCGTTTCGAGGAGCCAAAGAAATCATCGGAGGAATGTTACCCTCATACTTTGAGGGTGCGGCTTAAATTGGCGCATCACGTGGTACCTCTGATAGACAGGAGAACTATCTCAACACATCGAGAAAATTGAAACCAATGGCCGAGAATAAGACAAAATGTCAAAAGGGCTTATGTAAGAGAGGAAGGGGAAGACAATCGGCAAAAAGTTCTGATGAAGGTACAGCATCACGTGCGGGTATTATCTACCCTTAGTCAGCGTTTACCTTCTGAAAAATGCGATCCTCAATTATTCTAAGGTGAGGTTCTTACTCTTTTGAATTACATCCCTGGATTCATCAACCTTGCACCCTTCGGCATAGTGGTATGCTGATCCCCCTTTTTGCGAATCCTCTACTCACAGCAGCAATGTTGAGTTTGGCACGACGATACTCCACCTTGCTATCAAGAGCGCTGCGGCGGGCTCCCCGCTCGGGTTTTTATATTGGGCTGGAGATAAATCATTCCCCAGCTCCGGTTTTGAGCACGCTGAGACACATGTTTAGAAAAACAATCTATGACGGAATGAGATCGATCTGTAAGGCCGGACAAGCACTTGGAGCACTGCCCACCAGTCTTGACAAATCTCGCGTCTTGGCGAGTTTGTCATGGGAGTTGGCAAAATTTTCACTGGACTGATGATCCCTTTCCCCGGATTACTCCGTCTTTTCTTCAACGAAGTTCCTGATGCCATCTATGAGAAACACACTTGAAGAAAGAGAGATGGAACGAAATCCCTTACCATCACTACAGAGATGAAATATGCCTAAACATTCGTCGTCGATTTACATCATACCGGACAAATCTCAAGCTCAAAAGAAGCGGAGGTACTTCCTCAATGGCTCAGGGCGATGCGTTCCACTTATGTGGTAAAATAAGAAATGGGGCTTTGGTAGCGTCGTCTGAAACCAATAAGATTCTTTGCCATCCTAGTAGTTGGTGAGCGAGCTTGCCTGAAGTCTCACTCCAAACGGACAATCGCTAAATTCCATCGAGGCTGAGTGCAGGACTTAGAAGGTATATTCTGCTGCTAGGGAAATGCCGGTACATGCCATTTATTGACTGTCGCTCCAGCGTTAGCCCACGTCGTTGAGTTATAGAGAAGTATGCTCAGCTTGATGCCTGGAATGGGACCTCGAAAGTTGTATGATATAATTCCGGCCCTTTTAATATCTCGTCCACGCAGCATGAGCCACGCTTAGACCTTTATTGTACCTCTAAAATCTCAGTTCCAGCGGTTCCGAGGCATACATATACCATGCGGTACTTAACGGCTCAAACAATGGGTTATCCTCGGGCAGCCCTAGCCTATAAAGGTCAGCAAACGTAATATTCTCGGCATTGTCAGCTAGAAACGAGGCTACGGGAAAGAATATGACCCTGTTGTTTCAGTCGCACCACCTCAATCTACAGGCAAGGCTGATCCTTGCGCAATTGGTTTTGGTGCTTCTTTCGATCATATTGCGTAACGTTCGCGTTCCGCCTTGTGTGGCGGGCATCAAATCACGAATGGTCGTTGGACAACGACCATTGTTAGCCAGCCTCGTATGCATTTCTGTTCAGTAGCTTTGTTTCCTGGTAATAATACGATCATCCCGCGACAATATATGGAGCACAGGTCTCAGACATGATGCATCCCACCCCCTCGGGCCCTCGGATACGCCAATGCAAATCGAAATGCAGCTTTTGTTACGATCCGGTCCGTTCTTTTCTATCGGGGTACATCAACCCAGCTTCCGCAGATGCTTCGACGGGCTATCCGAGCCTGACTTTCTGCAGATTCCTTCTAGAAGCCGATACTTCCCTGGCATAATCTAGTACATGTGGAATATCCTTGCAGGCTCTGCCCGCTACATGTCAGACTAGGCTCCTT